ATGAAGCCGGGAGCCGGAATATGACGTCAGACCGGCTCCCGGCATCACTAAGCACTGCCAACTCAGCCTGTGTGCCCCCTGCCTGCCCAACCAGCAGCACCACTGGACAGGTAAGCAATCCACTCCAGCTCTCCCAGGGAGGCTGAGTGGATTTAGAATAAAATAAAAATAATAATTTGTAAGTGTTGGGAGAAGTGTGTATGTGTATGTGTCTGTAAGTGTGTGTATGTGTGTCTGTGAGTGAATGTGTGTGTGTGTGTGTGTGTGTGGGTCAGTGAGTGCGTGCGTCTGTCAGTGTGTGTTCAAGTAATAGTGTATGTCATTGTTTGTCAGTGTATATGAGAGTGTGTGTCTGTCAGTGAGTGAGCGTCTGTCAAACTGCGGCCTTGACAGGAAGGGGTGGGAAAATTTTAAATTGGGGGTGGGGGGGTGCCCGAGCACTGTCCTGCCTAGGGCAGCCCAAATTCTAAATACACCACTGCCACTGCCTCCACTGCAAAGGTCCCAGAAGGTTACAGAGCTGCTTTTCACCACATATAATAATAAGAAAGACTATGTGCAAGTCATGGAATGATGCCTTTTTTTTAACCTTGTAGTTGTTATGCAACCACCTGAAGAGGGATGTTGTGAGGGGATTAGGGGAGGCTAAGCGAACTGACCCCGTAATCATTTTTTCTCCTCCTCTACTTTTTCCCGTGGGGGCTGGCTAGCACTAGCTGCCCAGGCAGCACATTTTCTTAACCCTTGGCTCAGCTCTTGCTGCATGTGGACAAACAGTATGCATTTCAGCCGTTCAGTAGTGTACAGACAGGCTGGAATCTGATGGACATTTCTGTCCATTCAAAAACTGTATTGCAAAATTACGAATATGTCTAGATTTTTCCCTCCGAATGCCGCTTTACGGTCTCAATTTATTTGTTTTTAAACTATAAAGGACAGATATTTGTTCTGACTTTAGTTAAAGACTGTGCCTTTGTGTGCAATTGTGCTACCACAAAGTCTTGCTTTTTTCTTTTTACTAATTATCTTCCTTTACAATGGCATTTTTTTTTTAAATTATTTTTTTTTTTTTTAAGCAAAAACTGCAATTGTAATCTGTATGTATCTGCTTCTGTTTTAGGAAAGGGCACTGCACCTACCTCCATCAATATAAGTCTTGAAGAGTACAGAATTCACCTGCTTCATACCTAATCAACATTTGATGCCAAATGTACTCAGTGATTTGCTGCTGATTTATGTAACAAAAATTGAAGTTTTTCCATTTTTTTGTTGGTGATGACATCTCATTCTTATTTATAAACAACAACAAAACAACTTGATTTATTTATTTTGTGAAAAACGAATATAAACTGTTGTAAATAATCATTAAGAATATTTTTTTTGTAATAAAAAAAAGTTTCATTTAACAAAAAGCAGATTATACCACTTATACCAAAAATCTATGGAGACAATTCATATTGTGGTTAACAGTCATTATAACATATAAATATTAGTGTTTTGATATTGGAAAAAAAAAACAGCAGCTCAAACAAGAGTCATGAAGGGCACCTTACTTCCCTCACCAAAAATACAGTACACTAATAAATATTATAAGTGAAATACTTATAACTTATTGGTGGAGCACTGTGTACAAAAGGAGGCATCTTACCCTCTTGCAATATATCTTGCAGGGGTTATCAAATTATGTAAAATACAAAATAAAAGAACAATATATGGTGCAGATAGTAATGAAATATACTGGAAAGCATTCATATGTATATACTTAATGTTTATAATATATACACAAATATTAATATAATACACATACATTTGATGAATACTCCAACGTTGAACTACCAATACTGACTGAAGATGCACCTAAGCAGACCAAACTTCTGATAAACCTTACGGTGAAATGCGTTAAATGTGGTTATATAGCCTTATTTATATTGTTTATTGCTGCTTTATTGTTTTTATATTTTATTTGTACTTGTAATAAAGTTTAATCCTTTTAAATTTCATTTATTTTGGATTCTACACCACTTTAACACAAGCGCTAGGTTTAATGTGTTTAATAAGTTTCATGTGACAGGAACCAAGCTTGCTAGCAACATGCATTTCTAAAGCATACCTTCCAAGGGTCCCTCTTTAGGAAGGACAGGTCCAAATCAGTCTGTCTATTTTTTCTTTCCTAATGTTCTTCTTTTCTAGCAACTGTATATTGTTGGTTTGTCTGTGTGCATAACAGGGCTCTACAGCAATAAATATCACAGTAATTGGTCTTTAAAGAGACACTCTAAGCACCAGAACCACTGTAGCTTAATGTTCTGGGACAAATAGACTGTCCCTGCAGTCTCAACAGTGTAAACACTGTCTTTTTGGGATGCATTAAAGGAACACAATAGTCACCTAAACAACTTTAGCTTAAATAAGCCGTTTTTGTGTGTAGATCAGGCTTCTCAGGTTTTACTGCTCAATTCACTGCCATTTAGGAGTTGAATCACTGTGTTTCTGTTTATGCATCCCTTGTCACACCTCCCCTGACTCTGATTGACACAGCCTGCATGAAAAAAAAGCTGCTTTCACTGTCAATCAGATGTAATTTACCTTAAACAATTGTATATTCCTCTGTATGTATATTGAACTTTAATCACATACAAGAGGCTCTTGCAGGGTCTAGCAATCTATTAACATAGCAGGGAATAAGAAAATCTAAATTAAACAGAACTTGCAATAAAGGAAGGATAAATTGTAGATGACTCTTTAAAGGAAGTATATAGGAATGCTGTCCAAGTCTCATGCAGGGAGGTGTGACTAGAGTCTATAAATAAAGTGATTTAACTCCTAAATGGCAAAGAATTGAGCAGTGAGACTGCAGGGGCATGATCTATACACTAAAACTGCTTCATTAAGCTGTAGTTGTTTTGGTGACTATAGTGTTCCTTTAAAGTAGTATTAGTGTGTTAGTGTTTTTTTGTTTCTTTTCTCAATATATTCATCAATCATTGGTATATTGCCCGCAGTTCTAATTTTTATTTTCTTGTCTTTTATGCCAGTGGCATTGTAATAATTACTATATAATGGTTTTCTGTTCTTATTTCCTATGAGAAACCTGTTTGGGGCCTGCAAAAGCAGATGTGCTTAAAGGTCTATGTGGTATAAGTTTTCATAATTTGTTTTGGTGGTATTTATTTCACAAGTTTATACTTATATTTTTATTTCACCTTTGAAAGTGTTTTTTTTTTCTGTGCCTCTGATTTGGTTTACATATTTATAAAGTTTTTAATGTAAAATATTGACATACACTCACCTTGCCTCCGATCCAGCAGTGCCATTTTCTTAGCTTCACGGGTGTTACTCTTCTTGTAATTCCCACCTCCGATCCGTCCTTCAGTCTTCTGCAGACATCTGTGATTTGTCCTGTTTGGGAAACTTCTCCAAGCAGGACAAAACTGCATGAGCGAGAGTACAGCAGTGACATCAGCTTCTGCCATCTGTAGTGCCATGAGCAGAAGAAGACAGGGTGGAAGATTATGGCAGCACCGATTCAAGTAAGTTAAACTCACCTTTGCCTGCCCCCGCTTCTGGCCACCAGACTCCTGCAGGTGATGTCACAGTTGGGGGTCTTTGCAAATTATGTAAAGTCCCTAAAAGGTGACCGTTCCGCTCTAACCTGACCTAAAGGGTTGGAGTAAACTTTTATCTCTCTCAGTATCAAATTTAAAGGAATACCCCAGGCACCAAAACAACTTACTCTAAAGGATTTTGTGCCAGGAGGCCCCTGTAGGCACTCTTACCTCAAGGGGCTATTTCCTAATTTGCCTCCAGCGCTGGTCTCCGATCCTCGCCGGGTGGCTTCCGGGTTCTGAATTTTGAGATTCAGGAAATGCGGAAAGCCGTCGGGCAGGTGCAACCAATCAATGGTGACCCTTACACTCTTGCTTCCTGAATCTTTAAATTCAGAAGCCGGAAGCCATCAGAGCAGGAGTGGAGACCAGCGCTGGAGCAACTTAGGGGTTAAACCGTTTGCAAAGGTTTAGCCCCTTGAGGTAAGAATTCCTTCTGGCTAAAAAACTACTTCATTTAGATGAGGATGTTTTGGTGTCTGGAGTGTTCCTTTAAGGCAAACACATTGCTTTTGGCATACCTCTGGTGATCAAGGGGTGAAACTTCAGCTTATTCTTTTTAATGGGATCAATAACTCACCAAGGTTGCTTCCAGCAGCTCTTCACACTATTTTCGGTGTAATACCTCCTTCAGCCTTGAGGGTGTGCTGTACTTACTGCTGGCACGCCTGACTCAAAGATGGCTTCCAAAGCTTCAGACATGTGAGTTGAGCTAGGCAGGCGAGGGAGGGGGGAAGGCGTAGACAAGGAGAAAAGGAAGTTGCTGAGGGAGCTACACAAGGTAGATATAAAAGTATCTTTAATCAGTTGTTGATAGCTGTATGACACTGTGCCATGTGCTTAGTAGATGATCACTGTAGACACAGTAAAGCTGCAAGAATAAATGAAATCTATAGATCAGACTTCCTGTTTCACACTTGATGCTGTGACATTGTTTCAGCAGGCCATTCCACCTAGTTACGTTGTCAGTGTGTTAGACAGTCCCATAGCTACCCACAGAGTATTCCAGGAAACCAATAAGCATGGAGTGGGAAACTAATTAAGAATTGCACATGTTGCTTTGTCCATCTGATGTTGTAGTTCAGCTGTGGTTTAGTCCTGCATTTACATCATATAATTTCCAAACTGTTTTAAACAGGGTTGACATGCTGAATAGGTAAACCTATAGTATACATACTGTGTGAACATCCTTTACATACTCTCTTATATTCTCTAGTCTGTCTGCAATAAATCACAGCATGCTGATAAAATCTATACTTAAAGGACCACTATAGGCACCCAGACTACTTCAGCTTAATGAAGTGGTCTGGGTGCCTGTTCCAGCTAGGATTAACCCTTTTTTTTTTATCAACATAGCAGTTTCGGAGAAACTGCTATGTTTATAAAAGGGTTAATCCAGCCTCTAGTAGCGGTCTCATTAACAGCCGCTAGAGGCGCTTGCATGCTTCTCACTGTGATTTTCACAGTGAGAAGACGCCAGTGTCCATAGGAAAGCATTGTGAATGCTTTCCTATGGACTGGCTGAATGCGCGCGGCTTGTGCTGCGCATGTGCATTCAGCTGATGATGATTAGGAGAGTCCCCCGCCCGTTGCTGGAGTAAGAGGTAAATTTATCCCCTTCCACCCCCTAGAGCCCGACGGGAGGGGGCTCCCTCAGGGCACTATAGTGGGCCTCTTAAATAGGTCTGTTGACTTGAATGGAGTGTGTAGTTTAAAGGGACACAGTAGGCACCCATACCACTTTGTCTCATTGAAGTGCTTTGGGTACAGTGTCATTTTCCCCATAATCCTGCAGCTGAAAATATTGTAGTCTTCAGTAAAGAAACTGCATTGTTTGCTTTGCAGACAGCCACTTCAGACAGGCGATTCCTGCTCTTTTACTGAGTTTAACTCTGTGAAACAACGCTACGGCGTCCAGCATCTTCTAAATCCCAGTTGAAAGCATTGATTCAGACTTTTCTAATGGAGAAGGCCTAATGGGCATTAGGTCCCCTCTTGCGATGACATTGGAGGAAGCGGAGATAGACCAGACCTGTGCTGGAATATGTTAAGTTTGATATCTGCGAGGGGTGCACAGGGACACTATAGAGTTATACAGCTTTGTATTCCTAACATTATAGTGTGCCTTTAAGTGCTGAGGCAGTGACAGTTTCTCATTGCCTAACCACCATTAAAGGAACACTCCAGGCACCCTGGATGTCACCAGTGACGCAAGTTGCATCACTGCAATGCCTAACAGAATCTGCCCACAGTGTCCTGATCCCATACCTCCCAATGTTGGCATGGATGTTGTGGCAGGAGTGCCCTGTGCCCTTCTATTGTAAGGTGTCATAACATTTTAGAACGTTTTGACTTCTCACCTGGTGCTGCTCCATGCCTCTCTGCAGCTGGAAGTGAGAGCCAGAAGCTCCTATTAGGAGCTTCTATTATTTCTCCTAAACTAAGCCATGCAGATTGCCTGCTGAAGTGCTTCAGCAAGATAAAAGTGCTTTAGGGGATTGCAGTATTTCTTTAACTATATGACCGAAGAGGACAAGTTTGAATTGACCTCCACCTTCAGTTCTTCATTTTGGACAAATTACACCCAGGGCTGGCCTTTGAGGTGTGCGAGGTGTACAGCTGACACTGCTAGCAATAGCAGTGAACACATTTTCTGGGGATACTGTGCCCCCATGAAAAGTGCAATTAAATATGTACTTAATATATGGCCAGATATGCAATATATATAATAAAAATGTATTGTGGTCAGGTGGTGTATCACACTTTCTGCTGGTGTAGACATACTATTCTCTCTCTCGAAAATCTGGTGCTCAGTTAGGGAGTCAGAACGCAGCCGAAGGGATTCTCATCCTGCGCTCTGACTCGACAATGAGCGCCGGAAATGCCTTCGACTGCACTGATGCCAAGGGAGTGCCGAGAGCTTTTGGCCATTTGGGCAAGAACAAATTAATGGCCTTTTTTTTGCACATCTATTTCGTGATAGTTTTAATAATGCGAGCATGTGATATATGGATTTGACTCCGCCTAGTCATCCCCAAATATTGAAGTCTACATGGAAATATCCCAGTGGACCATCCAGGCCTAGAGAAGATTGAGATTGTCTGCCATCAGCCCAAGCACAAATCCACACTGAGTTAGCAAAGACCCTGCACAATTCCTGTCTGCTACCTGAATCCTGCAGTACTATGCCAATAGACATCCTAACGCACCTCTTGCTATTTTTTTTTTAACTTTGACAATTTTTATTGATCTTTTGGGGGATACTGAAAGAAGAAAGGGTGGGGGAAAAGCAGTGGCAAGCTTAAACATACTTAGTACAGCGGTATGGGCACACATCATTGGTGCCTAATTGTTAGCAATTTAGGCGTGTTATACAGTATACAAATTGAATATACAATTTCCATCTGGAGTATTACGCTACAAGTTTGCACTTATTTGGGCAAATTAGGTTGTGCGTGCTTCAGGTACGGTATTGGTGACTTAGATATTCCTTATCCAAGATGCCACTGGGAAAAGGGGGAAACAGTGGGGGGGCAAGAAGGGGGGGGGGAGTGAGTGTCACTCCCAGGCATGAAGAGACTTACACTGACCTCATTCAGTACCGTTTTTTACATGTTTGTACATTGTCTCGTGCCCTGAGGAACACAGCTGTCGGTTTGCAGATATGCTTTTGCCATCTCCGTTCATTTTCGGGGAGGGAATATTGCGCTCCATGTATTGACGCCAATCGTACCATGCCTTTAGCCAGTCCTTCTTTGGAAGGGGGGTTCGCCTGGCAGCTATTTCATATAGTCTTGAAGTTTCTAATATTTGTGTAAATTCAGTGATTGGCACTGGTAGAGGTGATTTCCAGTGTCTGCTAATTACCATAAGGGCCGCCATGAGTATCTGATATGTTAGGTATTTTTGCTTCCACCTCATTCCTTTTGGAAATAGTTGGAGGAGGTATGTTTCGGGTGTTCTGGGTAATAGTGTTTTTATGCTCTCTTGGATTATGGTGGAAACTGCGTCCCAGAATGGGGTTAGGATGGGAAAGGTCCACCAGATATGGAACATCGTGCCTTTATGCTGCTGGCATCTCCAGCATATGTTAGATGCGTGTGGATGTGCGGCTTTAATGCGAGTAGGTACTAAATACCACCTGTATAGGATTTTACGAGAGAGCTCCATGTGTGAGGCACATTTAGAAAGGGAGTTATGCGCCTTTAGAATGTCTTTCCACTGATGCAGGGTTAGGTTATATTTAAATTCTTTCTCCCAGGCAGTTGTGAAGGAAAATTTTGGATGGTCATTGTGTGTGTGTGTGTGTGTGTGTGTGTGTGTATTGATTGGTAGATTTCGGAGATTAATTTTTTAGGGGGTGAGAGGCGTAGGCAGATTTTTTTTCTACCACCGTCAGCTGTGGTTCCTGTACATTTCCAGTCCCAATCATAGTTTGTTTGTGGAACCAGGACTTTAATTGTAAATAAGAAAAGGAGACCTGTGCGTTGAGATGGTAGGATTCTTGTAGGTCCCTGAAACTTCTAAGTTCCTGATCCTGGAGGAGGTGGTGTAGATGTGTGATACCATATCGATGCCACATTGTGTGGTTGAAGTTGGGGATTATGTATTGTGGTGCTTTTAGGGGCGTGGCTCGTGATGTTTTACCTATCCAACCAATTTTGCAGCAGTGCCAATGTCCCAAAAGTGTAATGTTAGTGCTGTGGTGGGAAGCATCAAGCCAGTCGGTGGTCTGTGGGATTTTGGGAGTCATGCCAATATGTTTATGGGGATGTTATTTGCATGGTATGTCTCTACCTCTTCTCACAGGCTTGGCTGGGTTCGCTGGCACGCTGCTATAAATGGGCCCAGGATGGCTGCTCGGTAGTAGCTATCTAGGTTAGGTACACCCATCCCTCCCCTCTCCCGTGGCAGATATAGTGTACTTTTCGCCACCCACGGTTTGTTCTTGTCCCATATGAATTTCATTAGTGTTTGTTGTGCTTCTTGGAGGAAGTGGGGGGGTAATTTTATTGGCAGTGTTCTGAATAGGTGTGGCAAAACTAGCCACTTAAGACTGTATTTGTACTAATGTGTTGCCGTAGCTTTAAGAATGTTTGAACCAAGCGTATACCTAATTCTTTATTATATGCGAACAAGAGCATTCGTATGCTGGCGGCACAAAAGCCACCAGCATTCATACAGTAGTTTCACGAACAGTGAACTTCAACACTGTTCGTGAAACAAACAAACTACCGAATGGGAGACCACACACAGGAGGTCGTGTGGCTCCCATTAAACATTGCAACATTGTATCTTTCGATAGTTATTAAAGATTCAGGGTGGCCGGCGTTCGGCTACCGTCCACGCGGCGGGCGGCCATCTTGGATCCTTTGTTAGCCCAGCGGTATTTTGTTGTTGAGTGCCTGGAACTAAAATCGGCTACTCAACGGCACGAATACCGCTGGACTTCCAGGCCGTTCGGGAGTACCGGTCTTTCGGTACTTGCTCCCTACGAGTGTATTCGTGTAATTTATGCGAAGTGTATATTGGATTGAAATTCATGCGGCGTTCGGCTAGATGTGCTGGGAACTGAGCGGTACTTGAAATGTGCGCTCAGACCCCAACTATCTACCGAACAGTCATTCGGTAATATAGTATGAATAATGTTAAAGTTGTATATTTTTATGTGAAATGCCAATTCTGTTGCACGGAGGGATAATCCACTTAACTGGATATTCTAGTGGGAGTATCCCTCTCGTACAGCAGTGCATGATGGGAGAAAGGTCTTGGTTGTTAAGTTCCCCATGTAGTCCCCTACTGTACAACCCCTGTAATGTCAGTAAGAAAACCCCTTGCGTGGGGAACCACATAAATACTGTGACCTGTGATTAAAACCTCAGTTGACTCAGAGCCTATGTGTCGTCTAGTTCTTGGGAAGGAAGGATTTATACAATGCTACCGGGATTATTGCATGCTGTACTTATTTTGCCTGGATGATTTTATGCTGTTCCTGTTACCCAGCGGAGATACCGTGGATTAAACTACCTCTCCGCTACAATAGGTATTGTAATTTAGGTAAAATAATCATTTTGACCGCAGCTATTTTACCTAACCACGAGATGTATTTACCTTTCCACCCTGTTAACAGCGTTTTTATATCAGATAATGTTTTTTGGTAATTTGTTTTATATAGTTGGGTTGGTGTCGGGGTGATGTTAATTCCTAGGAATTTTAGGTGGTCGGTTCTCCAGTCATAGTTAAAGGAGCTGCGCAGACGCTCTAATGCATCCGTGGGAATATTTATGCCCATAGCTTGGGTTTTGGTAACGTTTAACTTGTAGTGTGAGCATTTGCTGTAATGGGATAGGATAGAATGGAAGTTTGGCAAGGATATATGTGGTTGACCTCTTGCTATTTTAACCAGAAAAATTGTGCAAGACTGCAGGACACAGTCCTTGTATACTGACGTCAGTGCATAGCGATATAATTGCACTGTGTTGTGATGATGTCCTTTTGCATCAGAAAATCTCATCAGTGGCCAGGTTACCAAGTTACTACATAGAAGGCTATATTCAACAACACAAGAGTCCTGATCTCAGTCTCTCCATGGCCTAGAAGATTGCCACTGTATGTGTTGAAATAGAAACTCCGCAAATCACAGTGAAACTTTTAACTTTTTATCAATTAATGTTATGGTAACTTTTGGATCGGGAATACAAGTATTTCATGCCTGACTTATGGTTGTCACATAACTCATATATGTTGTATGGCTTTCTTTTTATTATGAAATCTCAATAGGCTAAACATCACACTTTCAACATTCTTCTTAAATAAAAAGTATGAACCTGACTTACATGTTTGTCTCTTGCATACACGAGGTCTATAGGTGATCATAGAAGATGGACAACAAACACAAAGAATTGCTGAGACGTCATCGCCTGAAGCTGTGTGCTGAGGGGCTGGCCGAGGGTCTTGTTCCCGAATATCTTCTTCAAGAAGGAATTATCACTAATAACCATTTAGAGGAGATACGTGCACAAGACACAAGCCAGAGGAGAACAATGAAGCTTTTAGATATTTTACCAACCCGTGGACCTCAAGCTTTTGATGTTTTTCTTAATTCTTTATCAGCAGAGTTTCCATGGGTAAAAGAAGAAATAGAAAGACTTTGCAAGGAACATTGTGATGTGTTTCCAAGGGAAACAAATCTTGAATTGCCGAATAGTATCCGCAACAGCTGTCCAACTGACAAGCAACTAAACATCCTTGCTGCCAAATTAGGACCAGAGTGGGAGCAAATACTAATTACTTTGGGGTTGGAACAAAATCAGCTATACAGGTGTAAAAGTAACCATCCCTACAATGTTCACGGACAAGTGATGGAAGCATTAGTCAAGTGGAAGCAACAGATGGGAAGCAAAGCCACTATGCAGTGTCTTTGGGAAGCTCTAAAACAGGCTGAGGTGGATCCCTCAGTGATACAACACTTGTTTCAGTGATACAATCTTTAGAGATTGCTGGAAAGGATACATCATTTTTTAATGAAAATAGTTGGGAGATGAATGTTGACCACTTTAAAGGAACACTGCAGTCAGGGGAAGTGGTATGGGGGGACTCCAATCACCATAACAACTACAGATCACCATAGTGGCTATGGTGCCTGGAGTGGCTTGTAAGTAATCAAACTGGTTTTCAAAAATATTGACTTTTTAACTGGGGTTCTCTAATTGGTAGTCCCTACCTCTATAAATGACAACCGAGAGCAAGAAACTCTCTTGCCGTGCTGGGCTTAGCTCATTAGCTGATAAAAATTAGCTGACACTGTCAACCAATGAACATGGCCTGCACTGTATGGCCCATGTCAGGAGAGCTAGTGGAAGGTCCTGCATTGGAACTTCTGGCTTTCAGTAGTGGAGGCAGGGAGCAGCGCCCATGGTACCCCGGGTAAGAAGCCCTTCTTGGTTGCTCCGTTGTGCTGGTGACCTTCTGTCTGCTGCTCGCACCCTTACTGCTAAGTCAAGCTTGCTTCAATTCTGCTACGTCCCACACTGTTGCGTGGTTGCTATCCCCATGATACTACGCTTCCTACTGTGTTTTATACCCCCATCTCCACTAGATTGTAGGATCTTTTGAACAATGTCCACACCAACCTATTGTTCTTGTCTCATTTCTTGTTAAATTCCCCCTTTATAATATTATAAAGCACTGTAGAATAAGTTGGTACTATATAAATTCCAATAATAATAATAATGTGAACTTGCCACCTAACTTTATATTACATCAATCAAAAACACTAGACAGAACTGAGAAAAAAATAAATTAGTTTGCAAGGTAAAAATTAAACTATCTTGCAAAGTTACCTCAACTATATGATAAAAAGGAAATCACAATCAGTATGTATTTATGGGTGTACACATTTTGGAATAATTAGATATGATTTTTTTTGTTAGTAAATGTATTATGATTGTAATGCTTTGCTTTCTTTTTCTTAAAAAAATAAAATTAAAAAATATGTAAAAATAATGAAAGTTATTAATTAAGTGTGCAAGGCACACTGACTACAGATATAAAATATGCTCAGAATTGACATTTGGTATTCTGGAAGTTCTGGGCTGCCAAATTCACCTGTGCCTGCACATGTAACTAGATCCTGGCACACAATTGCAAACCACTCGGGATGTGCATCAAGATTCCTACCTCCATAAACACTTAGAAAAGCAGTAATGGTCATGGTGGTCGGAGTAACACTTTAAGATACGAATAACAGTGGCTGGTAAGAGATTGAGTAAAACATGGTAAAAAAAGAGGCAGGGCTCGAGTCCTGCAGGAACTTGTGGGAACGGCGTTCCTGCACTTTTTCCACAGCAGGGACGCCGTTCCTGTTGGTAGTCCTGCAGGACCTGCCCTTGTGCCGAGGCCAAGGATCTCCCCTGCCGTCCCATGGAGAGCCGACACTGCGCAGTTGCTTTGGGCCCTTCGTCCGTGACAGGGAGGGAGGAGGGAGCTGGGAGAAGTACAGACAGCCTGCAGGCTAAAGAGCACTGCTTACCACCGGACCACCAGGGTTTGCAGTGTGTCCCCCTCCCTGAATATAGGTAAGAAGAATGGGGAGAAACAAATCTTTTACGAATGGTTTTTTTTTTTTTTTAATTAAAATAATAAATATACATATGCTGTCTTAACCTTATGCACCCCTCACACAAACACAGCACCCCTCCCACACACACAGCACCCCTCACAAACACACACTCTGCACCCCTCTCACACACAGAAGCCCCCCACACACACTCTGCACCCCTTACACACACTGCACCCCTCACACACTTTGCGCCCCCACACACAGCACCTCTAACACACTCTGCACCCCTCACACACACCATCCCTCACACTCACCACCCCTACACACATACACTGCACCCCTCACTAAAGTCTGTGTGTGTGTAGTCAGCAGTTGGTGTGTGCTGAGTATACACACAGACTGCTGAGTAAACACACACGGACTGCTGAATACACAGACAGACTGCTGAATACACAATCTGTGTATTCAGCAGTCTCTGTGTGTGTATTCAGCAGTCTGTCGATAATTTACAATTTTATTCCTGTGAATTGTGGTGTAGGTAGGGGCTCCAGTGCACTATAATGCCGTTAAGATGGCACTGGTCATCATTTGAGTTTATCAACTTCCTACAAGTGCGCAGAGGAGACAAACTTGTTTACAAATCACAAACAGTTTGCTTTTGTGTTACTACTGTAAATTTTCCAGTATGTATCAGGTTTTTATCTTTGTGGTTGCTGAAGCATATTCAGTTGTTTATCGCTTTCGGGATATTAATATACAACCATATTAGAATGTCTTTGTGACGAGACCAATCTCGCCACATTGCATTGGAGAAGCCTGGTTACTCGCCTGCTGCCTTTGGACTATGGCCCCCTGTTAAAAGACATCTTTTTTACCTGCAGAAAAGTTTAATTCGTGCTTTTCTGCCTGGGGTTCGGTAGATTTGTTTTAATGTGTTATACCCCAGATAGGAATCCCATGGAGCCCATTTGTATGAAACTGACTGTAAAGACTTTGGCTCCATGTCGATTAAACTGTATTCGTGTGGTCTGAGCGCCATTCACTTAATAATGTGCGCTCAGACCTGAGCTATCTGGGGATATGTGAAATGTCTGTGTTTTATGTATAAAAGGTGACTTTATGTATTTTAAAGTGTTTTGTGTCTTTTGCAACCATGTGCTTAATGGAGTCTTGTGTCTGTCCTGGGAGATAATTGAATTACTTATCTCCAGGATAGAAGACTCTGAAACTGGTTTGGGCCTGAAAGCCATGCTTCATTTAGTCACAAAGGACTTTCCCTTAACTTTTGAACCCCTGGTCTGATACATGCCATTTTTGAATATGTTGTTCCCCTGAATGGATTGATTGTGAATATGTAATTTTATGTGAATGTGATGTATGGTTTTGGAGTTATGAAAGTTGGGTAGAAAGTATGTTTTAACTGTTTGTATAATTGAGTTTCCTCTCAGGATAAGGGGAGGGAATATGTGGGATGTAACTGTGATATGATTGGTTGTTTTATCCCTCCCTGTGGGTGGTCCTGTATTTGAAACACTGTAATAAAAACCAGGCTGGGTGTGCCAGCACCTCAGACCACTGCTTGACCCTCAACACAGAGCCTTGTCTCGTTCTTGGGGGGATTCACTGTATGCTGTTAGAGACTGATTGCCAGGAGTGTAAGCTGATTGTCTGCTTTTCCTGTTCGTCTGCTAGCAGCTATTTGGGAGGTTCCAGTTCTATTGGAGTGTTATTTTGTATCCAGTCCGGGAGTTTGGTGTTCTGCAGTAGCTGTGCCTGCATCTCTGGAAAGGGGGCCGATCGCCTAAACAGGTTTTTACCCCTTGTGCGCAAAACGGTCCGTTACAGTCTTATTATTTTATATCAGATATCAAAATGCACACTTCCTTTAAAAAAATAAATAAAATCTACTACCGGTCAGTATAAGTACCATTTGGATCTCAACTTTGAAATTAATTAAAAAAAAAAAAAGTCAGATCAAATCCTTTCCATAAGAAGGTCATGTCAAATGTGCTCGTGTCTTGAGAAAGGTTTTGGAATGAAATGCGAAAACGCACCGATAAGCTACTGACAATTTTTTGTCTGCCATTATAGTTGGGCTTTTTTAATCATGATGTTGTAAGTGTATCGTTATTATTTTTTAATCTCATACGATACAATGTGAAATACATGAATATGGATTTTATGTTTCGAAATTTGGTTGTCCACCATTCGTTTTCTGCAGGAAGTGAACCAGCCAGTTATATTTCCTTAATTTTTTATGCTAGTATTTTGCTTATACCATACATCTTTGCGCACAACGAATAAGCATAGTTTGGGTTTGTGACAGCTGCATTTACATTGTGTACATTTTACTGTATAATTCTAATAACGGATCTACAAACGCCAGAAATCTTTGCCGTGGAGCCTCTCAGAACAAGACAACTATTGATATTGGGTACAACTGTACAATTATACAGCACTGCAAATTATGTTGGCACTTTATCTCTGCCACTAATAAATAAATAAAACTGTATTGTTAGAGCAAAAGAGAAGTTACTGCAAATTGGGAGGCAGGGACAGAAATTGTGGGTTTATGGTCCAACATGGTTATTGGAAAAAGAAAAGCTAGTTAAAATAAAAATGAACACTCCAAGCACCATAACTACTACAGCCATTGTAATGTGTGTGGTGGGAGGTGTACCCTGATGCTGTCTGACAGTAGGATATCAAACCAGTTTAGCACAGTTTGACAACTTACCTAGGTTTTGCTGGGTGCCTACACTACATCTGGTCTTCTCCAGCAAGAGAAACCAAACGTCTCTGTAGTAAAGTTGATGTAGGACTGCACTCATGGTTAGCGGATACTCTTAACCTATGTGTGCAGTCCTACATGGTCCTGACTTGTTCTGTAGAGTAAACTGACTTCTCCACCTGGAAAAGCTGTCCTTAAAAGGTTAAATTGGCACTTTACAATAAATGTTGCACTGTATTTTTAAGAAATATATTTGCATACGAGTGTATCATTTTTTTGGGGGGGGAGGGGGATGTGGATCTTGGGTAAGTTCCCAGACTTTTCCCCCCAGTACTTGACCCCTGAAAAGAGGGTACGATGGAAGGGACATGTGGTGCTTGTTTGGGCGAAAGTTGTTCAGGAATCTTTTATTCAGTAGGTTATAGTTGTAAAAATAGCAGAGTTTAGGGAAGTGACTGTTACACTGGCCGTGCATGTAACTGAAGGCCCTATTACCCTGGCAGCTGGAGGGGGACTAAGTGCCAGCCTTCTCCCCAATGACTAAACCTACGGCCTGGGAAGGGGTTCTGTTTTTTAAGAGGTGGATATAGTCGGGATGACTTTTTCCCCTTGGTAGGGGTTTGCCACATTTCCCAAATTACTGGTGTAACGGATTATTCCCCAACTTTCAATTGCCTGTCATCTGGTTTGAAGAGGTGGAGATATTCTCTGTTGTGTAGCTAAAGTTGAATTTAATGTATTGAATCTCCAGGTTGTATGTGCCTTACCCTGCTTCCTGGCTTATTGTTTTCCCAGTAGGATGTTGTCCCACTGTTCCAAGGACACTTCCAGACCAGTTCAAGGTGGCTGCCTTGTCACTCCTTTAAATTCCTCATGTGATCCTTAGCCCTTGTTAGTGTGTGTCCCTACCGTTCCTTGCAACCACAGTGCTCCATTCACACTAGTTGTAATATCATTAGGCTTTGTAGTGTAATTGGTTGCTTTCTCAAGTCGATATTGCTATTGGTTGACTTGGGCTCACTGTGCTGTTTGGGAGGGGGTTATGATGGAGGTCCTGAAAGGGAACTTTGTGTACCACTGTTGTATGTACATGAGGTTGTTGGGGGTATAAATAAATGTACTGTTTCCAATAAAGCTCAGGTGTGTTTCACCCTGGACTGGTGGAAGAGGTCCTCAGAGGCCCCAGTCAAGATTCGGCGACTGCATCTGAAGTGTTCCAGAGTTCCTGGTAGCAAGGAGGAAGCTGGCCTAGAGGAGGTACTCCATCACAGTGCATAATTCATTTATCATTTTTTTTAAAGTGTGCTAGGTCTTTAAATCTTATTTTCCGTGATTCTGACAACCACACTACAAATATATTTAAAGATATAAAATTTATACAATAATGTGCCTTGTAACAAAAGTGCACTGTAATGCAATATTGTTGCAATAAAGTGCTTCTCTATAACTGAAATGCAGCATGCATATACATGTATGTATGTATCTGGGTTTTAGTGTTTGTGTCTAAGGGGTATAATGTGTGCATGAGAGGTGTAGTGTGTGTGTGTGTGTGTGTGTGTGTGTGTGTGTGTGTGTGTGTGTGTGTGTGTAGGATTGTACTAGGTGTGTGAGGGGAGTGGGATAGTGGCTTTAAAATATTTATTTTAATAATTATAAAAGAAAACACTATTTACTCCCTCCCTTTCAGGAAGAGGGTGAGAGTATTCAGATCCCTGGTGGTTAAGCAGGCTGCCTATTCTCTGGGTGCAGGCCGGAGAGAAGAGCTGGCAGGTCTATACTTGCCCTGCACCTCTTTCTCTCCTGGAGCCCTGGCAGGTACACTTACTGTCAGAGTGTTGCTGCAGGTTACCATGACAACACTCTGACAGTGTAAGTGCGGGAGCTCGCACAAGATAGATTTGCAGGGCAGGCATAGACCTACCTTCTCCTCTGCATTATGGCAATTCTGCTGCCCAACATGAGTTTGCTGGGCTGGTGAGGGAGATCTTTGATTTCCCCACTGGCCGATTAAGAAACAGGGAACCCTATCTGGGTTGGTGCTCCCTCTGGCAGGCCTGTTAATTAAAAAAGTGCAGGGATGTAATTCCCCCACATTTCTGTAGGACTCAAGCCCTGTCTTCATCTTAATTAAGTTGTTCTTAGGTCTGGATATCCTCAGGTGCCATCTTTGCAGGGATACGCTAAGCACCAATACAACATTAGTATAATGAAGCAGTTTTGCTTTATAGATCATGCCTCACTACTCAATTAATTCTATGCCATTTAGAAGTTAAAGGGACACTCAGGGCCGGTGCAAGGATTTTTGCCGCCCCCCTTTATATGCTCTGCCCACCATGTGACATCACAATGCCCCACCCATTTGATCTGCCATATGAGCCAACTCCAGTGCTGCACACAGTGTCTTTTCTCTGAAAAGATAGTGTGTTTGCATTAAAATCCTAAGGGACAGGCTATAGACACCAGAACCACTACATCAAGCCGTGTTGGTTTTGGTGACTATAGTGTCTCTTTAATTTGAGGTAAATTAGAGATTAGTACAGTGCGGTACATTCCTTTAGTTTTTTTTGCGGTATATGTGACACGCGCGGATGATGTGATGCGCACGAATAGGTTGTTTGCACATGCACGATTGACATGAGTGAGTGATGCCAGTGATTAAGATGGCAGTGTGGTACTATGCACTGATACGGTGCGCATGTGTGGGGATAATGATCGCGGATGTGGAAACTAGCATTTGTTATATGCAAATTATAAGGTATGTGGTCGTATTATGGTGGTATTCTATTATGTATATATGTTATGTACAGTGTAATTAGTTCAGTGACTCTTGTGTATTATACCAACACCTGAAGTGATGATGTCACTTCTGGGGTTTCTTGTAATTACATACTGTTGGCCATCAGCTGTATGGGGGCTTTATAAGCAGGCTCATGAGGACACAGATACTGGTACCCTTGATAAAGGCAACCAGTTGGTGTCGAAATGTTGGGGTAGTTGGTGGCTTGTGTTTCTGCCTTGAGGCTTGTAAGATTTGGGTAAAGTACTTTTGATTACTGTTGCCTTGTGCTGTTACTTTGTTCCTGTCTGTAAATGCTTTATTATTTGTACATTCATTAAAGATTTACATTGATATTTTTGATTGTTATAGTGTGCATTTTGTATTATATATAAATTAGAGATTAGTGCCACTACTAATATACTGGATTGCCTACTTACCACCAGATGAGGACAAGAGGATGATGATGGGGTCAGGCTGCAGTCTGGCTCCACTGGTCTGGTGTTAAAACAGGCTCTCTGGAAGCAGTGCTCACAAAAATCAACGAACAGGAAGCAGCTAAATTTTTTTAGGGCAACCTTACACAGATCACGGTCTGGGCCCCTAGGGCCTGACCGTGAGTATGCCTACAAGGCCCACCCATAAGCCTTATGCCTACAGACCCACCCATGAGTTTGCTCACAGGGAGTGGAGTGTATGTGTGTAGGGGATGTGTTATGTGTTATTGTAGAGGATGTAATGTGTGTGTGTTTTTATGGAATGTAGTGTATAGGGATTACTGGGACATAGCAATACCAGGGTACTCTTTATATAGGAAAGATAGGGAAGGCAAGAAAGGGGGAGGGGTGGCCTTGTATGTGAAGGATAGCATAAAATCTAGCCTAATAAAAGTTAGTGAGGCAAACAGAGTCTGTTTGGGCTACGTTAGAATTTGGTAATCACACAGTAACTCGTGTAGGTGTGATTTATAGGCCCCCAGGACAAATTGAAGAGTTAGATAATCTACTAGTTGAGGAAATGGCTAAAATGACAATGAAGGGGGAAGTTGTCATCATGGGTGACTTTAATCTTCCTGATGTAAATTGGAAAACAAAATTAGCTACTTGTGCCAGGAGCACACATATTCTAAACTCCCTACTGGGATTGTCTCTAAAACAAGTTGTTGAGGAGCCAACTAGTAAAGAGGCCATACTAGATTTAGTGTTAACAAATGGAGATTTGGTATCAGATATTACTGTAGGTGAAAGTTTAGGATCCAGTGATCATCAGTCAGTGTGGTTTAATATAACAGTGACTGAGTCACACCACACAAAAACAAAAGTTTTAGACTTTAGAAAAACAGACTTTTCTAAAATTAGAATATGGGTAGAGGAGTCATTATCAGACTGGAGCAATTTAAATGGAGTCCAAGAGAAATGGGATTATTTAAAAGTTGCCCTATTGAAGGCAACAGAAAATTGCATTAGGCTTGTCAGTAAAAGCAAAAAATTCAAGAAACCACTGTGGTACTCCGCAGATGTGGCCAAAATAGTTAAAAACAAAAAGTTAGCATTTAGGAATTATAAAAAAAAAGTAAAACAAGGATTAGTTAAATTAAAAACAAAAGAAGGAAGGTATGTAGAAGAGTATAAAGGTCTAGCTGACTGCCTCAATGAATATTTTTGTTCTGTATTTACAGATGAAAATGAAGGAAAGGGACCTCAGTTGAGAAAAAGGATAAATGAGTCATTTATTACACGTGAGTTTACAAAGGAAGAGGTTCTATTTCAACTGTCAAAAGTAAAGACAAATAAGTCAATGGGACCTGATGGAATACACCCAAATCTATTAAAAAAAAGCTTAGTGGTGTACTAGCAAAACCATTAACAGATTTATTTTACCAATCATTGTTAACAGGAGTAGTCCCAGAAGATTGGAAGTTAGCGAATGTTGAGCCCATTTACAAGAAAGGTAATAGGGAGGAGTCGGGCAACTATAGGCCAGTAAGCCTTACTTCAGTAGTGGGGAAAGTGATGGAAACCATGTTAAAAGATAGGATTGATGAACATCTAAAAACACATGGATTTCAAGATCAGAGACCACATGGGTTTACTTCAGGGAGATCATGCCAAACTAATCCTATTGATTTTTTTTGATTGGGTAACTAAAATTATAGATCAGGGTGGTGCAGTAGACATTGCTTACCTAGATTTCAGTAAGGCTTTTGACACTGTTGCACATAGAAGGCTTATCAATAAACTTTGGATTCAAATATTGTTGAATGGATAAGGCAGTGTCTGAGTGACAGGCAACAGAGGGTTGTAGTTAATGGAATATATTCGAAGCTTGGACTTGTCACCAGTGGGGTACCTCAGGGATCTGTACTTGGACCCATTCTCTTTAATATTTTTATTAGTGATATTGCAGAGGTCTTGATGGTAAGGTATGTCTTTTTGCTGATGATACTAAGATATGTAACAGGGTTGATGTTCCAGGAGGGATAAGCCAAATGGCAAATGATTTAGGTAAACTAGAAAAATGGTCAGAACTGTGGCAACTGACATTTTAACAGCCACTATAGTACAGGAAAAGCAGTAGGTTTTCCGGCACTATAGTCGCTTCATGCAGTTACTCAGTTCGACCTACTAGTTACTAAATCATTACCTACTAGTTTTCCTGGCACTATAGTGCCCTGATTGCCCCCAGGGGACCCCCTCCCGCCCGGCTCTGGAAGGGGAAAGGGGTAAAACTTACCTTTTTCCAGCGCTGAGTAGGAGAGCTCTCCTCCTCCTCCCCCGATCCTCCTCCTGGGCTGAATGCTTGCAGCGCAAGATTTTAGCGCATTCAACGTTAAATAGAAAGCATTTACAATGCTTTCCTATGGAGACTAACGTGCTCTCACTGTGAAAATCACAGTGAGAAGCACGCAAGCGCCTCTAGTGGCTGTCAATGAGATAGCCACTAGAGGATTAGGGGGAAGGCTTAACCCATTCATAATTATAGCAGTTTCTCTGAAACTGCTATAATTATGAAAAATGGGTTAACCCTAGAAGGACCTGGCACCCAGACCACTTCATTAAGCTGAAGTGGTCTGGGTGACTAGAGTGGTCCTTTAATGTGGATAAGTGCAAGATAATAACGTAAAAACCCAAGAGCAGAGTACAGAATATTTGATAGAGTCCTATCCTCAACATATGAGGGAAGGGATTTAGGGGTGATTATTTCTGATGACTTAAAGTTAGGCAGACAATGTAATAGAGCAGCAGGAAATGCTAGCAGAATGCTTGGTTGTATAGGGAGAGGTATTAGCAGTAGAAAGAGGGAAGTGCTCATGCCATTGTACAGAACACTGGTGAGACCTCACTTGGAGTATTGTACACAGTACTGGAGACCGTATCTTCAGAAGGATATTGATACCTTAGAGAGGGTTCAGAGAAGAGCTACTAAACTGGTTCATGGATTGCGGGATAATACTTACCAGGAAAGGTTAAAGGATCTTAACATGTATAGCTTGGAGGAAAGACGAGACAGGGGGGATATGAGAGAAACATTTTAAATATATAAAGGGAAACAACACAGTAAAGGAGGAGACTATATTTAAAAGAAGAAAAACTACCACAACAAGAGGACATAGTTTTAAATTAGAGGGACAAAGGTTTAAAAATAATATCAGGAAGTATTACTTTACTGAGAGGGTAGTGGATGCATGGAATAGCCTTCCAGCTGAAGTGGTAGAGGTTAACACAGTAAAAGGAGTTTAAGCATGCGTGGGATAGGCATAAGGCTATCCTAACTATAAGATAAGACTAGGGACTAATGAAAGTATTTAGAAAATTGGGCAGACTAGATGGGGCGAATGGTTCTTATCTGCCGTCACATTCTATGTTTCTAGGGATACCAGTTTGTGTAAGGGATGTAGTGTGTGTGTGGGGGATGCATTGTGTGAATCTGTGTTTGTATGTGTAAGGGATGCAAGGTGTGTTTCTGTGTATATAATGTAATGCAGTATGTGTGTCTGTTATGGGTGCATTGAGTGTGTGTAAGAGTTGCATTAAGAGTGTGTAATGGATGCATGGTGTGTTACTGTGTGAGTGTAGGATGCAATGTATGTTTCTGAGCATGTGTGTGTGTGTAGGCATGCATCTTTCCCTTAGTGTTCTCTCCTCCCTCCCCCCATCTTTACCTTATTGGTCTCTCCAACCCCCCTCCATCTTTCCCTTAGTGGCCTCTCCTCTCCACCTCCATCTTTCTCTTAGTGGTCTCTTCCCCCCCCCCCATCTTTCCCTTAGTGGTCTCTCCCCCCACCCCATCCCCATCTTTCTCTTAGTGGTCTCTCCCCCCACCTTTCCCTTAGTGCTCTCTCCCCCCACCTTTCCCTTAGTGGTCTCTTCCATCTGTCCCTTAGTGCCATCTACCCTGTTGTGCCTCCTACCTCATGGAGCGTGACTGGGGGGCACGGACCGCGGTACAGGAGCTTCTGTTTCCTGTACCCAGCCTGACTGACAAGAAGTGCTCTCTCAGTGTGCACTTCCTTTCAGTCCGGCTAGGTATAGGAAACAGAAGCTTCTGTACCGCGATCCGTGATGCTCGGCTACGCTACACTAAGTGACAGGTAGGAGGGAGCACCGTGCACTTACCTTCTGCCGGGTCATTTGAAGCTTGCACCCCCCCCCCCCATAGGACGCGCCGGCCCTTGGGACACTATATACACAAATACAATTTGTGCTGGCACTCAATCACGTCTAAGGTGCAGGTATTCGAGGTTAACCCTGATAAAGCCTCATAATCAATCCACAAATAAATATGAATACCGCACTCTAGTCATATATATGACAAAAAATGAATAAGTGTTAATAATAATGCAATTACTTTATTGTTACCTTAACCTACTTTTAAATATGAGTGATTACGGAAATATTATTTACATCGTATATACGGTTACATTCATTTCATCGTATGTACAATAGCTATTTACAAAAACCCTCCATAAATTCTATTTAAATTCATCAAAGGGATATATATATATACAGTTGGCAATCATCCCACCGGTGATATCCAAGCGAAGTATCTAGCATGAAAAAAAATGCTGCTGCTGACTGTGTGAAATCCTAGTAAAAAACAAAGAAAGAGAAAAAAAGAAAAACAGGAAAAAATGAAAAATTATAAAAAAGGCAAAAAAGACAAAAAATAAAAGTCCAAAGTCCTTATATGCAACAGTCCAAAAAACTATAGTGCACTATGATAATCTCTATATATAGGTGGATATCACCAGTTGGAATATCCTCTTTATATAAAGAGTTGAAGAAGATGGATGGTTTTCTAATGGTAGATGAAAAATGAAGAGGGTGAATCTACTCCAGCAGGTTGGATAGGCAAACCTTCCTCTGTAGTGTAATGATCCTGCTGTGCGCGCTCGGGACATGCATGTCCCTTCGAAGGCCCCTGTAGTCTGCCAAACGAAATAAACAGTAATTTATATTCAAGTCCAGGGTGGCTAAATCAAGCCGTATCCACCCCTTTGTTCTCTTCCACTTCCGGACTGCGACGTCTACGTGCGTCAATGCGTTATCCGTATTCAGCACAACTTTATTGTTCACTCTTCTAGCAGACAGACAAGTTAATCGATTAAGGCAATTGAAAAGTACTTAATCTTTATACCAACAGATTATTGACATATTGAAATGCCGAAAGTATTATCACTGCTGTATTTAGCAGAAGAGAACTATTGGGTAGACAATTTATTTGAAAAAAGGATATATAATATATGATCCATACAAAGAAAATAAACTGTCTTCACATACATAACAGCAACTATTTTATATACAGGAAAGAGAGCTATATAAACCAAATTACCCTATTACAGATAAGTTAGTATAGGCAAAAAATATTGAGCAAACCCCATTATAAGATCAAAAGATTTTTATAATAACAAACAATGTATAATTGAAAAATGTAGAAAAAGTAAAAAATAAAAAATGGAAAAATATTTAGAAAAAATGCTACACTCTGAGTTAAGATATCATAGTGTTCATATTAACTACTAAACATCAAGCTTACCTTCAGCAGGTGATTAAGGGGTAAAAGAAGAATGAAAAAATCTTTATAAGTCCGATAACTGACCCACTGTGTGAAAAAAGTAAAATTCTTGTCAATGTTTTGGAACCGTATAGAAAATATTAACACTATCCATAAGTGCAACTCACCAGCCATGTAGTAGCCCAAAGTGCCCTCGGGCCATATACGTGAGGGACCCTGTACTGTTGGCAGGTAGCGGACCCATAAGGGTCAATATGACAACGGGAAAGGACGACGGACCAATAATGGTCAAAAGAAGCTTGGGACACTATAGACTATAGTGTCTAATGAAGGCTCTACTGTCTATAGCATATCCTTGCAGTACCTACTTACAGTATCTCCACTCTCTGCATGGAGACGCTGAATGCTCCCCATAGAGATGCATTGACTCAATGCATCTCTATGAAGAGATATTGATTGGTGCAACATGACATTTTGCTGTGCATGTGGAATAGCCTACCAATGCTTTCCTACAGGAAAGTAGTGGATTGACTGAGATCATCAAGATTGTTCTCAGTGGAGGTGGAGCCAACAGCACCGATGGAGAGAAGGTAAGTTAAATTAATTTCAACTCTTTTCTGAGGGGGTCTGGACACCTGAAACTGTCTGGGATGATTCATGGAGCAGCATTAATTAATTGGTTTGGAGAGGGGCATAGTCAGATAAGCCAATTCAAAATAACAGCAAAAGAAGATCAGAACAAAATATCACTAAGGCATCTCGTCTGAGCATAGGTGGAACAGGCACAGACAAATTCCCTGACATGCTTAGCCAATTCCAGCCACCAAAATTCCCTTTTGAATAGGTGAACTGGTGTTACAAATACAAATATGTCCAGCAATTCTGGAGGCATTTAGAAACAAAAACTTTCAGATGTAGAACAAATGAGCTTGTCGTGTTGAGTAGCCAGAATATTTTCTTTAAGGGAATTAGATATGAGGTTGCAACAGAATACAACTATTGGGTACATTGGGTGGAGCAGTCTCTAAGGACATCATTGATGAATTCTTGGAAGATAACAGGGACATTGCATAGGCCAAAGGGCATGACAGTATATTTGTAGAGCCTGCTAAAGTATTAAAGGCCATCTTCCAATTATGACCCTGTTTAAGCCTCACCAGGTTGTAGACTCCTCTGAGATCCAGTTTGCTAAAATTTTTGGAGCCTTTGATCCTCAGTAATGAGGGGAATTGGATAAGTGTTTTTGACAGTCATTTTATTGAGCCCTTGATACTCAATACAAGGTCTCAAATCCCCACCTTTTTTCTCAACGAGAAATAATCTATTGCAACATTGTTGCAGCATAGCACCACAGGAAGGCACCTAGGCTTATTAGGAAACAATGTACAAACACTCAAGGGCGATTCCCTGAGAGACTTTTGGTTTGGGTGTTTTCCTGACCTGGTAGGCAGGTGGCACGGAGCTGGCATTCTTCCCACAGTCTCCCTGTATGTGTATGGAGCTTTTAAGCTTCACAAAGTCTTTTCAGATCAAGCTGCATAGGGTCCTACACAGAGGGTATCAATGACATATCCGGGGAAGGGATGGAATTGGCTAGAAGCGAGACTATAAGTGTTACCCCAAGTCTTTTCCCTGTCCTTGACGGACTCAGAGTCTATTGTCAGTTACAGTGAGGTAGGTGACTAACCTCATAGGGAGGTCTCTGGCTGCAACTTTGTCTAAGAGAGTATCATATAACCCCTCTATGATTGTGTGCACCAGCAACTGGTTATTAAATTCAAGCTCTACCGCATACATACATAATTATGTGTTTCCCCAGTGGTCTAGAACCCTGCTTAAAGGATCACTATAGGGTCAGGAACACAAACATCTATTCCTGACCCTATAGTGTTAAAACCCTCTCATGCCTCCATAAATATAGTAAAAATCTTACTGTATTCAAGCCTGAAACCATAACTCTGCATGCTGTTAGACTACGAAAAACAAGCAGTCTACTGACATGTGGTAGCCTGATCCAATCACAGTGCTTTCCCATAGGATTGACTGAGACTGACAAAGAGGCAGATCAGGGGCAGAGCCAGCATGATTCAAACACAGCCCTGACCAATCAGCATCTCCTCATAGAGATGAATTGAATTAATGAATCTCTATGAGGAAAGTTCAGCGTCTGCATGCAGAGGGAGGAGATACTGAATCACAGGATGCTGTGCACAGTGCTGCCCTGTGCTCTGTTAACAGCAGATCTGAGTGGATGGAGGCATATTATGCCTCCATCAACAAAAGAAGTCCCTCTGGTTCACTCTGAGTGACTGCAACTGGAGGTGTTCCTAGCTTTCAATGTAAACACTGTATTTTCTCAAAACATACAGTGTTTACATGAGAAAGGCTGCAGGAAGCTATAGTTCTCATCTGAACAACCTCATTAAGCTGAAGTTGTTCAGGTGACTATAGTGTCCCTTTAAAATTAAGCAAAGTCAACAAATACAAACCACGCAAAATTAAATCCATGAAATCCACCTCCGCAAGGCAAACACGGCGCTGAAGAAACTCAAAGCAACGTCCTACTCAATGGGAAACAAAGCCACAAAACTTTTAGCACAAAGGCTCCGCGACAGGCAAGCACAAACAAGAACACAATTCATTTTCACACAATCCAGGCAAAAAGTAATGCAACCCACGCAAATATGCAATGAATTTGCTCAATATTATGGCACCCTATATAACTTGCAAGACCACCTCAACACGCCCCAACCCACCCCAGAGGCCATAAGAACATATCTCAACAAGATAGCACTCCCCAAAATCCACCCGCAACAAGCAACACAACTCGCCATGCCCATCACCACAGAAGAGATCCTCCATCATATTGACAAAATGTGCAAGGGTAAAGCACCAGGCCCCGATGGATACACCAACACATATTACAAAATGTTCAAACACAAACTTGCTACACCCCTCGCCCAGTTCTTCAACGAAGCAACTAGACTAAGTTCCTTCCCAACCGAGTTCCTGTCATCACGTTATCACGATCCCCAAACCAGGGAAGCCCCCTACTACATGCCAAAACTTAAGACCAATCTCCCTGCTCAACGCAGATGTCAAATTATACGCACACTCGCCCTCACACAACCCCCAATGGGTATCATTGGAAAGTCAGTTCTGCTTCAACAAGGACCTACCTTCCACACTATGGTCGCCCCCAAACCTAAGACCCCAAAACCTGGACATGCTACCCACTACCAGACTACTGATCTCTACATGGGACGCCAATAGAAACAAACTATGCTCGGCCCACCCATGGGCCCTGGCTGCCCCCATCAAGACCCTACACCCACTGCAACGGCACATTCCCACACAAGAAATGGAACGAGAAGGGCATTACACACCTATACCACCTCTACACAACTGAATGTCTAAAACCCTTTCCAGACCTACAATTAGAGTACGCACTTCCCTCGAACTTCACATTCGCTTACCTCCAAATAAAAGCGTTGCTGCTAGAAAACACGGTCAGTACAAGGAAACAGACACTACGAGCCTCAGTAACAAAGTTTGAATTACAATGTATAGCGACGTCACCCCCAAAGAAAACACTCTCAAGTTGTTACTACCTCCTAGCGAACCCCAAATTAGAAGTCGATTGGAAGTTCATGAGAGACTGGCAAGGAGACCTCCAGAGACAAATAACCCCACAAGAATGAGAGACAATCTTCACGTCACACGAAGGACTGACCACCTGTGCTACCCACTTCGAGACAGCACGAAAAATACTCTATAGGTGGTACATGGTACCTTCCCGACTGCATTCCATATATCCTAACACAACGGACGCATGCTGGCGCTGCAATTCACAAGCAGCACTATGCTTCATATGTGGTGGTCTTGCGAGACAGTAAACAGGCTCTGGAAAACCACCGAACACCTGATCCGAGAAATCACAGATTACACCCTACCACACGACCCAGCAGCAGTACTTCTCAAGTTAATTCCAGATAGCATCCCCAAACCAACACAGAAAATGATATTCCTCATACTCAGCACAGTGTCCACTCTGACAGCCAGGAACTGGAAGACCCCCACTCTCCCTTCAGTCTCAAAAATCACAACCCTAATGTTTGCAACAGTAGACTACGAACTCCAACTGAACATAGGGAAGCTAAGCCCAACCATTGCTGAGATGTGGAGAACCCACCTACAAAAGTCAACAACACCTAAACAAGCATCACAGCCTAATGCGACACAAGGCTAACATGACCAAGAAATGTGTTACAAACTCAGACACCGACTAGGTCTAACATCCCACCACAGAACCTTGCCAACATAATGATGCTTTCTGGTACCACACCTAAGACCCCCTTGTTACCCTATCCAGCACACATTCCCTTAGCTCCCCCCCTCCTCCACCTGCTCTGACACCCTAAACAAGGATGTCTTGGCAGAGCTACATATCTCAGCTACTAGCCACAGATCACCCCACGACCACAGTCACCACGCAAAACCTGCCTGACCTGAACCAGACAACCACTCAATGGATACTGAGTAACAAGACTTCCAAATGGAGCACGGACAGAACACAAACACAAGATAGCTCCCAGGCCCCCAAAGGTTAACAGACATGTTAATAACCTCCCCCATACAACTTACGGTTTCTAATGTGTTACAGCCCTCAACCTAAAAGCACGGAAAAATGCGTGAAAATGTATGTATTACTTACAATCAGTGTCATGATGCACAATTCCTTATTGTTCCCCTCCCCTTTTGCCTTCTGTACCCCATAATACTTGAAAATAATAAAGAACAAATAAAAAAATAAAAAAAGTTAAGCAAAGTCTTAGCGACAGTGTCTGCGTGCCCTGGTGGCTGAACATCTCTAAAAAGGCTGAATAATTGGAGACAAAAGGAAGTTTCTTTTACCAGAAAGGGTTAGCCCAAGCCAAAGACTTACAAGTCAGGTGGTTAATAATATACCCCACATTGGACCTGTCTGTAGGGAAGGAATGAGGGGAAAGTACAGAGTTAATAGAAACTTGATTGAGAAATATCCTATAAACCATAAGATTGCCAGCAAACACAGATTTAAGCTAGGTGTCTTCCTGGTGGCATACATAGAGAAGTGTGGAGGTAGTGAAACTACCTGTGGAACCACAGGGGGAGCAGGCTCAGATGGCAGAGCAGTAAGAAGCAGGGTGGTTTACAAAGCTTGGACAATCTGGTCCATTATGTGATGTCAATCAGAAATATCAGGTTGCTCAGAAATAAAACAGACAACCATCTGGAATCGCCCCAAGATAACAGGTTCCACAGTGGCACAGCAAGCAGGGGGCAGCAGTGGAAAGTGGGAACCATGGGTTCAGAGGTAGTCTTCCTGACAGACACCGCCTCCAGCTCATTGGACAATCATTGAGGATTAAAGCGTTGGTGGTGCCAATTCACCATTCTCAGTTAGTGTGTGACCAGACAATATCTCATCAGGGAGGTAAGCCTCACACCTACTGGCCTTGGGAAGGCATAAGCCATCAGTAAAAAAAATGGTTTAATTTTCAGTTCTTACTGCACAGTGTGCTTAGATATTCCTATCACTGGCCCTGTTAATTCAATTTAAATCACACAAATGAAGCGTCTGTAGGTTCTAACAGGCATTTAACAGAACAGAATTCTAAATTAAACACATTGCACATTGCTAGGGCTAATGAGGAAGTATTAGCTTGAGCAGCAATTGGTGGCTGTGATTACCGGAGACCGTTTTTCTGGCTCTTTAGGGTCCTTGGGTCCCCCTCACCCTCTGGGCCACCCTCCCACCGGGCTCTAGGGGCAGGAAGGGGTTAAACACTCACCTTTTTCCAGCGCCGGGCTCCCTTTGGCGCCAGGGAATCTCCTCCTTCTGCCGCCATCGGCTAAATGCGTATGCGCAGCAAGACCCGCGCGCATTCAGCCAGTCTCATAGGAAAGCATTCTCAATGCTTTCCTATGGACGCTGGCGTCTTCTCACTGTGAAAATCACAGTGAGACGTGCGGAAGCGCCTCTAGCGGCTGTCAATGAGACAGCCACTAGAGGCTGGATTAACCCATTTGTAAACATAGCAGTTTCTCTGAAACTGCTATGTTTACAGCAGGTAGGGTTAATCCTAGATGGACCTGGCACCCAGACAACTTCATCAAGCTGAAGTGGTCTGGGTGCCTATAGTGGTCCTTTAAATATTTGTCTTGTTTCCTATTGCACAGTGCTGTTGGTGCTTTATAAATAATTGTAATACTTGCAAGAGAAGCTCAGAATTGCATCAGTTTGTAAAAATAGTCCTTGGCCTGCCCCACAGAGCTATCAGTCAGGAAGCCTGGAACGAGCCCCCTACCTTTGTTACTATTGTCCAAGTTTTACTTGCTGAACATTACAGGGAAAGCTGAACCCATGGCCTCATCCGGCAAACCATGCTATTTGTATACTTGGCTATATGTATACTGGTAAAATGCGATATGACCGCTGTGGCTTTACAGTGCTCTTTTTATTCAATATTTAAAATATGTTTTACCCCACATATTCCCTTTCATGACATGTTCAGTTGCACTTTTTGGGGCCTTTTTCTATTTTCCCAATATGCTGGACAGCATTAGACTAAAGAAAACAACAGAGGGAAGATCATGAGTTCTATTCCAGGACCATACATAAGAGAGGTTCCATAAAAACAGAGGGAAGATCAGGAGTTCTATTCCAGGACCATACATAAGAGAGGTTCCATAAAAACAGAGGGAAGATCAGGAGTTCTATTCCAGGACCATACATAAGAGAGGTTCCATAAAAACAGAGGGAAGATCAGGAGTTCTATTCCAGGACCATACATAGGAGAGGTTCCAGAAAAACAGAGGGAAGATCAGGGGTCATATTCCAGGACCATACATAAGAGAGGTTCCAGAAAAACAGAGGGAAGATCAGGGGTCATATTCCAGGACCATACATAAGAAAAGTTCCATAAAAACAGATTCCAAACCTTAAATTATACAATGCCAAAAGCGCTGATGATAAAATGTAACTGTTAGTAGTTAAGTTTCATCAGATGCTGTGTAGCTTATTATGATGATCCTGTTAGTAATTTGGAATGCTTAACCAATTCTATGTATGTTAGTATGTGTGTGTGTGTCACTATGTATGTCTGTGTGTCTTTATATGTCTGTGTGTCTGTTTCAGTATGTGTGTATCTTTGTGTGTGTGTGTATTTGTGTCGTTTTTGTATCAGTGCGTGTGTTTGTGTCTGTGTGTGTATTCATGTGGGTGGAGTTTGGAGGTGGAATGAGTGGGTCAGTGGGTTTATCCACTAACAAAAGACTTTGGAAGCCATTTCCAAAATATGCCTAATGTATGTAGCTATTTTTTGTCAAACCCTTTAAAATCAGTTTATCCAATAAAATAAAGTGGTTATGGTATCTACAATGTTCCTTTAATTCACAAGGGTTTAGGGTGAAAAATAAATTATCTTTGAGTAAGCATTATTACAATGTGGTCATAAAGTAAACAGGTTTGTTTATTAGTCCTGGGCAGTAGTGCCAAAATTAAAAGTAATAAATTGAAGTCTGTGTTAATTTTCTTACCAACAACATCTATTTAGTTAGCTGAAGAGCATGTAAAGAGGAAGTCTGAAGAAGTTATGTAACAGAGATAATAGTGCAAGGGCTTGAGAAACTTTCTGAAGAAAACTTCCAGATCACTCTTCCATTCCAATCACTCTTCCATTCCAAATGAACGATGGCCCCTGCAAGACAGTTACTCAAATTTGAGGGCATGTCTATAAATTGCCCCATGAACTTCAATAAAACTGTAATAAATTCTGCAGAAAGTAGGTGAAGTGGTTTTAGTGCTTAGACTAACTTTTCACAGTCATCATGCAGTGCTGGGCTTTAACCCCTTAAGGACACATGACATGTGTGACATGTCATGATTCCTTTTTATTCCAGAAGTTTGGTCCTTAATGGGTTAAATGATCACTATAGAGTCAGGAACACAAACATGTATTCCTGACCCTATAGTGTTAAAACCACCATCTAGCCCCCCTGGGCCCCTCATGCCTCCATAAATATAGTAAAAATCTTACTGTATTCAATCCTGAAGCTGTAACTCTGCATGCTGTTAGACTCAGAAAAAAAAGTCTGCTGACATCATCAGAAGTGGTAGCCTGAGCCAATCACAGTGCTTCCCCATAGGATTGCCTGAGACTGACACGGAGGCAGATCAGGGGCAGAGCCAGCACACTTCAAACAGCCCTGGCCAATCAGCATCTCCTCATAGAGATGAATTGAATCAATGAATCTCTACGAGGAAAGTTCAGTGTCTGCATGCAGAGGGAGAACACACCGAATGTTTGGATGCATTTTAGGCAGCCATGACCCAGTAAGGATCTCTAACAACCATCTGAGGAGTGGCCAGTGAAGTTATCACTTGGCTGTAATGTAAACACTGGATTTTCTATGAAAATACAGTGTTTACAGCAAAAAGCCTGACGGTAATGATTCTACTCACCAGAACAAATTCAATAAGCTGTAGTTGTTCTGATGAAGTGTCCCTTTAATGATCTATTGACGGAATGAGCCATTAAGCATTAAAAGTACCAGCATGGATGTAGTGTGTACAGTGAATGCAGAGTGTGTGTTGTAGATGTAGTGAATGAAGAGTGCCTGTTTGTGTAAGGATGTAGTGTGTGTAGTGACTGCAGAGTGTGTGTTTGTGTAGTGGTTGTACATCTGCAGAGTGTATGTTTGTGTAAGGATGTAGTGTGTGCAGTGACTGCAGAGTATGTGTTTGTGTAAGGATGTAGTGTTTGTAAATGTTGTAGTATAGTATAAAGTGTGTGTAAATGTATGGGGATACATAATGTGGGGGGAACAGCCTACAGTATTTTTTTTTAATCCATTAATTGTAATGTTTTATACCCCCCTCCCTGTTTCTTACCTGTGGCCAGGGAGACTTAAGGAACACGAGAAGTAGAAAGTTTGATGAGAAGAGTTCATGTAGCTTTAAGGAACACGACATACAGAATAAGGTGATGAGAGTTCCTGTAGCTTTAAGGAAAACAATAAGAAGGTAATTCGTTGAGATGAGTTCCTGTAGCTTTAAGGAATACAATAAGAAGGTAGTTCGTTGAGATGAGTTCATGTAGCTTTAAGGAACCCAAGTGGGAATTAGCGTCTTGTATTATAATACAGAGAGGATGCAGAGGAGTAATCTGCGAGGATAAGTTCATGTATGAATACAGAGATAGCTTTCCCATTAATAGACATTGAGGTGCCAGTAGAAAGGGATAGTCCAATATTTACTTGCTGTAAGTTGGCAGTTAAACCAAGAAGAGTGTTCCAAAGGTAATCCGAGTCGAGGTAAGGAGAATGGAGATCAGCGGTTTAAACAGTCCAGGTTCGGTACACGTAGTCAGTAGTTTAGTGTGATAGTTTGTAGCCGGTCAGAAGACAGGAAGCTTCAAAATAATCAAGCACTTTGAATCTGGCACGGTTCCTCAAAGTAGCGCGAGGAAGCTGCCGTGAACCCGGAAGTGTCGGATATTGGCAAAGCCGCTAGTTAAGTTCTGACATAAGGTAGCATAAGCACCTGCTTACCCAGACAGCAGGTGTCTACTCAGTTGAAATATACTGCGTCCAGAGGGGTAGAAAGAAGGCGGTGGCAAGGGAGCGCTGATCTTCCAACTCTTCTACACTGTTCCCTCACACACTCTGCGATGATGCTGGGAAATGATGTCACAGTGCACAAAGGAGCAGTGAGGAAAAGAAGGATTCAAGTAGCTCCCTGGACCACGGGGACAGGATCTCCACATAAACCCAGAAAGAGCCCACACCAGCTCTCCCAAAGCTAGAGAGGCTGAGTGGGCCTAAAAAACAAACACCCACCCTCCAATCTAAATAAAATTAATTTGTCAGTGAGTGTGTGAGCAATGTGTATATGTATGAGTGTGTCAAATCAGTGAGTGTGTGTATGTCTGTAAGTGAGTGTGTGTGTGTGTGTGTCAGTGTGTGCCTGTCAGTGAGTGTGTGCATTTATCAGTTTGTGTCAAATCAGTGAGAGTGTGTGTATGTCAGTCAGTGTGTATCGTTGAGTGTCAAATCTGTGAGAGTGTGTATGTCAGTTAGTGTGCATGTGTGCCTGTCAGTGATTGTTAGGGGAGAGAGACAGGCTGCGAGGACGGGAGAGCCAGCTGACTCCCATCAGCCCCAGCCACCCTCCTGCAATTAAAAGGTAAGAAAAAATAGCTATGTATGTATGTATCTGTATGTATGTGTATGCTTGTCAGTATAAATATGTATGTATGTATGTATGTATGTATCTATCTATCTGTATGTATGTATATCAGTATATGTATGTATGTATGCCTGTCTGTGTGTATGTTAGTATGTATGTATGTATTTCAGTATGTATGTCAGTATGTCTGTGTGTATGTATGTCAGTATGTATGTATCTGTATGTATGTCAGTATGTGTGTGTGTATGTATGTATGTCTGTGTGTGTGTGTGTGTGTGTATGTATGCTTAGGGCAGCACAAAACCAGGATACACCACTGTCTGTATGTATGTTAGTATGTGTCTGTGTGTCACTATTTATGTCTGTGTGTCTGTTTCAGTATGTGTGTATCTTTGTGTGTGTGTGTATTTGTGTCGTTTTTGTATCAGTGCGTGTGTTTGTGTCTGTGTGTGTATTCATGTGGGTGGAGTTTGGAGGTGGAATTTGGGGGAGGGCTTTGAGGCGGGTCCCCAGGGGCCCAGACCTTGAGCAGTGTTAGGGGTCCTAAAATTTCTGATGGCAGTGTGTTTGTCATTGAGAGTGTTGGTCAGTGTGTCTGTCAGTGAGTGTCAAATCAGTGAGAGTGTGTCTGTCAGTGAGTGTGTGAGCCTCCTGTCTGTGATTAAAGTTCAGTTTACAGAGCAGGAAATAAAATAAAAACTTCTTAAGTAACACCTGATTAAAAATGAAACCATTTTGTCCTGCAAACAGTGTCAGTTACAGCAAGGTAAGGTGTGGCTATTGCTGAATAAACAGAGTGATTTAACTCCTACATGATAGAGAATTGAGCAGTGAGACTACAGGGGCATGATTTATATACATTTTTTTTCATTAAGCTAAAGTTGTTTTAATGCCTATAGTATCCCTTTAAAGTTATAATGTCAGAATGTCAAAATTTTCACAGTTTTAGCTTCAATCCTTAACTCACTCCTTTCAGTATTTATTTCATAACTTCTAAAAAATTAATTGAAATCCTAGACATATTGGGCATTCCAACAACCAGGACTAATTACTGAATCTATTTTAAATTCGTTTTTTTTAGTTTCTTTTGTTGTGTAAATATTATTAAACTTAGAACTGAGAAACATTTTGTTGTTGTTTTTTCCATTTTTAAAATATTTTATTCCTATTTAATATTGTGTTATATATACATATAGAGTATCAAAAGAAAGCCTTATTTCTCCTTTTACAAATGCTATACAAAATGTATGGGTACACTTTTAAAAAAGGTGAAATTGTGGTAGAATTAACACATGGCAAAAGTGCCAAAAAGGCCTCTGTCACAAATCTGCCACAACTCATAAGAGCCTTCATCTTTAACTAGTTAAATAAACAGAAATTCACAGTAGTAGAAATTCACCATAACAAATGGAAAATAAAATTTGTGGGGGAAAAAATTATTGACACTAGGCTTATTGCATACAAACCCATGTTTAATTTCAGGTGTACTGTTGTGGCCACCAGAAAGAAGTTCCCAATAATTGCTGCACAAGTACATCTTTTGATGTGCTCTGGCTTCTCAAGTTGAACTCAGTTTATCTAGCCCACAAGAAAGTGCTTCAACAGCACAGTACTTGGGCAACCCAGAGCATTGCTGGCCTGTCATGCTGCTATGCCCTATTTCACATAGAACTGCAGTTCCAACCACCATTGTGTCAACCCCTTTGGTCCATCCCAATCCTTGAGAAGGGATAGGGGTTATTTATGTACTCAACAGAATGTTGCGGAAAACATGTTTTTATTCCCACCAGTAGCCAAAATTAAGATTAGATTATCCACTGTGAAATTGCTACAATATACTTATACGTGCATACCTTCCGACATTTCAAATGGACAGAAAGGTGCACTTTAAGGAGTTCTGTGTGTGGCCAGGGAAAGGGCCGTTATGAGAATGTTTACATAACTTGTCAATAGTGATGTCCCGAACTAATCGCCGAATGGTTCGCGAACGGTTCGCCACGAACGGTTCGCTGCGGACTCATCATTGAGTAAACTTTGACCCTGTACCTCACAGTCAGCAGACACATTCCAGCCAATCAGCAGCAGACCCTCCCTCCCAGACCCTCCCACCTCCTGGACAGCATCCATTGTGAAGCTGCATTCTTAGTGAGCTGTCCAGGAGCTGGGAGGGTCTGGGAGGGAGGGTCTGCTGCTGATTGGCTGGAATGTGTCTGCTGACTGTGAGGTACAGGGTCAAAGTTTACTCAATGATGAGTCCGCAGCGAACCGTTAGTGGCGAACCGTTCGCGAACCATTCGGCGAACAGTTCGGGACATCACTACTTGTCAATAATTCATGCCACTAAAAGTTAATATAGAAAAAAAAATTAATTCTATTAACACAGACTGATTTCTAAAAACGCATTCTAGCAATATGGAGCTTGTAGAATAGAGGGACATTTGGATAAAAAAAAGAGGGACAAATGAATTTGGGCACAAAACAGACACTTGGGAACTAAAGGTATTGAATAACTAAATATAATCAGAAGCCATGGCTTAGGCTAGTTATCAAGAGGTTTCATGTGAAGTGTCAAAATGCCCCATGGTAAATAACATGTTGGCTGGTCTACTTTTGTCAAATATGTACTTTTTATAGCTGTTTTGGATTCAGTGAATGATATAAACACTATCCCGACTAGGGTTTGCGATGCCGTACTTCCATAGGAGGGCTTTAACCCCATTAGGGTGGCATAGCGTGCCCTAACGAGCTGGCCGTCCCTCCGACTGGAATGCTTACTTTAGCTGACAATCACGGGACCTGCCTGACAACCTATGTTGTTCCGCTGCAGCCAATCCAGCCGGTCAGTGCACTGCGATCACATGACTCGGATCTGCGGGATTGGCTGCAGGGGAATTGCCTGGTTTGTCAGGCAGGTCCCTCAATATGGAATCATAATAATATATCATTATACATATAATAACACGAAAATGACACTTAGAATTAAATAATGAAATATTTATATATATTCATTCTAACTGTATTTTGATATTAAAAATAATTATACAATAATTTATAATAGTTATTAGTTGTTAATATAATAGCCCAGCAGAAAAATAACATTTCTTAATTTTTCACACAATTATGTTTCAAATATTACTTTTTACTATCAACTTTACCATCCCACAAATTATAGGAAACAATATTAGAGAAATGGAATGAAAACTGCCCCTTGGAGGCTGGAAGGTAATACGATGTAGAAATAATTTGCCTTCCAAATCCTCTTTTCTTTTTTCTCCTTTCCGCATATTAGATGAAAAACTGTGCCAACTCCCTATGGGTTCTGTTCAATTGTTTAGTCTTGTGGTATTTTTTGTATTCAATTTTTTAGTAACTAAATGTTACGACCGACAACAATATGGAATTTAAGTTCTAATACGCAAATGTATTGTGTATAAGTGTACAACGTATCGTCTTTTATAAGAAATCAAAAAATATTATGAAAAATAAATAAATATATGTATATATTATGATTCAATTATGGTTGAACAGAGAATAGCTCAAATTCTACGTTTTGTTTTGCTTCAGAACTTGGACAGTTGCATCCGTCCTTAAAGGGTTTAATATATATAAACACAGATTACAAAATTGGGCAAATATGTAATTTTACTACAATAATTCACTCCATGTGTTGTCAGTCCAGAACTCCCATTTTATGTCCTAAAAATTGATTGACATCCCATGGGGCTTTTCCACTAAGTCAGGACTGATATGGGGGCACTTATTGAAAAAACTGTGAAATAACGGAATAAACTCATAGTAAAAGTGCCAAAGGTGGCTTCAGGCTAACACATGTATATCAGTCACCAGGGGGTTAACTGCAGCTTGATGGCTGAGCTCATGTTTACATTGGCGCCATGTTTGAATAAACAGAGTACTTTATGTGACCCCAGTAAGGAGACCTCCAGAACCTGAGCAGCTCAGGAGCGACGTGTCTCAATCAGATACCCCGTACTAATCAATGGCTGCTGCATAGCACACCATAAACATAAAAGGCTACTTTTCTCCTTAGCCTCGATTTCAATCCCTCGTGTTTGCCAACCAACAAGGTAACAGTTTACAGCTTCCTACTGATTTGCCAACCATAGGCGTGTTCACGCACATTCCCGCCCACCAGTGGATTGTCCAAACCAATCAAACGTAGCGCAGTATCTTCCTGCGTTCGCCTCTTCACGCCTTTATGTGCGAACCACGCCCACTTTCTTTCAGACCAGCCAATCAGCTCGCTCAGGCGTGTGAAGTGTCTTCAGTGAGCGAGAGCAGGAGAGAGCAGAGGGTGCAGGGATACCCGGGAGGAAGTACAGGTTCACAGCTGGTGGTATATTGTGCTATTAGCTATTACTACGTGAGGGTCAGCAGAGATACAGCACTTAGGGATAATATAGAGGGTACATTTACAGTGAGGGCTTCCAGAGGTTAAATAATATTTTATTTATTATTTTCTTTTCAAAGTTTTCACACTCTAATGTAAGAGTTTACTGGGAGTTGTTTACAATGGGGGTTGTTTAGGAAATGAATGGGTTGGGGGGAGGGGGTAGTGTAAAAACAGAGGGATGTTGTTGGACCATGTTTATAGGTAATTTGCAATTTAATAGTTTGAAAAGAGCCCACTTTATTAGTTTTGTAGAGCGTAATGAGGCTGTAAATTAAATTCTTCATTACTGGCTAATGGCATAATTTTAGTGCTAAGATTGGCACACTTGGTATATAAGGCAAAGAATATATGTTTGGGGATGTGAAGTTTAAACTATATACTGATATATATTTTGCCTAATGGAATTTGCTTTATTTATAGGATTTAAGACCAGTTCACTGTCTATAATGAGGAGCCGGAGCAATTCTGGTGTCCGCCTGGATAGATATGCCAAACTTGTGCAGCAAACCATCCTCTGTCATCAGGTCAGTGCATTTTCGAATTGTTGATAGTTTTCATACTTAAACTGGGATTAGCGTAAGTATTTTGATTTTCCTAGGGAGACCTTATGACCGCTTTTGTTCCTCAGTATCTAAATTTGTAATTTATTTAGCATTTCATTTACTTTATTGCATAGTACTGAGAAACAGGTTTTATTTTTATAAATAATTGTGCTGAATTCTTAGTGGAATGGTGCAGTATATTTGTTACATTATGTCTGGACTAATCATACTTTAGTCCGACACAAAAGTAAGCACTTTTGTCTAAACTTGCTTTGTTACTATTTGAATGTTTTATCCTTGTACAGCATTGTGTAACATATTGCTTCTAATTATGATGGTTTACCTGGATTCTAAAATGTTACTATATTGTCACTTTTCCAGGGTATTTATTGTATCTAAGTAGATGGGTGAATTGAAACATAGAATGTGACGGCATATAAGAACCATTGGGCCCATCTGATCTGCCCAATTTTCTAAATACTTGAATTAGTCCATGGCATTACCTTACGTCTAGGATAGCCTTATGCCTATCCCACGCATGCTTAAATTCCATCAATGTGTTAAACTCTACCAGTTCAGCTGGAAGGCTATTCCATGCATTCACTACCCTCTCAGTAAAGTAATACTTTCTGATATTATTTTTAAACCTTTGCCTCTCTAATTTAAGACCATGTCCTCTTGTTGTGGTAGTTTTTGTTCTTTTAAATATAGTCTCCTTTACTGTGGTGATTCTCTTTATGTATTTAAATGTTTCTATCGTATGTATGCATTGAAATCTGATGCTTCATAACTCATAAGTTCAGCTCAACAAGTAACTAACATGTAGTCCTGGCTTAATTCTGTTGTTGGCTTTCTTTCTTTATAATTCACGCCCTTGGCACTGTACACAATGCTTTTCTACCAGCCACGGGATTATAGGTGAGGAGTTAGAATTCTTGTGTTCTCTGGTTTATTTACACATTGATTAATCAAACATGAATGTATAATATGTTTTTTCAGGTTATACATACATTTCTGTCCCAAATCTGAAGTTTGTCCCAGGTACCTGGCCTCCAGTAGGTTTCAATGAGTGAACTGTTGAACCGTTGTGCATAAATTATGTATGGCATTAAAGTAATTTTGTTATTTTATTGAGTCCCCTCAGCTTTGATCATAAGTTTATTTAGAAGGGGAATCACTTTCATAGTTGGATTCCAATCTGGAGAGCTTTGGAAATAAAATGAGCTTTAATATTCAACAAAGGTGTCTTGGAGTGTTACACATGTCACAATTTATAGATTATAGAATCAAAGCAGGTCTTTTTGTTGTCCAAGGTTCATGCCAAACTTGGCCCTCTGGCAGTCATGTACCTTTTATTCAGGTTGGGCATGTGGCTGGCTTCATAAAGCAGAGCTGAAACCTGTTCAGACCTGCATTGTTGTATATTTCTCAATTAAAGGGGCATGCATCGTTTGACTATTTTTGTTTTTAACCAGCAAGAAAACACTTTTAAACAAATGTACAAACCAAAATAAGCAAAAAGAAAAACATTGAAAAGTATGTAATAAATGTTAATAAACTCAATATAAACTTGTCACATTGCATTATTAGATGCCTCGTAGCTAAGGGAGTTTCTTCAGTCCACTGAGGCATTGGCATGGTGCAGCAGCAGGAGAGAGAAAACAGACACCAGATCATTCTCTGCATTATCACATTGCTCAGATTGACTCTCTTTACCCCCTATCAGGATGTTTCCAGGTGAAAAGATCTTCCAACTGGACATGTGTAACTGTCAGATATGCCCAATTCACCTTTCCAGCATTCCAAGGGATAGCATACTGATTGGTTAGATCTTCTTCCTCCCCTAAAGTGGGTGGGGAAAGCATAAGAAAGAAGAAACGAGTAAACATGCAAAAAATCATATTTACCTGAACTTGCAGCCTGCAGAGTGAGGCAACTGTCTCATTCAAAGCTAAAGCTTTTGAATGAAGCAGTTGTCTTGAAGTGATATGTCCCTTTAAATAAAGTTAGTGAATTTGAGATCTTCAAGTAGATGTCATGGGTACACTAAGTTATGTTTTATGGAGGAGTATTTAAAAATATAACCCCCCCCCAAACATATATATTACTCTGGTATATTGGAGTTTTCCTCTCTTCAAAACTCTTGAAAGTTTGTCGTTGAAATATTATCTCTCTCTATCTCAAATATAAACTTTCTTCTCCAAGCATCATGATCATTACTACCTGCCCTGGCTTAGTTTCCTTACCTTGGTCCCTGCTGGTCTTGATTCTTTGGTAGTCCAGTTACAAGCTTTTGCAGAGATGTGGAAGTCACTGCTATTGTCATTCCTTCACTAAGAATGTCTGCTGAATGCTCTCCTTAAGTGAATGTAATTCTGGGCAATGGAAGTTACACAGAATAAAAATGAGCCTGGCTTATGACACTGCAATGATGCTGCAGGAGGTTGAGTTACACCTTCGGCAACCTAGGCGTTGAACAACGTATGTGCAGAGTTTCAAAGCGGAAAGCTGCACAAACAGACTCCATGCACCATGACCACTTAAAGTCACTTAAGTGGTCATGGTGCTTGGAGTAACCCTTTAAAGTTGAGTACCTTCTCTTACCTATCCATTCTCAACATTGAGACCGCGAAGATCATCCTTGCTTGCTAGAGGAGTGTAGGGATTGAGTATAATCTGTTACCACTTTTGACATTGTTGGATAATGTCCATCCCTCCTCTTATTAACAAAAAAAAGTCCCACCTTTTTTCAAACCCTAATTATATCTAGTTGTGGGATGTGTATTCTGTAAACATTTTCTATACACTTTCTGAAATATATTTCAATACTTAGAGGGCCTCTATACAAGTTTAATTCATGTGATTTCGTCATGTGGTTTTGTTATAATACATATTCTGAAATATAATTATTTAATTTTTTTCCACATGATCAAAATAGCTTTTGCACAATGCAAATTAAATGATTGGCAGAATGCTGACCAATAAACCTGCCTTCTGAGCTATACCCCTACATTCCAGTAAGACTTCTGTTTCAAATGTATCCAGTTCACTGGGTGTCCTATTCTTCTAATGCAGGTTGATTTGTAGTTGAGATCATTCAGTACTGTCAGTGACTGAGGTTTGTGCATATATTTGATAAGTAAGTCTTTTTCTGCAGAGAGGGTGGTGTGGCTACGGAGGCTGGCTTATGGTGCAGCATTTTGCAAACCATTTATTTTACTATGCACGAAAACTGTAAAGTTTTGAGCATGCAAATAAAATACAGTGGGACCTCGGTTTACAAACGCCTCGGTTAACATAGTTTACAAATGAAAATTAATTGAAAATAATGCCCTGGTTTACAAATTTTTTTCACAATACAAAGCAAGTTTCCGAAGGATGCATGGCACCTGGGAGGTTTATAGCACCGCCCCCTGCATACTGGAGCCTGTGGGTAACACGTGGCGTCGAGTGTGGAGGTGTTGGAGCGGCTTTTGCATCGAGTTTTGGAGCCATTCTAAAAATTGTTTGCAGTTGCTTTGGGACTTTTTGGTGCATATCTCAAGCTGTGGAAAGATAGGGAGCTGAGATTCGTCGTTTGCATGCCTTTTATTGTGTGTTCTAAATTGTGGGTTGGTTTCCATGCCAACTCATTTTGACTTTTTTTTCTGACCTCCAGAATGGATTAATTGGTTTTCAATGCATTCCTATGGGAAACCGCGTTTCGGTTTACAAATTTTTCACAATAAGAAACGTCCCGGAGCACGCATTAAATTCGTAAACCGAGGTCCCACTGTACAGCATATTAATGAAGCCAAAACCTGTCAAATGCATTAACGTTGTATTGGTGCACGCAGTGTCCGTTGAAAACCACTTCATTGAGTTTAAGTACCCTTATTTTATTTCCTTCAATTCAGGTGTTAATAAAGTAAATTTCAGCTTAGCTGATTTCCTGATTTTGAAATTCATAGGAACCATTCGTACAACCAGAGTTATTTTCTACTGGCTGTATTGTTTCCATTAATGTCTATTGAAGCTCAAAATATAAATGTAAACATTTTTAAATTTTAAGTTTTTCTTATATTCTTTCCACGCAACTGGATGTAGAGTGGGAACACATGGTTAAATATTTGTCATTTCTGTTGATTAACATAACTTACATGTATAGTACGTATGGGACATGGTTGAAAAGCTGTAATCGTGTGATTTGTAATGTTCCAAAAACAGCTGTGTTTGGACTGCATATTCCAATACTGTGATTATTTATTTATTTATTTATTTCGAAAATATTTTACCAGGAAAGATACATTGAGATTTCTCTTGTTTTCAAGGATGTCCTGGGTCAAGATTATAATGATCCAAATCAAATTCTTGCTTATGTATGTGATATTTCTCTCCTTCTTTGTATATAAACACTAAAAAACAAAAAAAATCTAACAAGCTTCAATCAACTTTTTAGAATCGATGGATAGCGAATGTAATTATTGAAGGACACTAAAAAAATATGGAATAAAAAGATCCCAATTGACTGTATTAGTTTGTATCTTTCTTCTATGTTGGTGCGAATGTGCAGTTAAATGGTTTGGATTTTGTAATTCAATATCTTCTAATATTAGGAGAGGTGTATAAGAGGACATCAGCTTAAAATAGCTGCTGTGGGTTTGTGCTCTGGCTGGTACAGTGATAGATTTACCGGACAGACGTGGTTTGCTACATGACATTGCTGAATTGTAGTTCTAGTACAGGGACGCTGTAGTGAAATAGTCTTTATTCATGTAAATGTTATGTGGTGAGTATATTTGATTTGTAAGTGTTTCTTTCCAAATTACCTAGTATAAATCTTGTGAGCTAATGCTATTCTTTAACTTTGCAATATTTTATTAATGCTGGCTTGATAGGAATGGGAATTATGGAGCAGAAGCCCTATGGCAATATACAATACACTACTTACAGAGAGGCCTGGAGATGAGGAAAGGTTCCAAGGAAGGCATAGGGTCTTTATAGGCAAAGTTTGATGAGAATACAGATAGTCAAACCAGATACAGGAACAGACAGTCTAGACAAAGATGCAAGGTTAGGAGCACAGACGAAAGACTGTAGTCAAAGGTGGGTGGCAGGAGTTGGAAAGCCGGGAGAGCAAATCGGTAGCAGATAATTTGAATACTGATCCAAGGATTCTCTGGGATCTTTGCTGTACAGTAGCTGCTTTCTGCCTGTGCACAGTCTAGTTCAAATTTGTGAACCAGGATGTATGCAGCGATCAACTGATTGGGTCCAGACTCTGTCCAAAGGAAGGGAGAAATGTCTGTCCAAGCTGTATATGCAGCATGTTAATATCACATGCACAAATAGGATGGCAAAGGGGGTATTTCTAGAAACAAATTTTATTAAAAACAACTCTTATTCTGTTTTTAAATCGGCTCTGCATCTAGGGTATATTGCGCAGGCCCCCGAGGGTGACTTTGCTGTTAGGTGTCCTGTTGTAGGGGAATGTGAGTAATACTTACCTCAAGCTGTCCATCATGGCCGGTTCTCTTCCTGACACTCTTCACCTCTTGGTCCTCAAAGCTGCCAGGAGCCCACTCCAGAGTTTTACACTCACACATGACCTGGTGGCACTCATGTTTCTTGAAAGTCAATTGAATTAGTCAGATGCCGCTGGAGAAATGGTGATCCGGCACTGTAAAGCAACCTTTGGTATTAAAGCATTCAAGAACTGTTTAACACATCAGCTAAGAAAGCGCCAGAGACCCCTGTGCACCATAACAACTCACTTTAGTTGAGGTTATGATCCCCATACATTTCCCTTTTATGAAGTGGTTTTGGTGTATAGATCATGCCCTTCCAGTCTTACTGCTCAATTTTCTGCCATTTAGGATTGAAATCACTTTATGTGGCCTTAGACACACCACCCCTGGATTTAACGTGCTCAGGCTCTTCAGTTTTCCTGAAAGAGATTTTTTTTTTTCTCTCTTATTGTACAGTATGTTTAATTTAGATTTTTTTTTTTCTTTCCAGCTGTGCTCATTGCCTACTAGAGCTTCCTGCAGCATCTATTATGTAATTAAATAAAAATTACAAACATTATAACCATTACAGCACACTGTAGTGATTATGGTACCAGAAGTGTCTTGGTATACCCTGCATTGTACAGTGATGAAAGCATTAAAACCACCTGCCTAATATCATGTAGGTCCCCCTTGTGCTGTCATAACAGCTCTGATGTGTTTTAAGGCATGGACTCTACAAGACCTCTGAATGTATCCTGTGATATCTGGCACCAAGACATTAGCAATAGATTGCACGGATGTTCAATCCGATTGAGATCTGGGGAATTTGGAGGCAACACCTTGAATTCTTTGTCATGTTTCTCAAGCTATTCCTGAACAATCTTTGAAGGGTGGATTATTCTGCTAAAAGAGGCCACTGCCATCAGGGAACACCATTGCCATGAAGCTTTGTATGTGGTCTTCAACAATCTGTAGTTGGGTTGTATGTGTCAAAGTAATACCTACATAAATGCCAGGACCCAAGGTTTCCCAGCATGACCTTTCCGAGAGCATAACCCTTTGATTATCGAGTATTCCTTTAACAAAGGAGGAGTTAGGAATTTCTTAAACAAGCACACTGTGTAGTAAGATTGATTTGGGGGGTGGAAAAAAAATAAATTATATATATATATATATATATATATATATATATATATCCCTTGCACCTTTGCTTACTGCGGCTTATACTGGGGGCTGGTATGTGACTGTCACATACATAGTTTGCATTACACACTGTATTCTTGTGATGTAGCTTCTAATTCCTTACCCAAAGTTGGTCGCACTTCCGATGCTCCTTATGGAATTGGGAACACTGGATGTTTCACAGAAGATGTGCCAGTACTGTTTAAATCTGACATCCTTGACACTTTTATGTTCCCACTAGTTTCATTGTACTGTTGCCTGTATCCAGTGTACCTTGCAGATGTTAAATTGCAGTTAGAGTTATCTCACATTTCTCCGTCCAGGATAAAATCACATTGATTTAATGTGCCTCGAATGCCTGTTTGGAAGTATCTTGACAAATAAATCTGCAAATTGTGCTAAGGGCAGAACTTTAGCAGAGTAGCTCTGGTATTATATTATTTCAGGACTGGTGTTAAATCATGAATGAGTCGGTTACACCGCTCTAGGCCAGATTGCTCATTGTTTGGTTTTCCTTCTGTATGGATCATTGATTTTGTTCCTTGAACTCCATGACTTAGACACTTATTGTGATTTTTAGAGTTTGAAGTAAAATGCTGGAAAGACCTTTCACTGAGAGATTGTCTCTTAATAACAACTTTTTCCCTTTCTTTCAAAGGGACTGAAAATCTTACAATGTATTTAAACCATTAAATACTGGTAGATTATATATAAAATTATATATTGTTAAAGTCATCAAGTTTCCCAAACAAAGTTTCAAATAAAGTTGTGGAAAAATTAGTTTGGAGTGGTTTGTTCGAATGGAATTCCTTTTAATCCACACCCAAACAAATCGATCCGTCAATTCAGTAAATAAAACTCCACAATGAGACCCTAGAAGGATTGATTCATTATGGTGTGCATTAAAAGGAATTTGATTTGCATGAAGCACCCCAAACTAATTTTTGAACATGACTACTACTTAGTGAGACTATCTGCATCTGCAAGCAGACCCCTCGCACACCAGAAAGATGCTGTCTTATTCTCCCCTGTGGCAAGTGTTCTTGTCCCATAAAATTCTGTCCACCAGGGGACTCTGGGATAAATATTTTTATCAGGACCAATAATCACCATTTCAGAGCCACTGACTGCTTGTTCACAGTCTGCAGCTTGGCACTTGGTGGAGGAGAAATTAGCCTTTGCTATTGTGTGGGCATCACTTGCACAGTAGGAACTAAATTAACACTGACAGCTCAGAACCAAGTGTTCTGGGCTGTTTGACATCCCTGGTGGTGGCAAATGAGTGACTTCAGTCTGCTCTAAGCACAAAGTACTTTACTTTGAAAAATACTTATGGTGCTTAGACTGACCTTCCCTCGTCCCCTTTTTTTTAAATTTATTTATTTATTTATTTTATTCTCTCTGAAAATTTTTTTATAATGTGTCTACTTTTCAATGGCTTTGCAGAATGCAGTTACTGGACTGTTGCCAGCAAGTTGTGAAGAAAAAGATGCCTGGGTCCGTGACAATGTCTACACGGTACTGGCAGTGTGGGGTCTGGGCCTAGCATACAGAAAAAATGCTGATCGAGATGAAGACAAGGCAAAGGCATATGAGCTCGAGCAGGTACTGTTGAGGGCAATGTAACTATTGTATATTTCATGTAAACAATGTTTTTTCAGTGAAGAAAAGCCAACTGGTCTCACCAACTTCCCGGTAGTTATATGGAACATGCACAGCAGATGCCTTCACACTGATATAGGCTCTATTTTACATGCTTCGGGTCTCGTGGATTTTTTTTTTTTTTTTTTTAGCTTTCACATCTAACCAATATTAGCTGCCCCTCTGATATATTGCTGATGCTGTTTAAAGGTTTAGGATTTCACACTAGCACCGCAGTTAAAAGGTCATGTCATATCTCCTGTGTCAAGCAATCTGTGTGTCCTTATAACTAGAGATCTCCGTCCTGCATAAACAAGGCTGGAAAATATTATTTTTGTAGAGTTGATCTTTTAATTGGTATCTGCATCATATGTAGCCAGTTTTTATTGCATATCAGTACATCACTACGGTTTCTATATTTGCTGCAGGAGTCATATACAGTAACTGTATTTCTGTAATCTATCTCATATTAAGTTGATCATAAACTTTTTTCTAAATGTGTGTGTGTGTGTGTGTGTGTGTGTGTATAATTTTAAGAAAGAAGGGAAAATAAATAAATAAAATATATATTCCTGAATTCAGTTGTTTCAATCAGACTCATTGCCACAGGTGTATCAAATAAATCACTCTGTATTTACAAACATTTGTGGAATAAAATGAGTCGTTTTGAAGAGCTCAGTGAATTCAGGCGTGGTACTGTGATAGGATGCCACCTTTGCAATACATTTCCTCCCTGCTAGATATTCCAACTGTAAGTATTATTGGAAAGTGGAAGCATTTAGGAACATAAGCAACACGACTACGAAGAGGAAGACCATGTAAAGTTACAGAGCAGGGTCACTGAGTGCTGAGACTCATGGTGCTTAATCGTCGCCAACGCTCTGTTGATTCCATAGCTGAAGAGTCACATAGTTCCACTGACATTTTTATCAGCACTGTGGGACTGTGAGCAGCTGCATGCACACCTCACATCACCAGGTACAATGCCAATTGTCAGACTGAGTGGTCTAAAGCACACCACCATTGGACTCTGGAGCGGTGGAAATGTGTTCTGTGGAGTGACGAATCACGCTTCTCTGTTTGGCAGTCTGATGAGCAAGTCCAGGTTTGGCAGATGCCAGGAGAACTTTACCTGTCTGTCTGCATTGTGCAAACTGTGTTTGATGGAGGAACAGTATGGGGCTGTTTTTCATTGCCTCCAGTGAAGGGACAACTTAATGCTTCAGCATGTCATGACAATGTTATGCTTCAAACTTTGTGGGTACAGTTTGAGGAATGCCCTTTTTTATTCCAGCATGACTGTGCCCCAGTGCACGAAACAAGGGCCATAAAGACATGGTTGCATGAGGTTGGTGTGGAAGAACTTGACTGGACCACACAGAGACTGACCTCAATCCCATCGATCACTTTTTTTAGGGTGAACTGAAGTGGAGATTGTAAGGCTGACTTTCTGTTTAAAATCACTGTATAACCTCACAACTGCTCTACTGGATGAATGGGCAAAAATTCCCAGAGAAACCACATTTTACCACATTTCTCTGCATGCTTTTTTCTGATATTAGGTGTTGTCCATTTTGTAATTCATGTGTTATGGTTGATAGGTTTTTCGCCTTACAATGACAATCAGCAAATCTATTTTACACATCAATCCCTTTAACCCCCTAAGAACATATGACTTTTGAAGCTGTGTCCTTAAGTTAATGGTGTCAGGATGGGTATTGGGACCTATTTTATGCTTTCTCATTTTGATTCTCACTGATTTTCACTTTCATTATTAATGTTATGCCTGCTTACCCAACATAGTCTCTCAGGAATCAAAATTGGGTCCTTGGCTTTTTGAGTTTAGGTAGGTGACCCTCACTGATCCCATTATATCACGTTTTACTTTTACGTTATATGTTGTTCCTTACTGATTATGTAGGGATAGCTAAACTGGCTTTTAGGACATTAGTAGGTACCCCTAGATTAAATTAATGTTCCTGATTTGTGTGCCATAGTTAGTGGTCCTGCAAGACCAACACCCCATCTCATCACAAAGGGTCATCTGCTCTTCCGGTCTAATTCATAGTTAAGGACTCACCTGTCTTGGCCACTTTTATTGATTCAAGTAAAATTCACCAAGAGGCCACAATGACTGGTGGCTCGCACAACCCCTCCCCTAAACATCAGTAGCGCCATTCAAGCCGCTTGGCACTTAGTAAGGGCCTTACTGTCACCCTTAGGTAGTATTCTGCCTTTTGAACTAGGTAGATCAGTTCAGAGATTAGTTGTAGGGAATTCTTGACTGAAAGGTCTGGTTATTGTTTACTTAGCATTTCTTAAGCTTCAGAGCAGGGTGAGGATATGTCCCTCCTTAGCACTTTTGCAAGGACTGCCTCTCCAGCTAGGTGGCGGAATTCTGTAATCCGTGGCTCTCTCAGATCTTGGACAGTTCCTAGTTTAAAAGCTGAGATAAGGCATAGGAACATCTTTCCCAGCTACAGCCAGGAAAGCTGAACACTCTAGAATCATGATAGCGCAAATGGAGACTCCACTGCTTGAAGGTAGCTGAGAATTAACTAGTAATAACAGCATGCCATGATGTCTTCTGTGGTCTATTCAAACAGTGTCATTAACCACAGATTGGAGGGACTCAAAGCAGCCAATACCGAATTACAATCCCTATTTCTAAAAACCCTCGTCCTGCTTTGGGTAATGTCTGTTTTCTTCTTCTGCTGGTGGTAATATTATTAATATTATTATTATTATTATTATTATTGGTATTTAAATAGTGCAAACCTATTCCGCAGCGCTTTCAATATTCTGAACGGGGGAGATTTAACAATAAATGAGACCTTTACAAAATGATACATGAACAATGGGTAGATGAGGACACTGCTCAGATGAGCTTAAAGTCTAGAGGAATATGATTGCACCAGCACACACGTGTTCTCTCCTAATTTAAGGAAAGACGTTCTAAAAGTTAAATACATCAATCTGGTGTCCTTACTGATTGCTTCTCAAGACATTATAGAGAACAAGTCTTACACATCACCTCACCTTGTTCAATTTTTTATTTCTGGGTTTTCACACTGGGCTTCTTCCCCCACTGATACCTTGGAGTGTAAAAAAACCTGCAGTCACAGACTCACAAGCAGTGTAAACTGTTTCCACTAAAAGAGGTCAATAACAGGTTTATGATTGCTCGTTGAGGACCCTCCTACAATTTTCCACTTGGCGTGCAAATAATTGGTATTGACATCGACTACTGGGCTCCTCCTTCTTCTTCTCTTGGTCTAAATTCTCTCATTCCATCAGAGGAGTTTTTCACTACAATACTCCGTCATTGATAAAGCTATTCAAGCCATATTTACATCAGTTCTAGTGACATGGCTGGGAAAGACTGATATGGCTAATGCTTTCAAACTAATACCTATTCATCCCTCATGGTGGCACCTTCTTGGGTTTATTTTGCTACCATACTCGCTTATGGTTCTAAGAGTAGCCCTATGCTTTTCAGTCTTTTTACAGAGACCGGCTTCTACTGAACTAATGCAGATGCCCCGCAGTCATTTATCATTTGGATGACTTCCTCACTGTACAGAAAGGTCACACTCCACATAACATTCAGAATGCCACAAAACAGCAATTAGGTGTTCCAGTGTCAGCAGAAAAGACAGAAGATCCCAGTACAAAATTCAAATTCTTGGGGAGTTTGTTAAATTCAGTTACATTGGAAGCTAACCTCCCTGGGAAATGAGTTCAGAGCATACTGGGATTAATAGATAAAAGTTTAAGTGCAGGATCTGGCTCTCATAAAGAACTTCAGTCTCATTGCAGCTCATTAAATTTTGCCATGCACACAATTCCACAGAGACAGTCATATCCAGACTGTCGTGTCTTTTACAGAGTCTTTCGAATGACAGCCATAGGATGATTTTAGATACCCACATTAAGGCAGATCTACGGTTTTGAGAAAATTCTTAATTAATTGCAACAGGGAGGCCATGTTTCCTCCACCATTATCCAAGAGTTCTCCAGTAGATTTGCGGCTATAATCGCGGACTTCTGCAATTATTGGCCACCAAGAATATTGATCTGTTGGGTTTCCATGAGGCTTCTCTGCAGTTTCAGATTTACACTATTGTCGCAGCAGCACACTCCTGGGGACACTTCTAGTCTGGCTAAACTGTCAAGTGTTTTTTTTTTTTTTTTTTTTAAGATAATCAGACCGCTCGCAAGGTTATTAATAAAGGACATTCCCCTTCTCTCACCATTATTAGACTAATTAGAAGACTGACATGGATACCAGATAATCTGCAATTCTTCCTGGTATATATTCCTGTCCCAGGGGTACATAACACGGCAGCTGACTCCTTATCATGTCTTAAATTTCATAAGTTCTTTGGAGTACACCCTATTGCCATGAAAGAAGCCTCAGAAGTCCCGACATTTCAAGACTTTATAATGGACTAGCTAGTCTTGTGCTTAACAGTAAATAGTGCACATGCAGGCCTCTCAGATAACACCAGGCTCTATTATTATAGAGCACTTTGCATATTTTGCAATTTTAACAGAGATTTCTAATTGTTGGATACATTATCATGGCATTTATAGCTTTTTGCCACCTGAGACTAAAATTATCCCACAACACTATTAAACTGTATCTTACACGAACACAACATGCTTACTCAGTTCCCTAATAAAAAACACTTTGTGGCAACATACCAAGTGAATCCAAAGAATTAACGGTTCTTCTACTATGAAACGACTAACTATTGACTGCTCTCTCTTTAGCGCTGTATTACATCTTTTCGATACAACCCCGCTTGAGACTCATACAAATATGTGGTTATGACAACTGACATTTACATAGCCTTACGGTTTTCTCAGACCTAGAGAAATCACAGTGGTATCAGCAGTAGTATCTGGTAAGATTAGTGTTCAATGCTTCCTAGTTTTCTGGGCACTCCTTTTAGAATAAGTACAGCTTCTACCACTTCATGATAAGATATTCCTGTACCTACTATTAAAAAATTACTCTGGTGGAAATCGTCTACATACTCCAAATATAAACCCCCGACCAGAATATGAAATTAAGAGCATTTTGTGATTTAACTTTGTAAACCTGAATTTTGTGATAGTCTTTTGCAAATTTTCATTTTTTTTGCCCTCTTTTCTTTCAGGCTTTGTCTATTGTCCAGAACACAAATATTAACTCTATAGATACATATAATTTTTTTTTTTTATTTAAGTTTTAATTTTTTTTTTTTCGTGCATAAGATTACAGACATGCATGAGGTACCCCAACGGATTTCCTCAGGCTTAGTATCACATATTACAATTGGGTAGTAGATAAAACGTGCACTTTTTATAATATTACTGACGAAAATAACTGTACTAGGCTAGCAAACAATGGTTAAATCGATAAGTATAAGACAGAGCATATGCACTGAGTACGTTTAGCTATGTGGATTGGCTCGATAGTTAGACATTTAGTTTAACATATAGCAGGTATTAGAAGCTGACCACAGATCCTAAACAAGCTAGCATTCATCTGTACTGCACAAGGTTAAGATGGAACATAGTTAATAGCAAATCACTGTATTAGTAGAGAGACCAGTAGAGCCAGAGATAAGGGCATAACATGGAATGTCAAAGCTAGCTGATTTCAGGGGGCGCATGGGGGTTTGACGGGTCGCTCCATGTGGGGATGCTAGTTTCACCCAATGCCCAGACTTGGAAGTGTATAGGGATATGCGGTGGTGGATAGTGGCCCTCCAGCCCCAGGCTGTCATGAAGGCATGCATCCCATAACCACAGACTCAAATACGCTCAACTGAGGCCAGGTCTATCCCTATTGGGATCCAGCCGAAGCTCCTGTTGGTCTGTTGCCGCCTGCGGCGGTGGACCTTCCGCCACCGTGGTCGATGCTACAGGGGCTTAGCCCTGTGGGCCTTCAGCTTAGGCAGGTGTATGGTGTGTGACTTAGAAGCTTGTGGGTAAGTTGCGCCTGGAGGGGTCCCAGTCCACTCTCATTTTGCTCCGCTTCTCCCGGTCTTGGGTTGATGATTCTGCAAGTCGTGCAGCCAATTGTGCCCAGAAATGTGTGAAGTGCTCATTTATGTGCTGTATCATGCGATCGATAGGGCATTGTTGGGCCACCGCATGCTGCTGCTGCTCCTGTGTAGGGTTGGGATGCGCTTCCGCCATCTTGGATCTGCAGTGAGCAGTGCTTGTGTCGTTTCAGTCGCCTGGTTGTGCAGAGTTATGTGAGTTCCACCCGTGCGGACCGGGATAACCCCCGCCGGTCCAAAGGGTGGGGGGTGGAGGGGAGTCATTTGCCATGCCGAGTTGCTGTATTCAGCTTGTGGACACATTTCCTCAGCTCTGCTTCTTACAGGCTGCAATTTACTGCCGCGGTTCCTGGTGGTTTTGAGCCTCCCTTCAGGTGGCCACCGATGCGTTGGGGTGTCCCTCTTCTGGAGAGCACCTCAGAGTTAAGTTTGTGGCTTGAGATATTGCTGCAAAACTGCAAAATTTTAATGCAGACCCTGTGTAAATGAGCAGACTCCAGCTATTAATATGTTTTCTTTTCTGTGCCATACATGCCTCACTCTCCTCTCACTCTCTTATAACAAGCAACAGCTACATAGTCATGCTTATTAGGCTTGCACTATATCTATTTTTTCATACACTCATCTTGCCTACTAAAGCACCTTAATTGCAAAATTGATGCATCTACATAGCATGCCATAGCATCGTTTTCCGTTGTGTTTCTTCCTCGCCTGCCCTGCTGTGTTGGTGCCACAAGCGTATATGTTTTACTTAGCATGCACCCACTACTCATGCTATACTTACCTTAACACTTAATCCAGAAATGCGATGTATAGCCTGTAACCTAAGCATATTATAAAATTTAAAAAATCTCCAAGCTAGCATGGAACATATCCTTATCAATGTTATGCTTTAATATCCCTATACACCATGCTTACTGTTACCTACTACTATAATTCTAAAAATGTGCTGTAACTCAGACATGCATACGGTTTGCAAACTGATATTTTCCAATGTGATGTTTTGACATGTCTCTAACAAGCTCTATCTTTGCAATGCACTTAAAATAAAGAATTAAAAAAAATAAAAAATACCACCGCTAAAAGTGCAATAGCTCACAAAACACTTAAAATAAAGGTGCGCTGTATCTTTTAGACACTAAGTGTTACTTTTTCATAAAATCTCACTTTGGTGATTATCAGAATTTCTATTAAAGTGCAATACAAAGTTATACTGTGCAGTATTTTCCCATAATAAAATCCATGCAAAATTGTGATGTCTCAAATAAAGTGGGAAAAAAATATTTAATTTATTAGACAGAACATAAGTTCAAGATGAAATAAAAGTATTGAACAATCAGTCGGCAACATGGGTAATTTTCCAACACTTTTTAAATTTAATTGTGGGTACACTGAGAAAATGGAAGGGTCAGTATCCTAAGGTGGATAAGCCGGCTCATGGGTGTGCAGCGTGGTCAGTGTCAGGTGTTTGTACTTCAGTATTTGTCACCAGTGGGTGCCACAGAGAGCTATTTGTATCGACCCGAGCAAGCCAGAACCTGGCTTTGGCACACTGGGTGGCACTCCTTTTCTTCTTTTACCCCACCCTGTATAGAGAGCAATACTGTAGACCCCAAACCTTCCCCACCCCCCCCATTTAAAACTCTCTCTAAGCCTGTATTTGTGCAGATCTGTTAAGTTATCCCAACTTCAGCCTCTCGGTGCATTACAACGACCCAAAAACTGAACGTTTATATATATATATATATATATTTTTTTTTTTTTAATTATTATTTATTTATTGAATAAAATGTAATCTATGAAAATCGTACATACATTTTTGAAGCATTACTTGCTATGGATGGCCAGTGATAACAGTTTAACCCTTGTAAGTAAGAAGGAACCGGAGGACTCGAGACAAAACCACAAATTTTGCATGAAGTGGTTATAATGACAAGTGTACCTTTGAACCGTTATTGTTTCTGATCTATATAATACGTGCATATCCGTATATAACATGCTTGACTGTGTACAGAAGTGGTAGGAGTAAATTAAACTTATCTGTTAATGGTTTTTGATTTAAAATAAAAATTTAAAAATCTGTTTAGACTAGTGCCCAATATCTTCATTTTTGGCTTTCTCTTCTAGAACGTCGTCAAGTTGATGAGAGGTTTACTGCAATGTATGATGAGACAGGTATGGATATAATGTGTTTGGCACAGTGTGACATTATTATTTAATGTAGTTAAAGTACATATTTTAAGATAAGAAAGCTTTCTACCATTTTTATCCTGTGCACCCAAAACATGATCCGTCATTGCCGGAGTGATGCAGGGTGTCATTATTATGGTGAGCTTTAGAGAACATGTATAAAGGAGCCACCAGTTTTAGAAATTATGCCAAACTGACACTTTTTGAGAATAGCAGTGGCCAGTATAAGAAAAACAATGCATGTCTGGAAATGCAGGGATACTCTGACATGTAGGCATGGAGGTGCATAGACGGCTTCCAGATGCCACAAACAGTTGGACTGTTCAGTTAATTACTATTGACTTGACTCTGAAATATAATACTTTACAAAGTTCCAGGGATACTCTAAGCGCCAAAACAACTTTACCTTCATGAAGCCATTTTAGTGTATAGATCATGTCCCTGCAGTCTCACTGGTCAGTTTTATGCCATTTAGGAGTGAAATCACTTTTAATTTAACCGGTTGTGGCTTTCACAGACTACTTGAAGAAATTGTTTAATTTTGATCAGATGTGACTGCACATTGTGCTTACTTTAGAAATGTTTATCTCTTGCCCTGATAACTGAACTTTAACCACACACAGGAAGGTCCTGCATGAGGTTTAAACATTAGATTTTTTTTAACAGGACATGTGTAGTACCACTGTGTAGGTCACATGGACGGGAGGTGTGACTAGGGCTGCATTCCTAAATGGGAGAGATTTAAGCAGGGAGACTGCAGGGGCATGATCTATACTCCTAAACCAACGCAATAAGCAAAAGTTGTCTTGGTTATTATAATGTTCCTTTAAGTATGCAAGAGACAAGATGACTCAATTCTTGGTGAATACAAATAAAATGAATAAGTCTTTTTGTTTTTGTTGCAAGGAAGTGACCAACTGTGTTTTAATTGATAATATATGTTTGCTTTTTATAGGTTTCGAAAGTGGAAGAATTTAAGTATAGCCAGGGCACAAAGGATTGTCTCCATGCCAAGTATAACACAGGAACCTGTTCCACTGTGGTGGGAGATGACCAGTGGGGTCACCTGCAGCTTGATGCCACCTCCCTTTATCTGCTCTTCTTGGCACAGATGACTGCATCTGGTAATCAAATTTTGTAATGTGACATCTAAATAATTTACTAAAAACCTACCATGTGTTTTTTCACAGCAATGCTAATGGGTACAAATAAACTTGTAGTCAAAAGATTAAATGAAGATGTTTAGGGCGTGATTTTTATTACTATGCATTTGTTTAACTGTACAATCATGATTCACACAGCTTTCAGATAACTTTTTAAAAAAAATACTATTTCAAAGAACACGCTGTGGCGATAGAAATACAAATGTGTATTTGTAGAGCTACAGTGCCTTGTTGGCTGCTAAGATGCGCCTCCACTCCCCTCACCAAGTCTGAAAGGGGGGGTGGGGGGAGAGTTTTACTTACCTTTTTTCCATCGCAATGTCGTTCTCTATGCTGTCGTACCACCTCCATGACTAAGATCATGAAGACTTTCTAATGGGAAAGCATTGGGAGACCATCTGATAGAAAGAAATAGCCGAGTTATAGTCTGTTATTTCAGAGGAAGCACCTAAATGGAGATGGAGTGGTCTGGGTCGCTATATTGTTACTTTAAAGGATCACTATATGTCAATGAGGGGACACAAAAGCCTGTAAGTGAATTCAGGAACACAGGATGCTTTCGTCAGCAGGAGGGAGTTGAGTAAAAATAAAATTTATTAAGTATAAAAACACTCGTATAAATAAAATCGCTGTATAAAAACAATGGTACAAAATAAGTCCTCAATCCTGTTGACCGTCAACCTGCCATTCGCTTACAGGGTTTTGTGTCCCCTCATTGAAACACACACTATTATACTCAGAACCAGGTTCTAGGCTCTGAATCAGGTGAGCAGTTCTGTGTACTTTGTCACCTTTATTGAAGTATATCTACATATTGCACCATATATGGTCTCTTATCTCTTAAAGGAACAGCGTGACCTTCTTCCACTGTAAGGTTTTGTGTTATCCCAAACACGCCTCCCTAAGGGATTTGAGCCTATCCTGCTAAGGCTCAGAACCATGTGAGTGGGTTCATATCTTTTATTACCACTCCATTATCATCCAAACGTATTATCCGATATTGCTCTTTATCTCATCCCCACCTCTAGGTTATTCAAACAGTGCTCCACATATTGACTGGTGTCGTTTTATTAACCACTCAGTCTACCACCACATAGAAATAAATTTGTACTTACAAAATAATCCCCCCGTCCTTATCCATGCGACCCTGGACATCAGTAATAGCTTGTGTGTTCTGGGCTACCCCCAAAGTGCTTGTAGCCTATTATTGTTGTCCTGGGTTAGAACAGAACCGCTGCAAAGTGGTTGTGGTTTAAGTGCCAAAATAAACGCCACTTTTTCTTTTGCTTTTTTTTTTTTTCCCCTATTCAACACAAAAAAAATATGACAAAAAACAAACATTGGGGTGGTTTCCAAAGACTGTGACCACTACAATGACTTGTAATGATGTTTTACACTGCTTTTTTTTGTTCATGGAAATGCTTGATTGTTGTTGTTGTTTTTTTTTTACCATGCTTTGTAACCTCCTCATTTTGTTGTCAGGGCTCCATATAATCTACACTCTAGAAGAAGTTAACTTTATACAGAACTTGGTGTTTTATATTGAAGCAGCATATAAAACTGCGGTGAGTGTAGACACACAAACAAAAGTATTTGTATAGAATAATATGCATAGAACTGTTTTTTTTTCTTTGTATTTTCTGACACCAATTGTTTGTCTTTTCTTTCTATAGGATTTTGGAATGTGGGAGCGTGGTGACAAAACCAACCAGGGTATCGCTGAACTTAATGCCAGCTCTGTTGGAATGGCTAAGGTAACAGTAAATATATAGACTTCAGTACCTTTATTTGCACATTTTTCATGTTTCTTTCTTCTTTCTATCACAACGTCAAAAAAATAGCAAAACAGTACTGTATTTATTAGAACAATTGTGTAAATGTAATAAACAGATAAGCAAAACATTAATGACATTCAGAAAAATGTAACCTCTTGAAATGAGATGTAGAATGGGAAAAAGGACAGTGTCTGATGTAGTTTCACAGGACATTATGTAGGATAAAGCAGTAGGTAGAGTAAAACAGCTGTCTGGGGGAATGAGAGGGGGCAAGAAGGTAATGGAGAAATGGCAGTATTTAAATTTGTCTGAAAACCGTAAGAGAATCTAGACAATAATTTTTATTGTAACAACAAGAACAAACAAAAACATTTTTTAAAATTGCCATATATTACAAAAGGATGATGTTTTAATAGATATAATTCCTGAGAAACCCAACATAATATCAAGTGAACCCTGAACCTTAAAACTTTTCTTACTAAAAGTTACACCAGAAAACGTGATAATAAAATTAAAGGGAAACTATAGTGCACTATAGCTTCCCCTTCTGTCAAGGTCCCCTCCCGCAGCGCTGAAGGAGTTAATAACCCCTTCAGTCACTTACCTGCGTCCAGCGCCGATGTCTTTCGGTGCTGGCTCAACTCTGCTGCTGTCGGAGAGACCTAATGCGCATTATCCAATGCTTTCCTATGGAGGTTCCGGCAACACTCGACGTCCTCATGCAGAACATAATTTAAAACACTTCTGGTGCTCTAAAAACACAGATGAACCATCTAGCAGCTGAATTAGCCCTGTAATCAAGACACTGCGGTTTCTACAAAACCGCAGTGTTTTGAGTAACCGGGCTAAAGAGAGAGGGGCAGGCACCCATACCACTCCAAAGGGCAGAAGTGGTCTGGGTGCCTACAGTGTCACTTTAACCACACTTTATATAAAGACACAGGTTTTTGTTTTGTCAATCTTTGTTTTTTATTGAGGCGTGAGTCTAACATAAACTAAGTGGTACTGTGGTTACAACACCATATACAAACAGATACATGGTAATCGATATCAGCGATAATATCCATACATGACAAGTATTTGTCAGATAGCAACACAAAATCTGTAACATGCTACGCTTTGCTATGGCGTGGATAGTGGTGTGTCTCACAGTAAGCTACTAAGCCTCATTTTTAAGTAAAAGTAAGAGAAAAAGTATAACAGACATGCTAGTATAGGAGAAAAAAATTTAAATTGAAACAATGCATTGTATGTAGACCCACAGACTCCACAGTGGAAAAGCCACATATGTTGCATGAAATAGACCTAATAAAAAAAACACATATAACATTTTTTTTATCAAAAGGATTCCATCACGTTTAACACCAGAAATGACACTTGCTGGAGTGCCCCTGTTGGCTCTAATATGTGGGTATGACGTCAAAGTGTCTAAAACTCGTATAGCAGAACACTGGCAAACTTTAACTAAGAGCTTTCAAATTCATCCCCTGTCTAAACATTTGTGTGCGCATCAATAACCACAAGGTTTTAGAAGTCACTGTAATCCAAAAATGCAAAAAATCATGGAGGGGGTGGACCTGTAAAAAAACAAAACAAAAAAAAGGTTGACAGAAATTGGACAAATTGTGTTTAGTTTTTTAATTTTTTGGAGCCAGAGAGCATTGATTGATACAACTTCCTTTAACCCCTTAAGGACCAAACTTCTGGAATAAAAGGGAATCATGACATGTCACACATGTCATGTGTCCTTAAGGGGTTAATTTTTTACCTTTGTTTTTCTAGTGTTTCGTGTGTTTTTGTACATTTTCTATTTTATTTTGTTTTTTATTTATTTCCTTTTTTTTTTTTTTACTTATTTTATTTTCACACATCCATTTTATATATACCATTTCCAATAGAGATTTTTGTTTTATATTGATAAGTAATGTGCTTTTGATTTCCTTTCCCTAATTTTAATATTTAGTATTACATTATTTAATAAGATCTTGTCCAAAACAAAAATAATAATCTTGCCTTTGGAGAAAGGAAATTCATATTTGTGCTTTTGGAGCCGTATAGGCTTTCCAGTTTTAAAAGCTTTGACTCACGATATTTATATCAGGTTGGTGTACAATCCAGAGAGAGAGTGTACCACACTCACAAAATAGCAAAGTGTCATTGTAAACCAATATTTACACTCAGTTTTCCAGTATAGTGTTTTATTTAACTCCATCCCTCTTCACGTCTTCAGGCAGCCCTTGAGGCATTGGATGAACTGAATTTGTTTGGTGCTAAAGGAGGTCCTCAGTCTGTTATCCATGTCTTGTCTGATGAGATCCAGCACTGTCAGGTACAATTACCGACCCAAATGTAAACACTCCCATCACTTCATATCTGAGGATGCATATTTCTTTAAAATTATTATAATCCTCCTCCTTTTTAGTCCATATTGCACTCCATGCTACCCAGAGCCTCCTCCTCCAAGGAAATAGATGCAGGGGTTCTGTCCGTCATCTCCTTTCCAGCCTTTGCTGTTGAGGATCTACAACTGGTGCAGATAACCAAACAAGAGATCATTGATAAGCTGCAGGTATTGCCTGGCTCACTATATACCTGTATTTCTCTGCAAAGTTTATATAAAAAAAATTATATTCTGTCTCTTTATGAAATTCTAAATGTTACAATCTACTTGTCTCTGTTCTACCTTCTTTTCAGCTTTCCTTTTGTTCTTTAGTTTCTTTTCTCTCCACTCATCATTTTTTATTGCCATTCTGCAGGGTCGTTATGGCTGTTGTAGATTTCTCAGAGATGGGTACCGGACTCCCAAAGAGGTAACTCTTTTTTTTTTTTTAGCTCTTTTTCATGTAAACTAGTATGACTTTCTGGATGTGATTTAGAAAAAATATTGTTGCGCGTCATCTACAGATCTCAAGTTGTACTTCTCCTTGGGCACAGAAACTTGAGAAATGTTTCCACAACTATCCCAGAGTTCCTTTTTTATTCAAATGAGCACAGACGGGAATTGTGTTTTTTAGACTTCATTCTCTATTTCTGCATGTTCTCTTTGCAATGAACGCTGTTTTGAACACCGCTTTTTTTTCAAATAACTGTAGCAGGGCTTGTGATCCAAAAGGACCAGTGACCAGCAGAAACCAGCCATGGACTGCAGTTTTGACCTTGTGTGCCTTATCAGCATGGTGCTGGTGAATGTGATTCGGCATCTTTCATTATACGCAAATAATTGGCTATTTTGCAAGCTGCAGCACTTGATCAAACCTTACTGTTGCACTTGTATCATTTACAATGTAACATCTACCTGCAGCTGCATCTGTTATCTTTGATAACTTGCAAGAGTGATTTGAGACCTCTTGGGTAGCATTTTATTATCTGTGCTTATGTCTATATATAATGTAAATGTTGTATGTTACAGGACCGGAGCAGATTGTATTATGAACCTGCAGAGCTGAAGCTTTTTGAAAACATTGAATGTGAGTGGCCACTATTCTGGACATACTTTATCCTAGATGGGATATTCAGTGGCAACAAAGAGCAGGTGAAAAATTCTTATTTTTCTCAAAACTTAAACTCTTTACTCTGCCTTCCAGTTTTAATTTTCCTCCTCCTACTTTAAACCATTCTTTTTTTTATTCCCTTAACACTTGCACTGTGTCCATCTGTTATGTCTTCAATTTGCATCTTGTAGTTTTTTTTCTTCTTTTCTGTCTTTCTTCTCTTTCTTCTACTATTTTAATAGTAAGTATTTATGTGTGTGACTGCTTATATTTCTCCTCCAGTATATATACTCCAGTGTGTGTATGTGTGTGTGTGTGTGTGTATATATATATATATATATATATATATATATACATACAATTTGTTGGTGTTTTGCACTCCTGCTTTCCTCTTGGTTAAATTCCCGGTGTTAATCTGCACAAAAATACAATCAGCCAAATGTGAAGCCAGCACTCAAGGACTTGTAAAAATCGAAAAGGGTTTTAATCCATAGAACTTGTCGTTTCAGTTTACATCAGCAAACTTTCATCAGGACATCATTCCTGATGAAAGTTTGCTGATGTAAACTGAAACGTTGACAAGTTCTATGGATTAAAACCCTTTTCGTTTTTTACAAGTCCTTGAGTGCTGGCTTCATTTGGCAGTGTGTGTATGTAAACTATATATATATATATATATATAATTTTTTTTAAATTTTTTTTTCTTTGACCTAGGTTCAGGAATACAGGGAGGCTCTTGAAGGTGTTCTAATTAAAGGTAAACACGGTGTACGATTGATTCCAGAATTGTACAGTGTACCTGAAGACAAGGTTAGTGTTCAATACCTAGTAATTTATACATTGTTGTTTGTTTTTTTTTTTGATCGGATATTGTACAAGTAATAAGGATAACAGCCCAAATCCTATTTTGCAGGTGGAGGAAGAATATGAAAGCCCACACACAGTGGACCGCGTACCTCAGGGGAAGTTGCCTCACATGTGGGGCCAGTCTCTTTACATTTTAGGTTGCCTGATGTCAGAGGTAAGTTGCAGCTTGCAGTGGAACTGTGGTCACGGATGAGTTCAGAGTAAGTGTTGTGGAAATTATGTTGTTGACCTTGTTTATGTTAGTAGTTTTGTATATACTGGTCTTTAGAGAACCTTTGCCTTTATTCAATGTTTTGTTATATTTAGTTCTCCTGAGTTTTTGTTTGGGCACAACGTCAGTATATTTAATCACCATATTTAGTGAATATATATATATATATGTGTGTGTTGTGTGCGCATCTATGCATATGTATATATTTGTGTGCACACATGTATTGGAATGTATCTGTGTGTCCCCAGGTATATAATATAAATGTCAAAATGAGGGTTGATTCAGTCATCCGTTGTTACGTGTGAAGTCATGAAGGAGTCAAGTAACTGTATGTTCATTTTGTTAACGTACCCATGTGTAATAACGTAAACAGGTGAGATTAGCGTAATCTCTCTTGGTGCTTTCCACTGGACACCTGTGATTTGTCTTCTTACTGTATTATCTCAGGGTTTTCTGGCTCCTGGAGAGATTGACCCACTGAATAGAAGATTTTCTACTGTTCCCAAGCCAGATGTGGTTGTTCAAGGTAAGTGCCATTGAATTTATATTTGCCATTAACACTCTATAGTACATAAATGTTAATCTGTTAAACTTTGCTTGCGTATTGACAATTGCATCTTGGGACATGGAATTCTTGTCCAAGGGCAGTGATGGCAAATATTTTGAACCAAACTGCACAGTCTTCTGCAGATATCATGTAACTAATCAAAATGCAGCCAATCCTATTTTCTACCCTACCTTCCAGATAAACTTCTCCTACTCAACCCAGAGTTTCCCTGCATGGCTATCAAAACCTTCTGCTTCACAAAATCTTATATTATCCCTACCTGCAATAAATAACTTTACGATTAAATAGAGATCTGATGAGTTATGACATAGTCTCCAGGATTGATATACGTACTACGGACACATCCGAGACTTGTTTTTGCCATCATTGTTAGTGGTTATTTTCACAAAAGGTAGTGATGAAAATCTGGGCGAAACTTGTTTCCCACTGCTGTAAAAATACTGTAAAAATACTGTAAAATGTTTTTATCCAGAGAGATTTTTGCTAAATACATTAGACTTTCCTGAATTAAAGATTGGGCCAGTTACATTTTATTGCAAAAAACAAATTTAAGGCCAAATTAATCGAAATGGAAATAGTCTCCAAGTCATCCAGTTCAGCTATTTTGCTCTTAAATTTGCAATCTCAGGGTATTCCGGACTGTTCTGGAATTATTGAATATCCTTTTGAAAGGTAAATGAAAGCACTGCTTATCTCGATATTTGTCATTTTCACTCACGCTATATTTACTTGAGGCTTATATTAAAATAACATGGGCACTCTTGTGGTCAATTATCTAATGTGTATTTAACTGGGAGAAGGGAAATGGTTGTGGGTTTTTGTTTAGTTTTTTTTGTGACTTGGTTGCTCATCAGGCTTTTTATTTTAAATTTTAACTAATCAAATTTGAATGTCCTGTGGGTTCAGGTGACAGTTGAACTATACTGTATTTCACCTGTATTAAATGGTATACATATGATTGTTGATTTATTGGCGATTTTTATTTTTTTGTGGCATATTATAATTTTATGGTAGCATAGTAACACAGGATTCCAGTACAGGAGTGCATTTTCTTACATAGGAGGTTTTGCAAACATTCTTTCATTAGATAGTGGCTGACTTTTTGACACGAAGTTGCCCTCACTGTGATTATCCAGGTAACGCCACCCAGTGACTGGAATGTGCAGTATTATTGGTGAAGCTTTATTGACGTGTATGCCAATAAAATGTGCATGTCCAATATTTTATAAAACTATGTGCTGTCCAAAGGCATTGTATTTAATATCTGTGGTGGTAAAGTTGGGATGTTGCTTTGTAGCATTTCAAACTTGCACAGATGCAGATCTACTTTTCCATCTTAGCTTTGGGTGTCCGATCTCATGCTAGTCAGTGTTGGTGAACACCCCCATTTTTGGGGAGCCATGTATTCTAAGCACCTCTGCCAATTAACTGTGCAAATGCTATCTGGTCTTTGCAGTTTCCATTCTGGCAGAGACTGAGGAGATCAAGGAAGTCCTGAAGAAGCATGGATTTGAGGTGGAGACAGTGGCGGGTGTGTACCCCATCCGAGTCCAGCCTGCAAGAATTTTGAGTCACATCTACGCTAGACTGGGTACGATTTATTCTTCCTTATGACAGTGCTTGTAAATTTTTGTGTGTAAATAAGCCATTAAAACACATGTAAGCCATAATCCGTGTGTGTGCGTTATTCTTTTTTTTTTTTTTACTATAAATGTTGTAGAATGAATAAAATTACAATTACCAAACTTTTCCCTTGATAATACTGCAGGTCGTAGTAGGAAGATGAACCTCAGCGGCAGACCATACAGAAATATGGGGGTTTTAGGAACCTCCAAACTATACACGATACGACAGAACATATTTGCTTTTACTCCTCAGGTGAGATAAATTAATAAATTATGAATGTGTGTAATTACCTAACAAAAAACGAATTCAGCAGATTTTATTATTTAAAGATCTCACTCTCCTAGGTTTTATTATAGAATTTAAAACAAATATGAAGGTCTTAGATGCAGGAGGTTTGATGTGCAATATATATTCCCAGTTTTCCATTTATAATTGTAGAAGTGAATTTCAGCCTTACTGCTTTTTTAATATAATACAGTATTCGTATAATGACCTATGTTATGCAGTGCTTTTGAAACAAAGATTAATGTACTACTTATTTTTCCTTTATCACGTCCCCTGTATATTCTTTGATGTTTAAGAACTGGAAATACCAGTTTCTTATGTTTGGTGTAGCACTGAATCTTACGTGCTGTCATAATTCCAGGTGCCTCTTGGGGTCCATTTGGTAACCCATCGGGCAGAAAAGAAAAGCCTCCAGTGACAATGCTTCATGTGAACAAAATATTCTGATACAGACTATTTTCATTTATTAAAGGACCACTATAGTGCCAGGAAAACATACTCGTTTTCCTGGCACTATAGTGCCCTGAGGGTGCCCCCACCCTCAGGGTCCCCCTCCCGCCCGGCTCTGGAACTGGGAAAAGGGTTAAAACTTACCTTTTTCCAGCGCTGGGCGTGGAGCTCTCCTCCACCGTTCCTCCCCGTCGGCTGAATGCGCACGCGCAGCAAGAGCTGCGCGCGCATTCAGCCGGTCGCATAGGAAAGCATTTACAATGCTTTCCTATGGACGCTGGCGTGCTCTCACTGTAAAAATCACAGGGAGAAGCACGCAGGCGCCTCTAGCGGCTATCAATGAGACAGCCACTAGAGGATTTGGGGGAAGGCTTAACCCATTCATAAACATAGCAGTTTCTCTGAAACTGCTATATTTATAAAAGAATGGGTTAACCATAGCTGGACCTGGCACCCAGACCACTTCATTAAGCTGAAGTGGTCTGGGTGCCTAGAGTGGTCCTTTAAACATGTCACACCAAAGGAGTGATTAAAATGGTGCAATTATACTGTTTCTCGTCGGAATGCTTCATAGAATTTAAAACCTGTATTAATTAGAGCACTTTAAACTGTTAGTAATATTCTTCTTAAATAAATGATCAATGGTTATTTAGTTTCATTGCTGTTTTTGCATGCTGGGGCGGTTTATTAGTTACAAATACCCATGTATGCTGCTATTTTCAGGTGTTAACCTCCATTGGTGGTGTTATCAGAAACCGAACACATTTCCAGATTTTACATTTGCAGAAATGATTGATTAGAAATAGCTGGACTTTAAAATAACTTTTCCACTGTAGTTCATTGACCAGCAGCAGTTCTACCTGGCCTTGGATAACCGGATGATAGTTGAGATGTTGCGTACAGATCTATCCTACCTTTGTAGTCGCTGGAGAATGACTGGACGCCCAACAATTACCTTCCCAATCTCCCATACCATGCTGGGTAATATCTATTCTAACACTAATCAATGTGTGGGCTGTGTGCATGGATTTACGTTTATCTTTCAATGTAGACAGTTATCAACATGCATTTAAATGATATCTAGCTGGTGTGGTATCCACCTTTTTATTTTCCTTTTTCACACTGGATTCTTTGGTTCGTATCTCTGCACTATCTATTCTTATTCATTTTATGCATATAAAAAATGTGTAGATGAAACTTTTTTTTGTGTGTGTGAGAAGGACCATATGCACACAAATTAAATACTTAAATACTCTTAAGTCTGCAAACTCAAATTTTCCTCTTAAAAAGTAATTTAAGCCTCTCGCGCATCTGCAGTTCACTTTACACCGCAGCTTCCATTCACATTAATAGGGGTCGCACACAGCATGTGTATGTGTTGATACTTGCAGATACAGTTCAGTCCCACCTAGACTTGGATGCAATACCTCTGATAACATCACTAACTGCATAACGCAATTAATATGGGCGGTATATATTTCCAAGATCCATTTCTAAGTCTAATCCTTTTCTAAATGCTGCATCTTCACTCCTTTATTCATAGCCACAATAGCCTCATTAATCATCATATTCTTTAAATTTTTAAGTATATTTTTATTTGTAGTGTCCATATTGAATTTGTTTAAAAAATAGGATCAGGAAGCATCCTTTGACCTTGTCACTGACTGATTATGATGTCTTGAATCCAATATCATTTTACTATACAGTGTGTTCTTTAGTATAACCCAGTCTGCTCTGTCTCTTTATCAGCAAGTGTACATGCATGTGTGTTTATGTGACGTCTTCACTGTAAAACTGTGGATGACTTAATAATCACACCTTGTTTTTGTTTTCTTTTTGTGTGCCTTCAGATTCTAATGGTAACGACCTTGACCCAGCAGTACTTGCCACTCTTCGTAAACTCCAGGATGGCTATTTTGGAGGGGCCAGGTAAGGTTCATTCACATGCATTGAAATTAAAATCTAACATGATTATTAGTATTGTCACTAGATAGCTCAAACTTTAGAAGCACAAACATGCATTTCTAATGTTAGAAGTAATCCTGTCTATTTAGATTCAGTAATAGTAAAATTCCAATGCATCGCTATAAGGAGCATTCAAAGTCTTCCTGCTGAGCGGGAAGCCGCTGGACTTCAGTCGTGAAAAGATTGCAGGACCTTAATAGAAATCACTTCTAGTGGCCGTCGAGGCAACAGCCGCTACAGGCACTACAGGTGTCCTTCAGGAGGCTGCAGAGAGAGTCTCTTTAACCCCTTAAGGACCAAACTTCTGGAATAAAAGGGAATCATGACATGTCACACATGTCATGTGTCCTTAAGGGGTTAAGCTGTTGTGGTTCTGGTGCACAGAGTGTCCCATTAAGCGGTTGACTGCTGCTTTGTAGACAGGACAGATACAACACCTTTTCAATCCCTTCAGGGATCTTTATCAAGCTAACACCACGGTGCACAAACCTAATATATAGTGTATCTCATTAACAATCAATACAAAGCCACAGACGCATGCCAAGCAATTTAAGCTGGAAATGTTATTGCGGCCTACCCGTGGGTGAGAGTGTGGGAGAGGCGGCCGCTCTCCCTGCTTGACCTCCTGCTGGAACAAGCAGACGCAGTACAGGAACCTGTTCCCCCCCCCCAACCTAAGATGGCGGACGCCAGGCCTCTCTCCACGCCACAAGGCTCTACAGAATCTACCCTAACAAAGCTGAACAAGATTTTGGAGGAATTCTGGCGGAAGCTCGAAGAGAGGCAACAATGTGCAAACTCGCAACGCCACCTCTCAACGGTCCAAGCCGATCCCACAGCAGCGGAACGATTTCACACCCAGGCGCCGGAGGAGAGCACAAGCCGGGCGGTCAACTCTAGGAAGTAAAGCAGCTCCCCCGCAGAGACCCACTTTTAATAAAGGAATCCAACAGCCCCATTGGGAGATGTGTGGCCCAGGCTCTTATGTGAAACAGAGCTTCCCAACACCACCAAGAGCCTGCCTTCAAGTTGCACGGAGAGCCGGTGTGAGATGGATATGGAGAGCAACGACAGGATTTCACGGAGATCCCTTCCATCCTGTATACCTCAAACCTGGAATGTAAAAGGACTGCTTGAAGTGGCCCACCAGCGGCATTGGCTGAAACCCTGACCCTGCCTAACTGCAGACCCCAAACTGACACCAGCACAAATATACCTGTCGACTAATCTTAACGTTCTTAATATAGATGTCTCTTTCTTTTTATGTTCCTCCTCGTGAACCCTTATGTATGGTCCATCTTACCTTATCATTTTTGGGGGCTGGCTGAACTCCGCTTTAGACTCACTGCTTAAGCCGCGACTCTTGCTGTAGTATTATAAAATTCACTAATAATGCAGCACTCTGGGTGCTGCAGAATACATGAAGCCAGGTCTACTAACGGTGGCTCTACTTATTGATCTATACCATAGCATTTTATACCGTTACTTTAGGTATGCCCTATCACAGCTGCCAGTATATATATCACGATCTTTACCAATAGGTGACTACATATTGAATGTATGACTACCTTTACGTCTAGACTACCTATCCACTGGCAAGCTGTACACAGTTACCCCACTACGGTTTAGCATAGGATGTTTTACTAAGCATATTGGTTACTTAAATTTATTCTCACAAAAATAATGTGCTGTTTTTGTCAAGTGCCCTACACTGCTATACTTTGTATGGTAATTTTCCTGCTACCGCTGTTGGGGCAGTGCAGGCGTGTTTGTAACTAAGAAGCACAACAAAAATAAAGAGTTTAAAAACAAAAAACAAAAAAAACAATCAATACAAAGTCAATTAACAACCAATCAATATACAAAATTATGTATTATAATGAAGAAAAGTGCAAAATAGCCTTACAAGGTATCATATTATATTGGGGATCACAATGCATGTACATAGAAAAGTACTTGTGTACATTTTTTTTTTAGCAAGGAATAACAACTGGGCTTATGTACACACATTGTGATCCCCAATATAATATGATACCTTGTAAGGCACTTTTGTATATTGATTGGTTGTTAATTGACTTTGTATTGATTGTTAATGAGATGCCCTATAGATTAGTGGTTTGTGCACTGTGGTGATAGCTTGATAAAGATCCCTGAAGGGATTGAAACGTTCCTGTATATGTCCTGTTTTTCCAATAAATCTGCTGATGTATGAAGACCTTGAGTGCCTGGACTAATTTGCTGTTCCTATATGGATTAGGGGTTTGCCAGCCCTCGGTACAGTCCACCGAGGTCTACAGGTGATGAAAGTGCGTATCCCTCTCCCTTTTTTTTTTTTTGTTTTTTTTTTTGCTATCATACCTTTTAGTCATTAATGGGACACTGCTGGCACTATAACTGCTTTATCTCATTGAAGTGATTATAGTGTCTGAAGGCCACTGGCACTCTTCTTCAATTTAGTATTAAACCATTTTTAATTGTTTAATTTGAAGTAAGAATCTACAGCAGCCCACCATCTCTGTGCTGCTTGGGCTAATGAAGAAGCATCAACCTGAGCATCAATAGGAGGCTGTGATTGGCTGAGAGTGTCAGCCAATAGCTTTCAGTCCATCGTGCGGCCCATTGCTGGAATAAAATGGTATGGTTAAAAGGAGTGTTTCTGCCTTAGCCATACCTCCAGAAGGGGTCGAGCTCTGGCCAAGGACCATAATTCAGTGTTAAACCTCTCAAATAGTATAGCACTGCATGGAGGGACAGCACCAGAGAACTCCAAGCAGTTATGGGGCCTTCAGTGTCCCATTATGTGTATTTAGTTTTTTAATGATTGTAGATGTTTTATTTCAGGACTCAAACAGGTCGCCTGCAAGACTTCTTGACCACATCGTGCTGCAAACATCTGAGCTTCATGGACCTCGGAGTGGAGGGTAAGCTGTGTGCCGGGTGGAGTAGCTACAACAAGGGCGAGCCATTCATTGTGCGGGAGCCGGATTCACCCCTGCATGTGGCCCCTACAGCCGATGATGGTAAGAGAGGTGGGCAGAAGAGAGACCCTGTGCTGAGAAGCTAAGAAGGTAGCCAGCAAGTCGTGTAAATATTGCAGTGAAGAGCATATGGTGTAGAATTGGCATGAAGGTATGATTATACTAATAATAGAAGGCACGGATGGAGTTTGATATGATTGTACTTAGGGAAGAGCGTGGAACTTAAAATGTGGGAGTAAAACGGGACAAAGAATAGGAGACTAAGTTGTCATTGTAAAGAGAGGAGAGGTGAGTCAAGTGCATGCAAATTTGGTTTGGATAGTTTTTAGTTATACCAAAAAAAATAACAACCTGAATATAAAGCATGAATCTCAAGCTTAACTGTATCTTTAACAGTTATTTATTTAAACTTGCCGTTGAAGCATGGCATTATTCCAATTTGGCTGTGAAGTCAAGAAAGAAAATCCTTTTCTGTGTTAATACCTTTATTGCTCTTTGCAGAAGACACAGAAGATGAAGTGGCTCAGTATCTTAGCCATTTGCTGGGTTCATCCACACAGACTACCCCTGTCTCACAGCGTGGAGGACGACATCGCTTCCGTGCAGCTATTCACAGCGCTCGAGATATTATATCACTCCGCACCAAAGCCAAGGGACTTCATGTGCAGAGTAAGTGATATTGATGTATATATGCATAGGTTTGTTGTCTGAAATATTATGATAATATGGATAAAAGTCTATAGTCTACGTATATAGACAAAAAATAACTTTGCACTGTTTTAGTCATTTAATTTCCTTTTAATTGTTTGTTTTATTTAAGTATAAACCCACAAAAAGTGTTGAAATAGAATACAAGAAAATAAAGTGTGAATTGTTTGAATCTTACAAAAGTTATGTGATCACTGCAAAGTGTCTGGCGATTTTCCATAGGAAAGCATTAGATTGGCTTAGATTGTCAATTCTGATGATCTCAGCCAAAGGAGGCACGGTGAGTGGCTAAGCCAAACGCCACCCTAGCCAATAAGCATCTCCTTATAGAGATGCATTGATTAAATGCATCTCTAGGGGAAGGTTCAGCATCACCATGCAGAGTGTAGAGATGCTGAACACACTAACCCAAGATGCACCTCTAGTGTAATGGCAGTGTTTACAGCAAAAAGCTTGCAGGGACATACTATACTCACCAGAACAACTACATACCTAAGCTATAGTTGTTCTGGTGGCTAAAGTGTCTCTTTAAATCGCATCAAACAACTAGTGTATTAGTCTGAATTATTTAAAAACTGAAATTACATCCAAATGATCAAATTCGACCCTACAAACCTTTTTCTGGTTGTAAGGTAGGTTTATTTTTGTGTGTGTTTTTTTTTATTTTTTTTTTACTGTATTAGAAAATATCACTAAAATTTTCCAATAAAAACAAACAAACAAACCAACTGTGTTTTCAATAGACTCTGTAAGCACCAAAACTATAGCTTAACGGAGCAGTTTTGGTGTATGGATGATGTCCCTGCAGTCTCAATGTTTAATTCTCTGTCGTGTAGTTAGTTATAGTGATTTTAACACTATAGGGTTCCTTTAAATCACTGTTTTTGGAGCTCTAGCCACACCTGCCCTGCATCTGTCTCACACAGCCAACATGAATAAAATGATTACATTCTGCTTTAGGGGAGATACAAAGTCTAAAGCACTTAAGTTTTATGTGTGAGGAATGTGTCCTCATTTATTTTAAATTTTTTATAAATTTAGCAAAAAGTGCAGTTTTCAATAAATATTGACACTTTTATAAACTATGTGTTTACACACCACTTGGCTTTCAATCAGACAACAGGTCCTGTTATTTCCTGGTACGTTAGCTCAGTGGAGCTAAACTCCAGAGGCAGCAATTGCTCAGAGCACCTACCTTGCAAAGGCTTCTCATTGAGCTGCGTTGGAAAGTCTGTGATTGGAGGGTCACATTGACAGCTACTAGACGCGCTACTGCAAAAATAGTAGAGAAAACGCGGCTATTTCTATCAGATGGTTCTCTAGAGACCATCTGATTGGTGTATTGCGGTGCTTTGCTGCACATGTGCACTAGCCTGTTCTTTTTTTGCCACATGCTTTCTACATAGGGAAATAATTTGTAGCGATTCTGCATGTCTTTCTGTAGCTGCAATGTTATTTGTGTGTAATGGATGTAGGGTTAATTTGTGTATTGAACATTATTAAAATAAAAAAAACTGAAATATGGTCCATGCCTGTTATTTAGTAGATGGTAAAAAAAATCTAGGTTATGTATAGAGGAGGAAGTGGTGGAGAAGAAGTCATCATCTATTTTTTATACATAGATAATGTATCCATTACACTCTGTGCTTTCCTAGATTTACAGATGTATCTACCAACCAAACTATTTCAAGCCTCACAGCCATCGTTTGATTTGCTGAACATAACTCCACCAGAATTCACTGCAAGCAAGGTGATTACTAAATATTATTTAAAAATACATTTAGTTGGCAACCTACAGTGTCTTTTATTTTTATTTTTTTACATCTGAGCTAGTGTGGTTTTTTTGTTTCGTTTTTTCCCTTCTCCCCCAGTGTTTGCTTACTTTGGTTTCACCATATAAATGTATGTGGCCATATGTAATGATTTAAATTTCTGTTTTAAGATCTCGACCTCCTATGCAGGGATGTGTTTACCTCGAGATTCAGATGGGCAGGTGGATTATGCAGCTCTTGTTGATATCCTTAGGGACAGCGCCAATGTGCAAGAGCAAGCAGACATACTGTACTTATTGCATACCATGAAGTAAGTTTATATGCACATTCACATCTTAAACAGTGTGTCCTACCCTTACCTTTTCAGCATATCTCTTCTCTTATTTTAAATAGGGGAGCTGATTGGGACACTCAGATATATGGACAACCAGGTGTGACGGTTAAGGAGCTTCTTGTGGAATTGTATAATAAAGTGGGGTCCTCACGGCAATGGTCCTTTATCCGCTTGATTTCTGGCATACTGAAAAAGAAGGTGGAAGCTCTAGATGAGGTGGAGTATTATATCTGTTTCTGCAAGAATACATGATGCACTTCTGAATTTGATAAATGTGATTACTCTTGCGCAACATGAAATACTGATAATCACATTTAGCTAATGAATATGGTACCCATTGTGAGAGAGAAAACCCCCTGATCTGTCTGTGTATATGGATAATTATCTCTAGGATATAAAAAAAATAAAAAAATCTATCTTTATTCAAATAAATGCCATTAATCGATGTTTCAGTTCTAGCATAGAACTTTCATCTGGATACGCTTGTCCTTGTGCTTGTCCTGATCAAAATACTATGCTAGAACTGAAATGTTGACTTGTGGAATCTTCTTTTTTTTTTTTATCCTAGCATTGTTAGTAAGATAATTATCCATATATTTAAGTGTTAAGACCCACCCAGTGTTTATACTGAACAGTAATGGGAGAAAGAAGCATCACATAAAACCAAGGCCAGTGGCTTGCAGACCACTGCATGCTCCCAGAACAGGAACCAGTGACTATCACAATAGGAGATATCCAACAACGGGTAGTCCACATGAAGTTAGTTACCATTCGGACCTTACATGATCCATACCTATCGATGAATGCCTAGCAGCACAAATGAACAAACTACTATCAACAGTCTCCCACCCTGACTGGCTAACAAAAGGCAGAACAAGACTGGTCATGAAGGACCCTCACAAGGGAACAACACCATCTAACTATCAACCAATCACCTGCTTCTAGAAAACATAGATGGTCCTGTCAGGCATCATAGCCCCCAAGATTGATTAGCATATGAGTCAATACATGAACAGTCCTGAGGATTTGGAAACGCTCCAGAGGCTTAAAACACGAGCTGCTGATAGACCAAGCGGTCACACAAGATTCCAGTACCAGACAGACCAATCTGTGCAAAGTCTCAGTTGAATAAAAGAATGTTTACAATACAGTGCCACACACAGATACTGCAATGCCTGTCTCTATACAAAGTCCAAAAGACACTAAAACTTCATCAAGAACAACACTAAAAGCCAATTCCAGGACAATTACACAGACAAAACAAAACATCAAATGGCAAGGTGATGTGCTTTCCCTGATGCTGTCCTGAATAGGCCTAAACTCCCTCAGCTAGATCACCATGAAGATATCATCAGCCACATCCTCTACATGAATGACCTCAAACTGTATGCCAAAAGTGACTGAGACATTGACTCACTGATTCACTTAACTGGGATGTTGTAAGGATGCATACACTTGCACTACACCACTCATGTGATGCCACTACCTCCCCAAGTAGGCACCACGTCTATTGCACACCCTCATACATCAGTGTGCTATGATCAGTGTGGAGCCAAATGACGGTGCTGGAAATAAGGTGTTATCACTCTATTTAAGAGTCTTTATGTTAAAGATCTTTTTTTTAATTTTTGTGATGTTACAAGACTTACAGAATTTCCATATATTGTACCAATTTAAATTATACACCTGAAAACTTTATTGATGGTCACAGTAATAAACTGTATTGTATCATCCTTAGGCCTGCACAGACCTTCTGTCTCACCAGAAGCAACTAACAGTAGGATTTCCCCCAGAGCCTCGGGAGAAGACCATAACTGCGTGAGTCTTTAACCTTTTTTTATGTGTCACAGTTTGTCCTGAAGAAAACATTGCTTGTGACTGTAAAAACATGGATCGTATAATTAAAATTAATTTATTTAAGGCGTGTGTGAGTATCAGAACTTATTCTATATTAAAATGCAATCTCTTCTTTTTGTATCATAGTACATAGAATTTACAATTTAGATGAAATCTAGACCTGTTTTGACCTCCTATTCATGCTGCATTTATGAGTGCCCTTATGTCCTTTGGTATTTATTTAGCCATAAAGTTACATACTCATGATATGATATATAAGGTTTTTTTATTTTATAAATATTTGAATGTTTCCGTGTCTTATAACTAAACATCCATTCAACATCTACATACTTATTCAAATCTGTGATCTGTGCAGTCTTTTGAAAAGGAGGTTTGGTCTAAAAAAAATACATAAAGTAACCGTCCCCTAACAATATCTTTGTTAGAATATACTGCTAAATGTAAGTAGAATATGTAAAAAGACAGATGTAGTGGCACTCAATGCATTTTTCACAGACATTAAAGGACACTGTAAGCACCAATACAACTTTAGCTTTTGTTTTGGAGTATTCATACTATTTAGGAATCATATCACTTTTATTAAGTCCTAGCCACACCTTCCCTCTCTGTGACATACACATGTAACAGTGCTTTATTTCCTGCTGTTAATCCTCCCACAGGAGGATGCTGCAGGCTCTCGCAGTCAGTCCGTTATCAGATCACAAATTAAGAACATGTAAATGTAAAATTAGATCTCTTTTGAACACTTTTCTTTTTTTTTTTTATCTTGGCAGTGATGTAACGTCACTGCCTTCTCCTGCCAAAGAATGCAGTGAGGTCTTAATCTTCAGCCTTGGGCGCCACTAACATTTTCATTTCGTTTGAATACATTGGGAAACAAAAAGGAAGAAAAAATATTTCATCTCAACCAAATTTTGGTCATTTGTTATGCTCGTATTAGAATTTAATTTGGACGAATAAAACCAATGCAGGCTGCAGTTGCCTCTTGCAGCCGTTTCGTAGAGAACTCCCTAAATTGGCACCCTGGTGCAATTGCTATAGTTAAAGGTACCAAATTAGGAAGCTCTTTAGTAAACCGCTCCTTTTTGGTACGGCTCTGACATTCCTGCAAGGGTTAGGGAGCTATCTACTAAGAGGACAAATGCTCTACCTCTCAACAAAACAAATAGTAGGTAGGATAATTGTACTCAACTTAGTACAGTGTAGATCGCTTCCCTAGAGGCTTTCCCCACTCACGCCTCTGTAGTATCAGATGGATAATATAAAGATAGGGATACAGCTAGGTGCTAAAACATAAGAAACAAACAGCACATAGTGATGTACAGTATACAATGTGACACAGCATTATTAGATTGCACTCACAAGATAAAGATTAGGGAAGCGCCTTAAAGCCCACACTTGGGCTACACTGGTCCGCTCTCCATCTTGGGAAATAATGGATAAATGGCAGGCACAGGTACTTCATGATACAGAGTCAGGGATTAGATGCAAATGTATTTATTAGGAATGCAAGCCGACCAAACTGAGTAAGAACAACAGAGAATGTACCGAATGAGAACCTATGGGGAGAGCTGGTCCCCTTACCAAGAATGAGATTGGCATAGAATCTGGTCACACCTGGTGCACTCTCCAATCAGCAACACTGGATGTGTATTCAGTGGGACTGAGGGAGGGTTGGGATTATGCATATTTTTATGTACTGCTGTTTACTTGCATCTCTGAGGAAGTCCACTGTGATGGATGAAACGCGTTAGATATTTTATACTTTTATTATATTTTTAATCAGGCAGTTTAACCTCCCTTAAATTAATATTGATGTCCACACCACCACCAATGGGTGAGGTGAAGCATGGGGAAATTTAGGAATGCTCCCTGCCGCTTCTTTTTTAAAATATTACAACGAGGGAGTTGCAAGCCAGTTCTTGTAACTAAAATGAAACAAAGAACGAATTGTACAGAATGAAATTCGTCCAAAGAGTGGTCTGTTTTTTGTTTCATTCAGTTTAATTTGTATTTGTTCATTTGTTTTTGAAACAAATGGACTAAGAGCCCAATTCTACTACCAGTACAAAGGAAACACAAAATCTCGTGAGACAACAGAGCAAAGATAGAGTGTAAAGGTGAGCATTGTAGGAAAATTTTCTACGACAAAGGAAGTGGAGCTTGATTAAGCTCAATCATTTTGTCACATTTGTCAAGTGTAAGAAAAATATAGAAGATCAAGTATCCTTTGTCTTACGTTTTAAAGAGAAATAGATCAGAAAATAACAGATTGGGAAAGAGGAAGAAAAGATGAAACAAAAGGAGAGAGGTATGTTTTAGATGGTAGAGCGACTTTCTTTACAGATCGTATTTGTTGTAAGAAAATATGAATTAATGGGTGCTTAATCTCAATAATATTAGGAAAAGATTTTAAGAGTAACGGCTGTGTAACATTTTCAATCTAAAATAACCCAACATACGTCTCTTCTTTGCAAACTTTCCATATTTTTTTTGCACCTACTTTATTCAGATGTACTAATTATGTATATTCCGTTAGGCCCCTCCCGTATGAGAAACTCATATATTTAATTGATGAAGCCAGTGAGAAAAACATGAGCACGTCCATTCTTACTCAGGTGAGTAAACTGGGCACCCATGGCTGTTCTTTACAGTAATAGTTGTGATTCCTTGTCAAATGTGGTTTGGATTCAATTTTGTTTTGAATATTTTTATTGTTTTCGCAATATAAGTGCATATTGCGAACTGGTTCGTAATAAAGCCAGAGATTGCCCACGCAGGGGCTTAAGCAGTAAGTTATAGCATTCATTAAGGTGAACGGTCGCCTACGTAGAGGCTTAAATGTTAGCACATAGGAATAAATGCAGATTATCGCCTGCGCAGAGGCGTAATGATCAGAACATATAGGCGTACTTGAACTTTGCTGGAATACATTTCTAAGCATTACAGCATAAAAGGTAACAACATCCTATAATGCGTCAATCTGAAGTAAACTGTAGCTGATCATGCAATACATGTAATGAAGTATATAGGCAAACTAATGCAGTGTTAAAAGAAATGACCATCCTATACTACAAGTGCTGAAGTATGCCTTAGCTATTGATGCGATACTGGTAGAGGGATGCATAAACAAACAAATTATATTACGTGTACATGGGTTCCCATATTATCGAGAAATAAACTAGGGTGCCTATATGTGAGCCTGTTCCTTGAGCGTCTTCTCAGAATGTCAGAGTTAACACATGATATATGTGACTAGATGAGCGCGGTCATTTCTGTGTTAAGATATAAGCATATTAATATACATCGTATAATACAACATTCTGGCTATTCAAGTAGGCAATAATGAATGGCGTCAAGCTTTTGCCCGTGGGGGCACTACAACATAACATATCCATTCTGAAGCTGATGTGTATAAGTCACCAAAGTAAGTGTCGACAAAGCAGTTACATAAGAAGCGTTTGTGAACTTGGGTATATTCAACACTGAGTGTAGCCATCTGGCACGGACAGTAACTGAATGCCCAGTGAATGAAAGGGAGCATTTAGAAAATAAAAATTATTCCTGACTGGCAGTCCGAGGGAGGCCCCGCTTGTCTCCGCTGCAGCACAGTCCCAGGGATGCCGAGCCTCCTTCCGTCACCTCCGCAGTGCCTCCAGCCCACCGGCCGGGTCCATCGCGGTGCCGTGGGCACTCGGGGGCCGAAACCGTCCACCAGACCCCACCACAAAAGTCCGCGGGCGGCCAGTCCCTTGCACCTCCCCGGCGCCCCGCTGTTCCCTCTGCAGCGCGCACTCCCATGTCTCTCCCGGTGCCGGCCTCACTCTTGGGGCCGGTGCGCGGCCTCCACAGCCACCGGTCCGCCAGAAGGGTAGCGCACTCCTGCCCCACAGGGCTCACAGCAGCGGGGACATGGCTCTCCAGGGACCCCCATACCTAGAGGCCGGGGTACTCACTACTCCTGTGGGTACGGGAGCACCACAGAGGCTCCATCTGGTGCTCCGCCTTGCCCGAGTCTGCGCGAGCCGTCCATGCCTTGCCCCGATGCTGTATGCGCTGCTCAGCTTCTTCTTCTGGGCTTCCACAGGCTCGTTTCAATCTCGCCCTGGGTGCTTCCTCTTGAACTGTGTACCCTCTCAACCGTGTCGGCCTCCACAGTCTCTGTGGTCTGTTATTCTGGCAGGCCTCTTCCTGACTGCCCTTGCCAGTGCAGGGGACCAGCGTGGTGCTCGAGCGGAGATGTCCGCCTCGGCATGTGCCGTCCCCATGAGGCCGGGTTCACCCCCCACCAGCCGGGGGGGGTGGGGCAGGCCCCCGAGCCGGCGTGGTCCCCCAAGGGGATAGGTGACTCTATGATGCATTGTTCATCCAAGCGGATCACCAATCTCTGAGTCCTGCTCTAGCACCGTCTGAAGTCAGGCTTATGCTAACAGGTAGGCCAGATTTATTTGTGTTAGTGTTCCCAGCGTGCTGTCGGCCCTTTGCAGGTGTCTTTTTAATGCTGGGGTGCTTCTCTCTTGCAGCATGCCCAGATGTCCGATGTTAGAGTGAGTTATATTAGGTTTTGTAGCCTTTGTTTGGGGCTCGTGCTCAGAGCCATGCTTGTCTGCTTCCAGTCGGCCCAGCGGCCCAGCCCCGCCCCCCTGGATTCAATTTTGGAAAAACAGAATCTTCAATTACATAATAGTTAAAATGTGGGATAACTGCTTTTTGAGCCAAGGAAATATCTGACTACCACTTTGGAAAAAAGGATTTTCTTTTTTTTTTTTTTTTTGTGGCACAATTGGAAATGTCTTTAAATCACATTGGGTACTTCCCTTCTGTTGGATTAAGAGTAGAGCGAAACATCTGGGGTGGTTGTTACTGATAGTTATTTCAGCCAATCTTACTATTTAACAAAGTAAAATCTTCACACATCAAACAAATACCATTTACTGCAACTATTTTGAAAGCGCGTTTGGCACCTGAAATTACATTTTATCTACAGATTATTATATACATATTTACATTCCATCAAACCCCATCAAAAACTTGTCAATCTGCAGTACTGAGTTTGCCCAGGATTGCATGTCACCCTAGCACTTAGAGAATTAAACAGTATAGAAAGGCACTAGCCGTTAAACACTCTACAGAAAGTGTAATGTCATGTGCAGGTAGAACTTCAAAATTCTGCAATGGACAGCCTGCTTGTGCCAGGACAGGCTAAAAGATCTATAGGGGGAGAGATCAAGTGCAAGTTCCTCTTCCCACCTAGATCTGCAGGCACATCTGTAAAGACATGTTAATCACAGTTAAATTAAAAATGGTATATTTACCCAATCTTACTTTTTATTGTGCCAGCCACATGTGTGCCCAAAAGGTTAACTAGAAACCTAGTTTTTATAATAAACAATGCAAAAATAACTTTCCAAACTTATTTAAAAATATATAAATATACACACTTTTTATGACCAGGAAAGTTGAAGTACCTTTCTGCTAAAGTAACAAAAGGATGAGTTTGTGAAAAATGTTATGTTATGTGAGTTGGTTAAATTAATTATTTTATCAGTGCTGAATTACTTTAGTAGATTGTCGGATATAAATGAGAATGTGCCAGGCAAGGATGTAATTCTAATGAACATATCTACATTAAATGGCGGTTGCATGCAGCCGAGCACAAGAGAGGGTATAATGAAATTACCTGCATAATTTCTCCTATTTTGCACTTATATTTCTATTATACATTTCTTTCCCTGCCATGCCACGTACCTTACCTACATTTTCAAAGCAATACAGTTCACCGAAAGCAGTGCCATACAAGCAAGGTTCTTCCTGCTTATGTGATACTACCAAACACCAAAGTAGATTTATCCTGTGAGTTGTTGTACTTTAAAATTCCAGTGTTGGCTTAGTTTGGTCACCTCCCTACCCTCCACCAAAATCATTCCTCCCATGAAATACAAGTAGCTCTGAGGAATCTACTGATGCTTCACAACACACCATTTTACAACCATGTACTGCACTGAATGCCCGTAATATGCCAGACTTAAAGTGGCATAAATTTAAAGTTTGGAAGTTTTCAAAATTCCACCTTCCACCCCCTTTTCACCATCCCTCCTTTTTTCGCCTACTAACACAATATTTCCTTGCATTACACTAGCAGAATTATTCACTAAACTGAGAATTCAAAGTGAATTGAAAGTTAGTTTCAAATTTGGGATGTTACGTGGCAGGAATGTTTTTCTTAAAGCAAAGAGGCAATATCTGGATATCGTATGTTGCCATGTCAAAAAATCAACCAATTTCTGTTCTGTTGCCCACAGGAAATAATGGTGTACCTAGCCATGTACATGAGGACACAGCCTTCACTGTTTTCTGAGATGTTCCGCTTGCGTATTGGACTTATCATCCAGGTCATGGTGACAGAGCTCTCCCATTCACTGCGCTGCTCTGGTAGGGGACTTCAGATCATATTTTCCATATGCTGACACACGCTAATCTAAATGAAAACTTCCTATTTCAGTCTCTATAGTGTATCGGCTAATCTATTTATTTGAAAAGGCTGTTTGTAGCTGTATACTAATTGCATTGTACTTTACTATTTTGTTTTCTTTCTATGTGAGAAAATGCTGCATTTGTAGACGTTAATATAATGAAAACTAAATGTATTTAACGTGTGCTATTATGTGACAGCATAAATGAGAAGGTCCAACAGCAGAAATGCTAGATAGGCTTTTGAGTGTCAGTTTTCAAGAGGAAAACCGTAAAATTGAGATTCCGAAGCCGGTGTAAGGCAGATTTTAATAAAGAGTGCATCTTTAGTTAAAGGAACACTATAGGTTCAGGAACAAAAAATGTATTCCTGACCCTATAGTGTTAAAATTAATATCTAACCCCCCTAATCCCCATAAATATTACCTTTATTCCAGTCTGGTGGTGCTGGCTCTGAGCCTAATCCTTAGCTGACCTCTTTAGAAGTGATAATCTGAGCCAATCACAATGCATTCCCGTAGGAAAGCATTGGATTGGCTGAGATTGCCACGGAGGTGGGCAAGGGGCGGAGTCAAACACCACCCTGGCCAATCCGCATCTTCCCATAGACGTGCATTGATGGGAATCAATGCATGTCTATGAGAAAAGTTCAGTGTCTCCATGCAGAGGGTGGAGACACTGAATGTGTGCAGCACTGACTCAGGAAGCACCTCTAGTAGATATCTGAGAAGTGGCCAGTGGAGATGTCCGTGGGCAGCAATGTAAACACTGCCTTTTCACTGAAAAAAAAAAAAGTGTTTACTGCAAAAAGCCTGCAGGGACTGATTTATACTCACCAGAACATATACATTAAGCTGTAATTCTTCAGGTGACTATAGTGTCCCTTTAAATACAAAATAATAGAAAAAACTACAACTTTCCAAATGCAGATAAGTTATTACTATCACAATTAATAATGGTTTCATAAATTATAATAAAATATTGTCCTGCCATATTTGACAGTTTTGCTAGTAAAATAGTCTCTCATCCCCCTATTTTTCTACCATAGCTGAAGAAGCCACAGAAAGTCTTATGAATCTAAGCCCATCTGACATGAAGAGTCTACTTCACCACATCCTGAGCGGGAAGGAATTTGGTGTGGAGAGAAGTGGTAAGTTAACATTTTCCAGAAAATGGTGTTTGAAAGAATGTTATCTTTGGGCTAGGCATTGGGGTAACAGAATTATGTTTTTTAGAACGTGACCTCTTTTACCCGTTTACCAATATAATTGCTCTTTGTCTTTATCATTCTTGCCTCAGTTCGACCCGTGGATTCCAATCCTTCTATTTCCATCCATGGATTGGAAGGTGTGGGGGCCACAAAGAGTGAGAGAGCTGGCATCACACGACTGAAAAGTGAGATAAAACTGGTAAGTAAAAGATATTTTATATATATATATATATATATATATATATATATCTCTTCAAAAGCATGGTAGATTCTTTACACATTTCTTTAACTATCTGTGTGTCCTTGATGTGTTTGTGTTCGTTGAGCCATTGGAGAAGAATGTTTTGTAATGTGTCCATCACTCATAAGTGTGCTTTTGATCTCCAGTCACCTATCACCCTGAATATTTTCTATATTTTCATCCGGAAGCTGAAGAAAACAATTGTATGCATATAAAGTTAATCCTACCTTATCCGTAGGGAACTCTTAAAGAGCAGAGGTTAAAGTTGGGACTACTTTGCCTCTGTATTTCTCCTCCACATGGCTCTCTTTTATCCCTACAGCCAATATGGCCTTGCCCGCGTTGGACAAGTTCAGGTAAGTAAATCTCAACTTTACCTGCTCCCCAACCCCACCCGTCGGCGATCGGACCTCCAGTGGCAATGTCACCATTGTTCGACTTTGCGAATTTGGTACTCAAACAGTGGCAGTGTCACTCTAAGGAGACTCTCGCTCTCCCAGTAGCAATTCACAGCAGTAATTCGTCTTCCACCCACATGGTGGAGAAATCCCCTGAAAAAATTCAAGGAGTAAGACATAAATTGAAAAAATAAATACTGGTAAGTAGAAGAGCACACCTCCACGCTAAGAAAAGAGCCGCCTAACATATTTCATACCACTAGGCTACTACTCATAGATTTGTGATTATTTTGGAATATAGCAATAAATTCTATTTTATTAATTAAAATATTATCTACAATTACAACTGCTGGATTGAACTTCTGTGTACACGTTTGTAGTGCATACCTGTACTATGCATTTGCCCTTAACCGCTACAGTCTTTAATCCTTACATCACACTGTTATGCCCACCTAAAACAAATCTGAGTAGTATTCTTTTAATTTGTTGAGCTAATAAGTAGCTTTGTTTCCAGACATTGTGCAGCTTTGTTTCCTATATATTCCATTATAATGATCGGTCTTGTCTACATTTCAAAGTTCTGCAAGAATTCTATCAGAACTTCTTTTCATGTCTACATAATGTAAATAAACAAATATCTTCTGTGTTTATCAAAGTTAGATAATTGGTAGCTTTCAGTTATCAAACTCTGTATGTATAAATCCTACAGGTTTTTAAGCAGATATCATTATAATTGGATAGAGCAGTACTATCCTTTATTTCTGTCTCTAGGATATAAGCAATTTGTGAGATCCAGGTGTTCTTGATCCATTTTGCTGTGTACAATGTATACAAGCCTCTGGACCAGACACTGAATAGTCCTTTGGTTTTCTTTGAGGGTTCCCAAGCACAGTGTTAAATACAAAAGAAGAAAATGATTTAGATGTTAAAGATCCAGTATATGATGCATATTACATTGCATATTAACTATATTAATCATTATACTTTTTTTAATATAGCATACAGACAGTTTTTTATTTGTGTATTGCTTTCATATTTCCACTGATATCCCTTCTTTAAATCCTTATTATACTTCTTCAGGAATCAACTTGCTGAGGTAACGCTCTTCTCATAATGCATTGAGTATGCATAACTACCCATCAGGCCATACACTTCATAATGCAAGTATTGATTTGCATTGTTTGCCAGGCTATGCCTTGTCATACTTCCATATTTATGTGTATGTGACAATTCCCTTTATTTCTGAAATTACCTCTATATGAATACATACATATAATGATGGGGTGAATTCTGATAACCATTAGACTGGACATGAAGACCTAGGTACAGGCTGAAACACTATCTAGTCAGTTGTCGTGATAACAGATTGTTGAAGTAGCTGTTCTGAGTCGTTTTATATCTATGCCATTGGAATTGTGGTAAAGTCTACATACATAGTTTCTTGATAGTTAAAAAAATAAATGAAAAAGGCTTCCGATTGTGCAGTAGAATGCTGAAATGTAGCTTTTTTGTCTCCATAATGTCTGTCCGAATATTGTGTTTTTCCCAAAAAGAATCCAGATGTGTTTTAACAAAAATCTATCTAATGTGATAAAACCTTAGTTGAACACTACTACATATGTACTATAAATGTGGCAACTTTCCGAGCCCTAAATGATGGGTTAGTAACTCCTCAGTACATATTGCTGATCATAAGTGGTATTTTAGTTAGCCAAAAGTCTGACCAATCAATGTTTCAGTACGCTAAGAGCTTTGTCAAAACCCCATGTATGTCAAAACACTGACAGTCTTTTGGCTGAATGAAATTAAACTTATGATCACCACTATGGATTAAAGATTTATAATTTTTGGGGGGTTTTGCACTGGGAATGTACAGATGAAGAGGATATCACCCCACAATTTCTACTATGCATCTGCATGTTACAAGTTCACTGATCCCTAGGATGTTATTTGTCAGGAATGCAAACTAAATTTCAAAATTTAAGTCAAAGTAACCGATTTGGAAAAATGTCAGCTCTTATTTCAATTTGATTATTTTGGCCCAACACGTGAATTTCTCTTTGAATTCATTTTTGAAAATCCCAACAATTCATCATTTAGTTACTAACTCTGTAAATCAGGGCTCAAAATTTCCCCTCACAGCTAGTCTTTGGTGAGTGAAAATGTATCACTTGAGGGGTCCTTCACCTCTGGCTTGTCTGGTAGGATAGGACAATACATTTTAATCCCTGCATAAAGGGATCCTATTGTGCCAGCAAAACAAAGCTGTTTTCCTGGCATGATAGGGTTAAAAGGCCCCCCTCAACCTCCTTCACTCAGGGTCCCAATCCGTTAGGGTCACTTACCTGAATCCAGCGCCGATGTCCCTCGGCACTGGGTCGGGCTCTTCGCACGCACATTAGACCTCCCCAAAGGAAAGCATTATTCAATGCTTTCTAATGCGGAAAATCTAATGCTGAGGTCCATGAGGACGTCCAGCGTCCGATAACGGACCAAAAGTCCTTTAGGATTCCAGAAGTTCAGACAGCCACAGAGGGCAGACTTAGTGCTGCAATGTAAACATTACAGTTCTCTGGAACTGCCATGTTTAACATTGCAGCACTGGGTGCAAAAGGGTCATAGCACCCAGACTACTTCAGTGAGCTGAAGTTGTCTGTTTGCCTACAGTGTCCCTTTAAATTTTATACCTGGTACCTCACACCTATTATTTTTTTATTTATTTATTTTTGTCGATTTTTAGATTATTTTTTTTTCACTTTCTTTCTTACAATGCACAACTGTTTTTGTTTCCACTGAGGATACCACTATGAAATGTACAAATCTTTTCATGTTGTGATGCTCATATTGAACAGGACACTTGTCACCTCCTGTTCCTAAATGTGCATAACTTGTTTTGTCATTATTTGTCTTTTACCACCTGTACAACTTCTTTATAAATAATATTAAAGTGAATATCAATGAATCACATGTGTGATGACTTGAATGCTTGCTACCTCATCATATGGCTTTAACTCTCTCTTAACAGCTGGATAAACTTAGGATGTCTCTGGCTCCTGAGTGCCAGGTGAACTGATGAGCTACATTATATTTAATCACTGCTAAGTATGCACATGGCTTTTATAGTCACTGCATGGGCTGTTCACTGTGGGTGAATCGCTTAATTGTGATCTTACAAAAATATAGTGCTGCTTAAAGTAGATTGCACAATAATAATTATGCCAATTAATGGGTCTGGTGTATCACTTTCAAACTGGATTATTAGGTTTTTGTTAAGCACCTATTTTTGCACATAAAAGAATGGTGGTGAGTATATTAATTCACAGTAAGAAAATCACTTCAATTTGGTTGTCTCCTATGCTATAAGAATAAGGAAAAGTGGGATTTGGCCTGGTATGTTGTCACTGGTAGCCTAAGTGCAGTAAGTTCCTGAGAGCTGATTAAATGAATTAAACAGATTGTTAAAAGCTCTTTCTTAGAGCTTTATGTGCAAGTTACATTCACTTGAAAGGTTCTCCTGTTATGAAATTCTTGGTCAATCAAATCTCATGTAAAGTTCTACCTCTAGAACAGTTAAGTGGGTGCCTAATAAAGCTGCTGTTATTCTTGGTCAGACTTTGTTTCTATGCTTTCAGTGATGATTATGTTAGCACTTAAAAAACTAAAGTATTTATAGTAAAAAATGTCTGACTTTAGTTTGAGATGTCTTCCCACAATGCTGGACATGTTTCCACTAGAGTAGTAAATGCATACCAGGTACTGTACCAGTTCAGTCTTTCCCATATAAATATTTTGTTTTAATTTATATAGTAATAATGCAGTTATACTCTTCGGATCAGCTTTTAACACCTAATTATCGAAGCAGAGAAATCATATGGCTTTAAATGTGACTAATATGTTGTTCGGGGGATGCTACCATCCATGGCTTAGCTAAGCATAATCAGCTGCCAATAGTTTAACTCACATTTTGTGTTAATCATTAACTACTTATGAATAGAATCTGAACTATTAGCTGTTTCTGTGCTAATTTGTATATCTTTTATGTTTTCTACATAGGATGTGGATCCTTTCTCCATGATGTCATTGGTAATAACATTATTTTTAGATAATATATGCTCTTCTCTTCACTAACTGGAAAGTTGGATATTTTTCTTTGTGTAGGTTGACAGATATAAGGGAAACAAAAACGTCATACCAACCCTTAATTAGAGCAAGGCGGTTCTGCTTCTGATAGTTTAAAGCCTAAGCTTACTGTAGCTGTCTGCCCTCTTCCTGTTGTAATAATAACATATTTGAAGTTGTACTTCAAATACGTTCTCATTAAGTAAATCCCATTTAAGTTTGGATAACACTTTAAGCTAAGGCAGACCAATGGACTATGTGAGTCATAAGCAGCCTACTGAGCTGGAATTGGTTTGTGTGTGTGTTTTGTTTTTTTCCTGCAGCTCTTTGCAACATTTTTTTATTATATATTTTATAGGTTTTATTATATATTTGAGCAGAAAGCAATCACATTGGAGGCATGGAACATTGAAGTATGTTTCTTCTGCAACCTCCATGTTCGTCACACCATGATAATAATTATGAATACTTTTCCACAAAACATGGACATGCGCAGTTCTGCTCTCACTCAAGGAAGCCAAGGCCAGAATAAAATCTTGATTTCTTTTTCACTATTTGACTTAAACAACGTATTAAAATCTTTATGGAGATGTTAAAGGAATTCACTATGCACCTAAACAAATTTAATTTGACTACTTAATTTCCAGAACAGAGTATAAATGTTGTTTTACTTTCATGTATTTTTGCAGAATGAAATTTAGTCCTTAAATCCTCACTAACCCTAATTTATAATCTAGTTGTGATTACCAGCCTGTAGAGGAGCATATTTCTCTAAACCAGTCATATCCTAATTGACTTTAGCTCTCTTAAAAGAGCTTATAATTTAATCTATACATTGTGCTATCAGTTTTGCCAGCAAATGCATATATTTGCTCCTAATCCGATATAAAATAGTTTTATTCTCCTCTCTGTCTCTCATTTCTTCGGCAGACACTCAATGCCGAGGAATTGAGAGCAGAGGAGACCACACGCAGGCTGTCCCTCTGCTCTCCACCCATAGCAACCACAGCGCATGCACTGCAGCCAGAAGATAGGTCCTTAGACCCTGTTACTGGGCTCCTGGAAAGATATACGGTTCAGCAATGCTGCAAAAGGAACTGACTAAATTCTTTATTTTTGAACTGGACCTATCTTTCAACAACACTAAATTAAAGGAACAATATAGGCATCACATCAACTTTAGCTTAATGAAGCGGTTTTGGCGTATACATCATGCCTCATTGCTCAATTCTCTGCCATTTACGAGTTAAATCACTGTTTATGCAGCCCTAGACACACCTCCCTTCATGTAACTTACACAGCCTTGATAAAACCACTTCCTATGAAGAGAGCGCTAATGTTCAAAGTTCCTGTGTTGCACAGTCTGTTTAATTTAGAAGTTCTTATCTCTTGCACTATAGTTCAATTTACAAAGAAGCAAGTTAATATCTGATTGAAAAGGAAACCATTTTCTTTCATGTAGTCACAGCCAGGGTTGGTGTGGCTAGGACCACATAAACAGAAACAAAAGTGATTTAACTCCTAAATAGCAGATAATTGAGCAGTGTGACTACAGAGGCATGATCTATAAACCAAAACTACTTCATTAGGTTAAAGTTTTTATGTTTTGATGCCTATAGTGTCCCTTTAAACTTATTGTGAGAGATTCAGAACCATTCATAAAACATAAAGGCAACTGTAACCCACAATAGAATATATGACACACATGGGGGATCCTACAAAAATCCAAATTTGAACATGAATTTCACAAAATATGCAAAACTATTCAAATCAAGGTGTCAATGTATATAACCAAGCTTTAACAGACCTCTATTTTAAACCTGCTTTATAGCACTATGTACATCGGTATGAATACTGAACTGTTATACAGGGTATGTTTTTAGGTCTTTTGTCTTTGCTGTGTTTAGAAACCTGGTGATTCTTTTTCTGCTTCTGGTGATCTCTCCACTTCAAGCATATCCGATAGTGACAGTGGCTACGATAGTCGTCAGGGGCAGTGGCTCCGTAGGAGGAGATTGGATGGGGCACTAAACAGAGTACCTGTTGGATTCTATCAGAAAGTATGGACAATCTTACAAAAGGTGAGGAATATTCCGGAAAAAAAACTAGTCATGTTTTATAAAACAACATTATGAAAAATAGTTCCATAGAAATAATAAATGCTGAGGCAACGGAATAGAAAACAAAAATAGCTTCTGCGGAATCAGCAATAAATTGGTACAGCGTATTGATTAATGAAAGCATTATATTCTCTCCTTAATCGCGAACATGAGAAAATAATTTCCTTCGTGGCCTTAATAGTTTGAGATAATTAAACCAGTCATATAGACAGATATAGCAGAGAGTGGGTCTGAGCATTTCCTGTCATTGAGGAGAGGAATGATCTTGACATAATTCATAACAAGTACCAATAAAAGGGGGTCTCATAGGTGATTTTAGTAAATGTTTGAATTTTTACCAGATCAGAGCACCAAAAGGTCCTACTTGGGGTGCAGAGAGATCCATTTTGAGGAGATGTTTACCATGCATTTTGACATTCATTGCAAAAGTTGTTGAGGGACAACATATGGGGTGTTCTGTGAAAAGTAGTACCACCTTGAGACGTGTTTAACCACTATGGCAGTTTCCTGCAAATGATTTATGCATTTCTTAAGCAAACAAAATATACATCCAACACTTTATCTAAATAAATAATGTGACTTATCTTAATAGATAGTGGTAGCCTTCTCCAGGAATATCCCAGACTATATTCCTTTTATATAGTACGAAAAACAGCAAGTATGTTGGAGAGTATGGCTGTAGATCTACAAACAAAGTAAATGAAACACAAAAGGAACAAATATAGTGTGACACTGTTGTATAAAAATGAAATTGCGCAAACACAAATTGCACTCACTAGATGTAGTAGAATAAATCACATCTCTGTCAGACGATTTCTATGCAAAATGTTTGTGGTGAAAATGGGCAGTATCCAGAAAATTAATATGGCGATTAAAAGAATCCATACAAAATAGAGATATTGTCTGCAAATCTTACCTGTATTTGCACATAATGTTTTAGGCTGTGGATACTGGAAAGATTTTCCCTGTCAAATGTACTATCTAGACAACATAAACACATTAATACAGGAAAAGAAGGTGTACACCAAGCATGTCACACTCAAAGGCTAACACGGGCCAAATAAACAAGGTTTACGTTTACGTGGGACGCAAAAAAAAAACAAACTTCAGTTTTCCTAGAAATTTAAGTTTATTTAAAAAAGTACAGTATAAAAAAGTTGCCTTACTGACATTGGATGTCCTCATGCTTGAGCTTCAAAGTAAACAAAAAGAGCAAATTTATTTTAGGGAAATGTATATTTGCATATAACCAATGTTTCAGTACAGCTACCTTGACATATTAAGAAAAGTTTGGTAATGGGACCGAAATGGTGAATGTGTGCTTTTGCACAGCTTAGTTTAGGGAGTGTTGTGGGGGTATTAGATCTTGGATCTAGTCGCTGTCGGTTCCTGGTGGGGGTGTCCGTGACCTGTGTGGGAGATGGTGTGTGTCTAGTCTTGGGGCTGAACACACTAGCCCTTTTTTTAATACACTGTCCCCCATCCCTCCATTCTAATACACTGCTCTCGCTCCCACAATTTAATACTGCCTTTCCCCCAATTTAACAGACTGCCCCCCTCCCACAACTCTAATAACCGCATACCCCTCCCACCACTAATATACTGCCCCCTCCCTCCCTTAAATTAATACACTGAACCCCCTCCCTCCCTTAAATTAATACACTGAACCCCCCTCCCTAAACACACTGGCCCCCCTCCCTCAAATTAATACACTGGCCCCCCTCCCCTCAAATTATTACACTGGCCCCCTCCCTCCCTCAAATTATTACACTGGACCCCTCCCTCCCTCAAATTAATACACTGGCCCTTTACCTCCCTCAAATTAATACACTGCCCCTTCACAATTTAATACACTGGCCCCCTCCCTCCCCCAAATTAATACACTGCCCCCTCCCTTATATTAATACACTGCCCTCTCTCCCCAATTTAACACACTACACAGGTAGGTCCCCCAAGCTCCTCTTCTCCTACCTTAAGATGAGCCGCCCATCCTCCAGTCCTAGCCCTGCTATGCTCAATCAGGCCAGACGCTCCTCTGGCACTGTGAGCAGGAGGGAAGGGGGAGTGTCTTTCCTGATCTGCCGTCAGACCGCCACTCTGCCGTCTTGTGGTCGTGGGAGAGAAGACCAGGATCAGACAGGAAAGAGTTTTGTGACTGGTTGCAGCCACAGCACAAATCGACCCCAGGACAGGCGGGCCGCAAATATATTCTGTGTGGGCCACATGCCGCCTATGGGTCTCAAGTTTGACATGCTTGGTGTAGCGCCTGAAGTATTCTTTAGGAGAATGTATGTAGCGACGAGAAAAATAAAAAAAATAAAAACAGTGTAGTGAGTTTAAAAACTTCTTGTTAGAGTAAGGAAAATTAAACATTGTACACTCACACATTCCTTAAAGGACACTTCAGTCACTACACCTTCTTTTCCTGTTTTATCTGACCCCCTATCGGGGTAGAGAAGAATCTGTTTTTGGTAATAAGGATGCATTTGGATTATGTCCGTATTGTACAAGTGCAAATTTTTTCTGTTTTTATCTATAAACAAAATGTGTTTAATATATAAAAAAAAAATCTTAATGCTACCAAATATCACATTGATCTTATTTTTACCTCAATAATGTCTTATCCTTAAATTTTTGTTTCTATATTTATAAAATAATTGTGCTGCTCTTCATCTGCCTGTGTTGACTTTTACAAATAAATGGCGTGATAGGATTCCATTGTATAAATGTAGCACATACATATGATCTTAAGTCACCATAATCACCAGAACAACTGGTGAGTAACACCTAAATAGTATTTTTAACATGATATGGTCAGGAATACATGTTTGTATTCCTTTAATTAATATTTGATCCCATACATTGATTTGTATAGAAATAAAAACTGAACATAAGCCTGAAGTAAGCTGGAACAATACTTACTATATAGATTCCCTGGTTGCCTGTACCCTTAAATCATTATATCCAGTCTGCTCTTTGTTTTCTATTTTCCCTTATTTCTGGTTTTGGTTTTTTTCCCCACAGTGTCACGGATTGTCCATTGAAGGTTATGTTCTTCCTTCTTCCAGCACACGTGAGGTAAGAAATTATGGATGTATTGTGAACATATGCTTCCAGAGCCACTGTTCAAACCTTGACACTATTAGAACGAAGGCAATCTATGAAAACCAATTGTATCACTTCATGTGATATTTTTTTCCCTTCATCACATCCCAATCCTGCAAATTGCCAAGGAAGATTTTATAACATTAAATAACTGTTAAACATTTAATTTGCATGGAAACTGCACATACCACCTGCACAAATGACTATAAACTTTAATCCAGTTGTTGCGTCACAGCACACGCAGCGGTCTGAAATGTGAAAATTGTATAGAGTGTTATGGAGCATGTGAGAGTACTCATAACCTGAGGGGAGGACCTTTTTAATGGTCTTACCTTAAACCCAACACACTCTATAACACTGTTGGAGATTAACAGTTGAGGTTAATGGGATGTATAGCAATTCTAATATAGAGAGAACCTGCTTGTAATTCTTCCATTATCTCCCTTATATTATCAGTGGATGGACAATAATGATCTATCAAAGACCTAAACACCTGTTAGTACGCCATTTCCTTAATAGTGGCTTTGCCACCTTCTGAAGTCTTGACTCCCTATGGTGGCATCCCTGCTTAGCGTGCTGTGTCCAAGAGGTGCAATAGAAATTAGTTATACTTACCTGATGCTGTCTGCCACAGGCACTGCCATTATCAATCTCCAGTTCCAAGTGCTGCATCTGTCAGAAGCTCACATCAGTGCTGAGCTTGCATATGCATGAGAGTACAATACTGATGACTATGGAGGAGGCTGCAGGACCCTCCAAAGATATTGTCTTGCAATGAGCAAGACAATGTCTTATTCCCACTGCTGTCGCTAGCAAGTGTCAAAACTTTTTGTTAAGTTAGTGATTTACTTTTTAAGTTAATGATTTCTACTTTGTCTGATATCTTTTGACCAGTGTTAATTTTGTCGACTAACAATTTTAGTCAAATTTCAGTTGACTAAAAATATTTGCGATTTAGTCGACTAAAACTAGACTAAAACAATTCATATGACTAAAAAACAACTAAAACTAAAATGGCTTTTTAGTCAAAAAACTAAGACTAAAACTAAATTGAAATGTGCTGCCAACATTAACACTGCACAGAGGGGCTGTAGAGGGGGCAAAAGAGACAGACCAGGGCTTGGTAAAGAGATCCTTAAAGGGGCTGTGGAAGGGGCAAAAAGACAGATGCATTAACTAAACCCATTAGATTTTAATTGTGTTGACTAAAATCTACTGAGGATGTAGTTTGCTATAACGAGACTAAAACTAAAACAATTCAGCACATTATTTATGAATATTTTTTAAAATATATATTTTATCCATGAAATGCTTAATTTCCAAGGTGGGGACACTCAAAACAGTGACAAAGCCTCTTTATTTAATTTGTTAAAATTATTTTAGGCGTGCAGGGATAGGTACAAGCTTTTGTAATGACATATGACAAGATGTATAATAACAATATATAAACATATAAGGTCAAGATGTGCTGCACTCCCCCCCCCCTGCCCCCACCCCCAGGCTAGTGAACATGTACAAATAGAGATAGTAATATAGGTGTACGTACAGACTAAGTATTTCTGACATAGATTCATGAAACACGTTAAATAAACATATAGCATGGTGTAGGTACAACTTAAACTAAGCTTGTCAGGAGAGAGAGCTGTATAACATGCTGTCTATAACAAGTTAACTGAAGTTGCTACTGGGTACTAATCCCTATAAATAGGTGTGTGAAGAAGAGAAGTGGAGGCCCTGCACTGTTAGCTGATCAAGGCTCTGGTCCATCCTATGCCATAGGTGGGCCATGCTAGACAGTCTGTGACTGGGCTTGTTTCGTTATATGCCTCCATACTGTGCTCTGCTGTCAGCCCAGTTTCACACTTGCATATCCAGGAAGGGGTGCTGCAGCCAAGTGTTGTCTTTCTGAAGGCCCATGCTTTAAGGGAAACATTATCTGCTTCTACATGGGGTCTTTGTTGTGTGTTGTAGATTTTTTGGCCCTTGAGAGCTTTTAAGATATGGATAGCCCATCATGAGATCGGGCGAACGGTGAGTAGTACCTTTATGTTGGTACCCTGTGCAGAGTGAGGTCGGCGCTCTGCCTTGGTCGTCTTTGTCACAGGTTTCATGGGCACGGTAGCTGCAGAGCTCCGGCTCTGAATTCTCCTCCAGAACTTCTGGCACATTCGTTCAAAGTGGGCGTTTAAGTGCTCTCTCCAAGTTTGGAGTGAATAGCTTTTCAGTAGGAGAGTTTATGGAGGTCCTTCTGGTTAATGGAGGTCTTAAGCTCAGGTGAGGCTTCAGGTAGTGCGATTGTGTGCAAGAAAGCTTATTTAGGAAGCCTGTATGCTGGCACACTCAGAGAACACGTCCGGCCATCTTGGCTGCCTTGCTCCGCCCCTGAGCCACTTTAAATAATAGAGATGACTTGCCTCTGGTCCCTTCTTTACCCTTCACCAATGTCAAGGTAGTTAGGGGCTTGTGAATTTGGAAACCGAAGATTATGTGGTAATTTAGGTTCATATGTTTGTAAGCAAGCCAATGTTCTTGGATTCTTTAGCACACTGCTTGGTGTTAGGCACTGTTTTATTCAGCAATCACAAATACCTCAGCACTTTATGGTGTGTGTGCCCCCCCCCTCCCCTCCCCCCCCCTCCTGTTGTACACTGGATGAGGGATCAGTGGAAGACCACTAAGTAGATGTTGCCTTATGTTATTTTTACAAGCCCCCTTTCCACTAGTAAGCAGAACACCTCTTGGAGGGGGTGGGAGTAACTCCAATGATAGCCACAGAAATGCACTGTATGGGAGCTTTCTGAAGTATGGGTCAAACGTGCAAAATCATGAAGTGTGGCCTCTAGTGAGTCAAGAGGCCAGTGCACATTCCTAAATGGAACACAGAGACTCCAAGATCGTTAGTGTCCAACCATTAACAGGGCTATTCAAGAATTCAGAGTGAACTTAGACCAAAATAGCTGAACTGGTAATAATAATCTATAAGCCACAGAAGCCTTCAAATTGTCACTTTAGTGAATAATGTTGTAGGATTGAGTTTGTACACATGGCCATTAAACAATTTCCTTTCTTAAAACCGTTGGTTCAGGGGGGAAAAAAAATCTAGGTATCTCAAGGGAATTGGGACTCTTATATTTACTACTACAGAGTCTGTTTTGCGGTTAGATTAGCTTTTAACCAATTGGTGAAATCTTTCATGCATACCCTAAGCTGTATTTACGATATCTGTATACGTACCTGTTGTCAGACATGCACATTCCCTTATTTCTGCCTTCAGATGACACCTGGCGAATTAAAATTTTCTGCTCATGTGGAATCTGTCCTCAACCGTGTTCCACAACCAGAATATCGTCAGCTTCTGGTGGAAGCTATCTTGGTTTTAACAATACTTGCTGATGTGGACATCCAGAGTGTAGGTGGTATCATCCACGTAGAACAGATCGTGCACACTGCAAATCAGTTGTTCTGTCAAGAGCAGGTAATGAGCCTCCACACCTTTCTCCTTTAATGCTATATTTGATTCCTTTATTGACTTTACAGATTAAATGTTGCATTTGATATAAAGAGCCCATATAATAACTGTCATAAATGGTAACATTGATCTTTGCCTTCTTGTTTAACCTTTTAAATGACATTCAGAAATGTAAACTTTTCTTCTGAGACTCACTGCTTTGGAAAGGAAATGTTAACCTGCTGAGACACCATGAAGATAGCATTTTTACCTTTGTTTTGTTAGTGAACTTATCCCCACAACACTTGTTTACTTTTGTTTGTCTATTTTTGTTGTTTTGATGCAGAAGGCGCTTGGGGCAGATGATGGAATGCTAGAAATCGACCCTGGAACTGGAATATGTTGCTTGTTATATGACAGCGCCCCCAGTGGACGCTTTGGGACAATGACTTACCTCTCTAAGTCGGTAGCCATAACTTTGCAAGAATCTCTCCCACAAAGTGGTTGCTCGATGCAGTGACCTAGACATGTACTGCTGTGCATTAGCAATAAAGCTAATTGTATCTTTGCACTGTGATCACTTTAGTGAGGCAGCCTGTGTGATCTATCATACTACGAATGTATTTGTGCAGCATTTTGAAGAAGCAATAGCAACCCAAGTGGGTTAACAGCTATAGTTTTGGTTAAGGTATCAGCAGTTTGGAACTTTGTGGTACAAGTCAGATTGTGCATGTAAACACTTTGTAAACAGTTCCATGTACTACTAATGTGAACCAAAAATTATTTCTCTTTAAAGTGACTCTATAAACACTGTAACTATTTCATCGAATTGAATTGTTTATAGTGCAGGAAGTCTCCAGGGGGTTCTCCTTCCATTCAGTGTTAAAACATTTCAAGTAGTTTAACATTGAAAAGAGGGTCTCTGGCCATTTACATATTTCCTACTAGCCATACCAATCTAATGGGCACTGTAATAGGTTGAAAGTGGTAAACTGACACTGCCGGTTAATCACAGATGCCCGTTGCTGCTGAAGCTATTGGCCAAGCAGCACAGAGGGTACGATCTGTTGGGGTCTCTAGTTTAGCATTAAAAAATATTTAACTATGAATGGAAGGATTAATCCAGACACTATAACCACTTCAGTGAAGCAGTTACAGTGCCTAAGGTGTCCCTTTAATGCTGCTAATATATTTCTCTCTCTCTCTCTCTCTCATTCTTTCTCTCTTGTTTAAGTGCCTCTTTAGCCATGTAGATATTAGTTTTAAAAGATTATGGATGGAACTGTGCAATAACCAAGATATCTAATCTGTATACTCATTTAAACATATCATTAAAACATATCCTCATAATTATTTATTTTGAGCTGGAGGACTTCCTTTGAAAAGCCTTAGATAAATCAACTTTTTATTAATGTATTTTTTTGAATTAAAAAGTTACCAGGCCCTCCTGCTCCATTTAGTCATCCACTAACATATAGAGGGTTTGATTACAAATCCACTGCTAAAATTAGCTAGCTGTGCCATGAAATATTGAATCCAAAAGTCCTCTTGGAAAAATAAACATTATGAAACCTAAAATTTGTTTTTATTAAACAATTTTTTATATCTTTTCTTTTTTCATAGTATTTGAATGCACAGTGCCCATTTCCAATTACCATCGATAGTGCTAGTTCCCTTTTTTGATAATCACTCCAAGTAATAATAATAATGAAAACATTTAATGATGTTTTCTGCTAAAAACACATTTTAAGGGCTGAGGTTTTCCTTAACTGAATTAAAGCATATTTTGCAGATACATACAACGGATAATCATCTTAATAGTCTGCAGAGCCAAATTAGCCTTTGTACACCTGCTCCTATAATTTAATGGGAACTGTAGTGTTAGATAAATAATAATAAAATAAGTTTATATATCTAATTCAGTACTAATAATTGCTTTACATGTATGCTGACTGCTGCTACTGAAGTGTCCTTGTGTAAGAGAAACATACCTTAAAATGTGTTGTATGATTATGTAAAGTTTATATCATTACTGTGTATAATCATTTTTTTGTTTTTTGTTTTCCATATTATTTTGTAAAAGTCGATGTTTAATATCTACAAATGTTGAGGCCTTTAGATCAAAACTTTAACCCCTTAAGGACCAAACTTCTGGAATAAAAGGGAATCATGACCTTAAGGGGTTAAATGTGAGCAATTGATACCTAACAAAAATGAAACGGTCTTATATGATACCATAAACGACTTATTACATATAAATGTGATCCTTCCATGTGCAAACTTTTTTTATTTTGAATGCACATTAATTGACCCATATGCTTGTTTGCATCTTTTTTTTCTTTTTAATAAGCTATCATCTGGACCCTGCAAATACAAACTTTGTAAGGGTTATTTACTAAGGTGAGAATGTTAAGTGAGTTCAAAGTAAACTTAAAATTGAAGAAGAGAGTATCCGATCTAAAAGTATAGCTGACTTAAAGAATTTTTCCAGAGTAACTATTTTGATTCAAAAATCACTTGAATTCTCACTTCAGTGAATAACTTGTATGTCTTTTACAGCCCTACATGTGTAACACCTATCATTTCCTTAAAATGTTGCCATATATTACATAGCATAAACCTCTAAATGTTTTTATTATTTCTATTTTTAATTAGACTATTCATACTCTTCTTGTGGAGTTGACTAGGGATTCAGTTTTAAGATATGAATAAAAACACTAACCTTTCTTGATGATAGATGTGTTTACTCAAGTTGCAACATGGCATATAATGGGTTAACAGCTAATGTTTACAGAGTATATGCTCATGCCTCTGTTTTTTTCCCCCCTTTGTTTTAATTTTAATAAAGGTATCTTAAATGATGTATCTGTTTTTCCTGCTCAAATTCTAAGAAACTGTTGTACAGCAAGAAGTAAATAATACTCTCATGCAGGATGGATAATCATACTTAACGTGATTTTCTTCTCCTAGCTAATATTCATTGCAGCATCATTTATAGGTAGCTTCACTCACAGCAGGAACAAGACAGGAAACCATTAACAAATTAGAACCAGACTGTAGGTATAAAAGGTCCCTCCTCCTTCTTTCTCACAGTCTAGTATAAAAGCTCTGAAAAATATATTTGGGAGGCTTGCTGATGCTGTCATGAATAATCAGGAAAAGGAAATTACAGTAAATATATACATTTTTCATAGTCATTAATCCTGGCTAATCATGGCAGGATGACTTATGGCTAATACACAAGCTAAACCAAAAAAGAGCTGGAATTTTTATTTGTGAAAAGCAACAGAAGACCTCTAACAAAGTAGATGTAGAGGATGAAGCCAATCTAGTTTATAATGCTTAATTAATGAATACATCTTTATGTTATTTGATCTTATAAGGGGGAGCCTGGTTCCTTAGATGATAAGCTTTCAATATGACATTAGAGATCCAACATCTGAGTGAAACTAAAGCTTCTCTCCCTTTTCTTGTTCGGAAGGACAAACGATTGTTGAGACTTACAAAAAGCCTAAAAAAACACCAGGTATTTTATCAGACCTTCTCTTACTTCCAATTAATGGAGTTTTTCTCTACTTTCAATGAAGGAATTGGGTAAAAAGAAGGTAAGATAACTTCATGAAGCAGGTGGAAATTTGAAACATCCTTAGGTAATTCTAGCTTAGGTGTCAAAACCACTCTCTCATGATAGACTTTGATATGGTCAACATCATGAGAGGAGCCTGAATCTCGAAATGCATTTTGCTGATGTGACTGCCACTATAAAGAATTTTGTAGGTCTATGAAAGTATACCCGGCTTGTTTAATGAAGCAAAGGTGGGGGTGGGGGGGGGGGGATCTGTCATCACATTAGAGCCATAGGAAGATTCCAAGGTGGTGTATAATTTCTCATAGGAGGTCTTATACGACTGGAAGCTTTGAAAAATCTCACTATAAGGGGATCTGAGGCCCACAAGATATTGTTTAAGGCTGATAAAGCTGATGTTTGTACTTTAAAAAGTACTAAGGCTCAATCCTTTTTCCAGTTCTGCATGAAGGAAATTCAAGATATGAAATTGATTAGAATCGAAAGGTTTCCCAAATCCTATGATAGCAGGTAGCTTTCTTTCTAGATATTAGAAGAGTTTCTACAACTGCTTTGGACAATCCTTGGTTTAGGAGTCTTTTTGTCCAAGAGCCAGGCCCCTGAGTTCTGCTGCTTGGGGTTAGGATGAACTGCTGGCCCTTGAAGAAGTAAATCCGATCTCTGAGAAAGTGGCCTTGGATGATCCAAGCTCATTCTGTTCAAAAGAGAAAACCAAGGTCTGTGTGGTCAAATTGGGGTGATTGATGAAAACTATGTGGAAGGAAGGTTATTGCAGTCTGTGTATCATCAGTAGGGGATGGAACGCATACCCCAGATAAAATTCCCATGGTAGAAATAGAGCATCTTGTCCTGCTGATAGAGGATCTAGCCAAATAGAGAAATTTATGGGGACTGTATTCTTGACAGAAGCCATCAAATTGATCTGAAGTATGCCCCACCGAAGAAATATTGCATTAAATATTTTTGGATGTAACTTACTCTCCTGGATGAATCTTTGATCTGCTGAGATAATACGCCAAGAAGTTCTCTAGACCTGGCAGATCATCTGCCTTTAGACCATGCAGATTGATCTGAGTGAATTTTCCATCACAATTCTTTCAAAAGGTTTTTGCTTCGGGTTCCTCCCTGGTGGTTCACATAAGAAGCCACTGCTCCATTGACTGTATTCATACCTGTGAGTTTGCAAGATACATTCACTCACGGGCAGGGCCTTATTTACCTTTTTTATTGCTCTGTGCATATTGTAGGTTTTACCTTAATTGTACAGCACTGCGGAATATGTTGGTGCTTTATAAATGCCAGTAATAAATAAATGTTAGAAAACCAGCAGCGCATTGTATATTACTCTCAACTCTGACATCTGCTTGTAACTTCCTCTATTTGAGTGATTATGTCCCCTGTTTCTATACCTTGCCATAATGGGTCCCCCCAATCCATGTAGACTCACATCTATAGTGATAGTCTGAACATCTCTATGTTCCACTGAGCCTATCTTACTTGTCCTATGGTGTATATGAGTGAGCCCAAAATACTTCAAAAGTCTCTCGCTGATGGGTATTGTTTGTTGTGAAGGTTCAAGATTTTTTTTTTCTTGGATTCTCTCCATCCTCTCCGGAGAGAATGTCACTATCCCAATGGCAGTGTCTGTCACTGCTCTTGATAATATCATCATTTGAGCTGGAATCAATAATCTCTTCTCCATATTTATCTTCCATCCATGGTTTAGAAGACAATTGACTGCAGTCTGGGTGTTTAGTGAATCTGTATGATGGGATGGGCCTATTATCAGGAAATCGTCAAGATCTGTAATATATTTGGTCACTGCGGCAGCACCTTTCATGCAAAATTCAGGTCCGGGAGTGCCCCCTATCCTTTTTCTGTATACATTATATTTGGAATCGAGACCAGATTCCTTAGGGGTTAAGCACCCCGCCCAGGCCCCTCCCCCCCCCCCAGCTTCAGAGGCTCCTTTAGAGGTGGCCACAGGTGTGTATATATAGGAGGAGTTTTTCAATAGTCAAGTCACTTTTATTATTTTCTCTAGTCAGCACAGATATCATCTGCATTAGTGAGTATACGCATTTTAGCACTCACACATTATTTGTTTAGTTTTAACACTGTTTTTAATTGCTTTTAGCACTTATTTTTGTATACTCACTATGCTCTTATTAGGATTTTATTTAACACTTGTTATTTTAACACTAGTACTATTTAATTTGTCCCCCACATTTTTAGCGTAGGACCCACCAATATTGGGGTACTTTGTAAGTAGTGGTGGGCTTAACAACATATGGCCATATGGTGGAACTAAATCCCCATATTTATTTTTAGATAGGCATTTTAGTAGCCTTCTTTGTATTATATTTTTTTGTAGTCTGAGTGCGCTGCAACAATTTATTCTCTTATGTATGAAGTTTGGTCACTGCGGCAGCACCTTTCATGCAAAATTCAGGTCCCGGGAGTGCCCCCTATCCTTTTTCTGTAATAAATTGTGATGTTCTGCTTTCGAATATAGGCGCATAGAGCAATAAGAATTTTTTAAAAAGTTCTTGAAACCAGACTCAACCCAAAGGAAGAATTCTGAATTGATAATGTCAGATTCGTAGGAACTTGCGGTGACTTTGGAATCTGTGCGTCATTGAGATTGATAGACCTCATTCAGTCTCTTTTCTTTATATTTGGGAGAATAGTGGACATTGACTCCCATCTTGAAGGTTATTGATTTCAACTTTGGGTTCAGATTCTTTAGGTGTAATAGGAGTCTCCATTTGCTGTGGGGTTTTGGTGCAAGGAAGACTATAGTATAGTGGCCCTTGAAGTGTTCTCTATAAGGGACTTCCTCTAAAACATGGTTTTCAAGAAGTTGTAGCATACATTCTTCATACATTCTTGTATCCTTCTTTTATAATAGATTGGACCCAGGAATCTGTAATGGTTCTGGGATAGAAGAGATGAAGTCTTCCTCTTATTTCTCCTGGTTGGACCGCTCAGGGGTGGGGGCCAGGGGGGAGGACATTAGGTCCCCCCCTTATTAGAATTTAGGGTCCCCACCCACCACTCAGGGGTTGGGGCCAGGGGGAGGACATTATGTCCCCCCCTTATTCTAATTTAGGGCCCCCACCCACCGCTCAGGGGTGGGAGCCAGGGGGAAGGACATTAGCTCCCGTCCCTTAGTATTTAGGGCCCCCACTCACCGCTCAAGGGTGGGGGCCAGGGGGGAGGACATTAGGTCCCCCCTTATTAATATTTAGGGCCCCCACCCACCGCTCAGGGGTGGGGGCCAGGGGGAGGACATTAGGTCCCACCCTTATTCTAATTTAGGGCCCCCACCCACCACTCAGAGGTGGCGGCCAGGGAGGAGGACATTAGGTCCCCCCCCCCTTATTAGTATTTAGGGCCCCCACCCACCGCTCAGGGGGGAGGACATTAGGTTCCCCCCCCCCTTATTCTAGTTTAGGGCCCCCACCCACCGCTCAGGGGTGGGGGCCGGGGGGGAGGACAATAGGTCCCCCCCTTATTCTAATTTAGGGCCACCACCCACCGCTCTGGGGTGGGGGCGGGGGGGGAGGACATTAGGTCCCCCCATCATTTTACTTTAGGGCCCCCACCCGGTGCTCGGGGGGGGGGGCAATAGGTCTTTTTTTTTTTTTTCATAACCGTGAGCAGCCACAGGCTGCTCACTGTTTAATAGACATGCCAAATCTTTACTTAGTATTAGTAAATTTGGCTGAAAGACCAATTTAGGTCTTTCAGCCTTTTGGTAGATAACTCCCTAATACCATGGGAATTAGGGAGTTATCTACTAAGCGGCTGCAAGAGAAGTCCTGAAGTGCCGAAGTCCCGAATTGCGCCGAACCAAAATATTTCCCCATGCACATGCCTAATTTTAAGGCTCTGGATGAAGTTGTTAATGTGACCGCAGAACAAGATAAGACTTAATAGGATTTGCATCCAGATGCTTTTCCATCGGCTCCCTTAAATAATTCATGGAGTCTAAAGGAAGGATAGTAAATTTTGTCATGCAAATTACTGCAGTGTCTATTTTTCGAAGTGAGTTTGGGCATAGGGATATATCCTAGTAGCTTTGTTTTTTCAGTGTTACCTTTTCCTTAAGTTTATCCCACTCTTGATAAATCATCTCTTTAACGGTAGAGTGTACTGGAAACATGAGTCTGTTTAACTTGAGATCCACAACATATCTGTCAGATTCTTTAGTATCTGACCTATCTTTATGAATTCTTAATGTCTTATTAGTTTAATCAATTTTCAACTTGCCTAG